GTTAAAACCTTTAAAGCTTCATAGACTTTTGGAACTGCATCTTTTTTTAAGTAAAATTTTTTTTCAGTCCTATAATCTTCGTCTGTAAAATGATTCTCGCACAGGTATTTATTTCGAATATCTTCAGGAGCTAGTCCAGCGAGTGAAGGATTTCCTTAAAACAAAAAAAAATATATAACAATAGTTTTTCTTTTTCAAACTCTAAAAACCCTTATAGTAGAGCCTGTGTTTTTTTTTTTAATGGCATGTTTTATTATAAAATATTCATTCATGCATATTTTTAACGACCTCTTTATGGTCGTCTCCCATCAGGGAGATTTTTGGTTATAGAATCCCCTTTCAAATAAAGTCCTGCCAGGTAATTTTCTGACATCCTGTATAAACATCTGATTTTTTTCGTAAATCTAGGGTAATATTTAAAAGAGGCCCTTTAACCAACCACCGGTCAAATGATTGTTAATTCTTCCGCAAAAAAATGGGATATGAAAATTTCAATATACAAAAGAATACCTAACTTACCGCAATTAATAATCCACTGTTTACACAGATCTTCATTTTTAAATGGAAATCTAAATAATCGCCGTTGAGAATTACGTCGGCTAACACCGCAATTGTAATATTGGCAAATATTTCCAGACATTTTTAAAATAAGTGTTTTCAAATTTATACAGCTGCCACCGAATCGGATTGATCGCCTAGACGCTTAATTAAAAATAAACATATTGTGAACTTCCGAATTCCTCTTGGCACGCGTCTGGCGTCCATCTCCCCACGGACGCCGGCTTATCGCCGCTGAACCAAAAGCACCTAGCACCTACAACAGCGACAACTCGGCAACAGTGGGCAATAAACTCTAACCAGCGTCCACCCCGGCTAAAGCCGGCGTCCATCGAGGTCTCAAATTTTAGAATACGGACGAGACTTCTAGAGACGGTTAGTCTATAATATTCTTTGGTACTAAATAAAATTGTACAAGATAAGGCAGAGGGTGTGGTAGTTCTACCAGATTGGAGCTCACAAGCCTGGTACCCATTATATAAAAAGCTTCTTGTAGGGAAACCTCTAAAACTTTAACCACATCCTAATCTATTGTCTTCACCTTTCAGATCACAACATCCACTAGCGAACACACTTACCTGGTAGTAGCTAATTAATCACACATTGAGGAAAACCACCTATTTAAAATATTATTTCTTTAAATCTTAACTTTTTAAAAAACGTTTACTGAATAAAAGTAAATGTTGCAACCATGTATTTGTTCAGTGAAATTCATGAGAACGAGAGCGCGCCGCAACAGAAAAAGTACCAGTACGAAGGGGAGATAGAGAATACGCAACTAGACTAGGAAAGAAGCTGAACGGGTCTCTTCAGACGCGTGTCTGTAATTATTCATTATTCAATTTTCATTTTATTTTGCATTAAATTGATTGTTCAATCCAATTTGTTATTAGTGTGTGTGTCAAGGAGCGATAAGGTCAGTTGAATAATTGTTATTTTGTTTTTGAGAGTACAATTATTTATACAAGTATAGTTTTTTTCATTTTTATGTTTTTTTTGTTTCTTTATAACATTTTTTATAACATGTGCATTGTTCATGTATTTAGCAAAAATCGTTTCATGCTGTAAACAACACCGATTAAGAGTAAATTAATTCCTAAGAAATTATGTGCTGTCTTTTTGTGCTAGGATTTTGATTTTTGGATTCAGAGCGTGTATTAGGGCCTTGTTGAATTTACTAACATTTTCCTACCCTGATGAGAGAATATCCTAACAAATTGAAATAATCAATTTAGAGATATTGGCTCAAAAACAACTATAGTTGTGAGTTACCGTAACCAGGGACCTCAGTACCTCCCACAGATCGGCTAACTAACCAAAAACTCTTCAGTATTGATTATATAGGTAGTGTTGATTGAATGTAGTGTGTGTAATTAAAATTTTAGCACAAGAATAGGGGCGGTACCTAATTTAAAATGCCATTGACTTAAATTATTGAATTAATGACTCACAATTATTATTAAAATGACACAGTATGTTTCGATTTTTGAGAAGATCGAGGGTTTTTCTGCCGTGCTCTTTTCCTTCGTTAGTTCCAGGATGAGAACGTTACGATTTACTTCAATAATAGAGTAGACATTTCACAAATTTTTCGTTTCTTTTACATATCACAACCTCCCTTAAATTTCCCTAATATTTGCTATGTCGGGCGCATGTCCAGTAAGTAAAATTGAATAAGTTTTTACAACGTAGGTCCTATTTGTTTTTCATTTCATTTTTCAGAAGATTTGTTGTTTAAAAGGTAATAAAAATTCACACCGTTCAATCTTACTGAACGAACCCGGGTATGTTATACTACAACAGCATTCAACATAAACAACGCAATTCCAAGGGATTCTATACAGACCTGTCTGGAGTCGCTCAACCCCAACACCACTAAACAATATGATTCAGTAGTATATAAAGAATGGTGGAAATTCCGTGGAGACTCTGTGGACCCATACACCGCTGGAGTACCAGAGAGGTACTGAAATTTTTACAATCCATGTTGGACTCCAAAACCTGGAAGTATGGGTCATTTAAGATCTGCACTTTCACTAGTATTGCCCGGTACTGTTGGAAGCTACATGGGTATTAGGAGATTTATGAAAGCAATATCCAGACTGAGACCAGGCAAACCCAAGTATAATGCTACCTGGGATACAAGAAAGGTACTAAACTACTTAGGAGCTAAATATCCCAATGATACTTTAAGCTTACGAGAGCTTGGAGGGAAGTTGGTAATACAATTCTAACCTTGGCAACAGGACAAAGGCTACAAACCATCATCTCCCTGATTCGAATAAACAATATTGAAATTACACTGGAGTACTGGAGGGGCTACAGGTGCTCATTTCTGGCAGAATTAAAACCTCCAAGCCTGGGATGAACCAACCATGCCTATTTTTACCTTTTTTCAAGGAAAAGCCTGAAATCTGTCTGTCTAATATCCAAATCGTAATAATTGTTTGATTTCACCGCAAATAATCAAGTATTCTGAATATGATTAATTGACTTTTAAAATTGTCTTCAAAACACTTGAAACTCAATTAATTTGTCTGCATGCAGACATCTTTAACACAAACCTTATTTGCCATGAAAAATGGCAAACTTCAAAAAAGATGTTAATTTTTTAAGTGGCTAGACGATGCAGTCGATGCACAACAAGTTGACTTTCAATTAGATATCAAAAATATTTTTCCTTTGGATTTCATCAGTTTATACAATGATACTAGCACCTTATGTTGGAATGAATCAGGCAAGTTCTAAAATAACTAAGTCGTAATATAAAAATTAGGAATTACATATTACCATCCTGATATGTTAAATCATTAAATTCTCGAAAATATTATTACATAATTTTGGTAATAAAGATTGATTATGTTATTCTCGTTCGCCTTTCATCAAAAAAATAATTAATAATGATAGGTAGATTGCTCAATATTTCTTTTTCGTTAATTAAATCAGATGTGTATTGGATTGGATTTGTTTTCATTTGGAAGAAATTATTGTAGAATATTCCAATTCTCACGGATATGAAAAGAATCAAAACTAATTTAATTTATCTCATGCCCCATCTAGACTAGACCCAAATTCAAATAACCGAAGAAGAAAAAAAAAAGCAAAATCCCAAAACGTTAGAAACGAGAATTCGATAATCGAAAACAATCGTCGCGGCATCTTACCTCATTGGAAACCTCGCTTATTGGAATGCGGTCCCATCTTCAAATCTGAAGAAGTTTGTTGTTTACAAAAACACTCCGGCGGCCTTGGCCTGAGATTTTTTGGGAAACTCCAATCGCTGCTCCGGTTCAAAGATTTACGATCCAATCTAGAAAAACCATCTCCGTTTGATGTAATATAGAACCTGTATCATTATAAATTAGCGGGTTCGTACCAAAATATAATAAATCAATGGTTTATTTTTGAGGAATTTAAAGACAATTTGATAACTTTTCTTTTTCTAAATCAGCCTAATCTACGTTTAATAATTTATCCCTATAGCACCAGAAATGTTTAAAAGTTAAAATTTTAAATACTATGAAAAATCATGTCTCATATTATCTTATAGAAATTTCCTGAGAAAAGGTCCATGACTGCAAATAATTTTGAAAATTTCAGCTCATTTGGAGATCGATTTGGCCTTCAAATCCCATAAGGTATGGAGTCTCAACATGGAAAAATTTTAAAATTTCGTTCAATATTGTATTAAAATCCATCCAATGGAAATTGAAACCTTTTCCAATTCTAAAATTCAGAAAGCGGAAAATGTACTTATGAGAAAGGGAAATTGAATTTCAGTAGGTGGAAATTGTAATTCAGAATGAGAAGTTATCAATCAGAATGTAAAATTTAAAATTTAGAATAGGAATATATAATATTCAGAAATGGGAATTTGAAATTAAGAATAGGATTAAATTTCAGATAATATAAATTCAGATATGCAAATATTTTGAAAACCATTCACAGTATGGAGTGTCCCAAATGAAAATCTCAACATGAAAAAGCTTACCATTCAACTTTTTTGTTGGTGAGATTGTTAATCAGCTAAAGGACTACATCTTAGCTGATTTGGAATTAAAGTTCCAAAACCCAACCAAGATGCCTCAAATCAAATTCAAAACCTATCAAAAGTTTACAGTTTATCTATATTAAGTTGCGGCTTTTCTTTATAAATAAAAATGAATCAACCTAGGTATTACAAAGACAAAATTCAATAAAATATTCCAACAATGACTGTCAACTATTCCTATTATTCAAACATCGAACAAATTCCAAAGAACCAAATTCCGATCCGGAAAAAAAACTGACTACTAATCCCAAAGATGGAATCTCCGAGAACCATCATCATCATCAGGTTCACCGGCATTAGAACCGTCAACAGAATCCGGTAACGATGACGTTTCCGCGGCGAATTTCTTATAAAACTATCGTCGGGTACCCAGCGGAGAACCATAATCGTACCGACAGTAGTCCGAGCCACAGCAATAATTAATTGTGTTATTTTAGTTTTGCGTGTTTGTAATAATTAAACAATTATGATTGTTTTAAGCGGTGTTTTGTGTTTTTGTGCCTTGTTCGGTGGTTTGCAGGGATCCGCTATACCTATGTGGGAGTATTTGAGTAAACAAGAAAAGGTAATTAGAGATAATTTAAATGTTTTAATCAATAACCTCATTAACTGTATCAAGTTACTCAAGTGAAATCATGTTTACTTGGAAAAGAAAGTGAGCATCAGAGGTGTTGACCTGAATGATAGCAATGGTTAATTATAAATTTCGTATGCCTATATCATCGGACACTTGTGAAATGAATTTGTTTTGACTGTAATTGGCTTTTTCTCAATATTTATAATTATTTAGAAATTTTTTTTCTGTAAATGGTAAATGGAAATACATATAATGTTTAGATAAAAGAAACTACAATTATTGCAAAAGAAGGAATCAATAATTTAGAAAAATCTCAAGAGCAAAGAAATTATAACAAAAATGTAGATAACTAAATCAGAGAAAGTCAAAAAAAACTTGAAACCCCTTTAGAAAAAGAACAAAAGGTTCAGAAAATTATACTCAAGAACCAAGCAGTAAAATATTTAAAAAAAACTAAAGAAAAATCGAAGAAAATTTAATAAGATTAAGTCGTTAAGACATGTCTTTCTTAGGTTTTCATTGCGTCTGAACGTTTGAAGACCAAAAGTGAAAAGACCTGTTGAAAAAATATCATAAAAATGTTTATAGGCAGACGTTTGAAAGACGTTGGACTTTGTAACATACATAACTTGTCACATTATATTACTAGTTTGGTAAAGTCACATTACTAATTCCTGTTAAAAGGCAAATTGACAAAAAGTAGATAATCTTACAAATTTTGACTTTACATAATAAGTTTTTGTTCAAGTATAAATAAGTCGATTATTGCAGAACTTATGGGTGGACTTCTGCGGGACGAGCGCAGCGAGTTCCGCAGCCATCTACTCACCAATATACTGTTGAACTGTTCAAATAATACACTCACCTGAAACGTGTACTTTTTAAACTAATGAGAATAACTCACATTTGAGTGAGTCAAGTTAGTATCATAATTACATAACATATTGATAAATAGATGGCAGCGGAAGTCGCTGCGCTCGTCCCGCAGAGGTCCACCCATAAGTTCTGCAATACTCCACCTATTTGTACTTTCTTATTATGTAAAGTCAAAATTTGTAAGATTATCCACTTTTTGTCAATTTGCCTTTTAACAGGAATTAGTAATGTCACTTTACCAAACTAGTAACATAATGTGAGAAGTTATTCAAATACAAATGAGTGGATTTGTTGCGGCACTTATGGGTGGACCTCTGCGGGACGAGCGCAGCGAGTTCCGCAGCCATCTACTCACCAATATGTTGTGTAATTACGATATTAACCTGACACTCAAATGTGAGTTATTCTTATTAGTTTAAAAAGTACACGTTTCGGGTGAGTGTCTTACTTGAACAGTTCAACAGTATATTCGTGAGTAGATGGCTGCGGAACTCGCTGCGCTCGTCCCGCAGAGGTCCACCCATAAGTTCCGCAATAATCCACTTAATTGTAATGCTTCTAGCTTTTTTCGAATGGGAAACCGGGGTTCTACTGTACTATAGAACACTTTAGAACTTTAATAGGCCTTTTGGAAAGTTCAAAACACTTAAAATTCAATTCAGAATTTCCAAAAGTATTCTGTAACGGTTCAAAACAATTTGGAAACTTCAGAACCATATTTTACAATGCTCCAAAACAATCAAAAACCTATTTACAATTTCCAAGACCATTTTAGAACAATTTAGATGTCTGAAACCCATTTTAGGACACTCCAAAACACTCCAACGCTCTAGAATCCCTAGACACTTTTAGATCACGTTCAGATTAAAAGTTACAAAACGCTTTTCTTCTTGAATTTTAACAGTTTTTCCTATTCCAGGCTCGTGATTTTTCCTTATTTGTTTATTCTAAATTCTTAACAAATCACGTATAAAGATCCATCTTCATAATTTATTTCTTTGAGTTATTAGTTAATTTATTATTCTCTGTATTTGTATATATGGTTTTTACACATACTTACCTTGTTATTTTCCCTTGTAAGGTATATAAGGTCAATTACCCATAAAGGTTGATTCTTTCTATTCTTGAAATAACAAAAAAAAAATCTTTATTGTTAAATCATCTTCATACACAAACATTTGTTACCATGCGATATATGAAGAAATACCAATATTATTTATACAAATGCATTTTTCCATTTTCAATGACCTTTTACCAATATAGAAAAAATATGCACTTTAATTTGATATAATTACTTTGTTATATAACTTATATTATAATTTTATGTAACCAAATATCATTGAAACTTGGCGAGGAGTGGCAAGTTATTTTTTAATACATGCAAATCGATTGAAATTATACAATTATAATGAAAGTGGTTTCTCATCGATAAAAAACAACGTATATTTTATATAATGTAATCTTCTTGAAGGGTTAAAACATTATTTACATATAGTGGATGAAGATAGTGAGGTTTAGGACAAAAATCAAACTCCTGGATTAAAAATTCGCCGACGTTTCGGCCTTATATTTGGCCTTCTTCAGGGCTCTTCTTCAAATCAGGAGCCCTGAAGAAGGCCTAATATAAGGCCGAAACGTCGGCGAATTTTTAATCCAGGAGTTTGATTTTTGTCCTAAACCTCACTATCTTCATCCACTACTTCTAAACCAAGGACGCGAATATCTAAACCATTATTTACATACAATGATCATGGACTTAAAAGCCAATTTGGTACTGTTGACGTACTTTTATATAGAGTAGGTACAAAGTAGTTTTACTTCAAGCAAAATAAACGAAACTATCTTTATTCAAATATAATTTTTCTCAAGGCAAACTTTATTAAAATCATGTAACAGCGGTAATAATTTTCCAAGTATTTTTTCACAATAGGAAATTATTCTCATGCAGAAAAAACTAGCTCCGTGCAGTTAGATAATATATGAATAATGAATTAGATTCATATTTTATTCAACATAGTTTCACCTATTTTTACTCAAAAAAACAGAAAAGTTGCTGTTAAAGATAACAGTTATTATAAAGATAACAGTTATTATGAAACTGTTAGGATATCAATGTCACCATTAAGTACTAAAAGTACTCTTTTTTTTCTAGACTTCATACATTTACTCGCTCTTCGCCAACCAAGTAGAGAAATTCTGCGATGGATCAGCGGTGCCCTTTTGCAACAGGCAACTTTTGAAATACGGCCTTGGTACCTTGAAAGATATGGGAGATGATGACTTGGACGCGATGGATCCTTACCAAAGGGATGCTAACAATATAAGTAAGTTTGAATTTGAGTTTTGTTTTTCATAATAGAAATTCATTCATTCATCTTGGATCTTAATTTGACAGTATTTTTATGCAGGACACTCTCTTTTTCTCAATTCACTTTTTACTAGGTACCACATTCAAACAGTTTTTTCATTGATAGGTACACCAGTTTCTTTATTCATTGAAATCAATTGGATTCAGATCTTGGGCTTCTTTGCTGGCTACTGAATGAGTTTCCTCTATGTTGAGGAAATTTATATCCAGCTATTCCCAGAGGCGTTTTCTCAAACATTTCTCATTTCTCTTCTCGAAAAGTTTCAATCTGCCATTGTCTGCCAAAGCTTCTAGAGGAAAAAATCAAGCATGTATCAGTTTTCTTTAAGAAGTTTTGTTTCTGGAAGCATAAATTCCTGAAAAAGAAATCATCAGACAAGTATACATTGAGTTTCTATTACAGGCTCTAATATTTTCCTTATTTTTTCTGAATAAGTAGGGAAGAAGGGGTAGGGATACTTTTGATGAAGTTAAGACAAAAATAAAAATTCATGAGCCAAGAATAGAGTCGTATGAGAAATAAAGCTGAAATTTTATGCAAATTTACAAGAAATTGTCCGACTATGGTATACATTGCGTTTCTCGCCTCTATTATTCAACTTCCAGAATCTAAATGAAGCAATAATTCTAAAAATCCTAAACAGTAGCTCTTCTATACCTTCAAAAGCAGTTTTTTCATATCATGTTTCATGTCTTTGGAAGTTGGAAATTTCTTTAATGAGGTTCTTTAACAAATCTTCTTGATCCAGACCAAACAAATACTGAACATTTCAGGCCAAGGATTATTCAAAAAAAAAACACAGGAAATGTTCATATATTGTGTAAAATACATCAATATTTACTCATTTCCACTCAAAGTTCGCAAATATATTTCACCAACCTTGACAAACCATCAATGCTAATCATCAATTTAAATATAAATTTATATGTCGAACTTTCAACTATAATAATATGTAATTATTTCGTCAATAAAACGGAATCTCTAGTCACGACAAACGATGGTTATCTGCCATTTTTGTCACTATTTTACGTTCATTTGTGCCTATAAAATAACCTTGAGGCACTTTACCTAGTTGCATAATAATTTTGTAAGAGGACTATCCTATTATTGTAGACTTAAAAGAGCAGTAGGTATGGCATTTCAAGGTGTGTTAATATGTCGATTGTTCAAATCTAAAAGTGCAACGTCTTTTAGGAAGACCACAATACATATTATCCAACCTTGACTTTTTCCATAATAATAAATTTGTCATAAAATTATGATTTCATCGGTCCTTATACATATTTGGGATTGCCCACACATAATAATTAATTTTTGTTTTGTTGTTTCAGTTTGGGAAACCTTAATGCAAGGACATCGTTTCCAGAAAACCACTCCCAAACCACAAAAAAAGTCAACAGCCAAACCCAACTCTTACGAAGACGAATCGTTTTCCGACTATGACGAATACGGTTCTCAAAGTGCCGCTAGTGCAAGAATCGACAACGTCTACGTCCTCCCTCCACCAAAAGATTTTGTAGTCAAATACGTTGAAGAATTTCCATTAAATTCCAAAGCCAGCATCATAGACATAATCAAAACTCCAGACGGTAATGGTGTTTTTAATCGTTTCCAAAATCAATATCGCCCCATTAGTGTTACTACTGAAAAAGTAGCTTCGAGCACAAGGAAGCCTCTATTGAATAGAGAAAATGAGTTTTTGACTGGTAGAATGGTTGTTAAAGTGTATCCAGATGGTACTCCGGTTAGAGAAGCCACTCAAATGCCTCAGGATGATGATTTGAGTCAATATCAGCTGCAACATGTGAAAATTCCAAACTTTAATTGAACTAGAGTTTGTTGAGTTGAAGACTTTTGTGCCAAAAATCGGAGCACTTGCTGCCTAAACGAGTGCAAAATACTCAATTATTGTTAAGATCAAGAGAAACTTGTCTTATGTGATGGTCTATATTTACTTTCTTCATATATAATTTTATTTAAAAATTCTCTGTGATAAATTACAATAATTCATTTTTATATTTTGTTCCCTTTGATTGAATTTTTTTTTCTAAAATTTGTGATATTATATATCAAACGCATTAATTTATTGTTATTTTATTTAATAACTGATAATTGATGAATATTTCATATAAAATAGGTGCATGAATGTGATTTTTAATTTATTGAATGTTTGTATGATTATTTTTTTTTTATTTCGTCTATAAGCTTTTGTATTATACTCTCCTTTTTTCTATCTATATTAATTATTTGCGATTATTGTAATAATAATTGTGAAGTTTGATGTTTTCTGACTTGTGCCAGATATGAATCTGGAAATTCCTATTAAAATTTTTTTGTTTTTTTGTTCTTAGATAAGGTTGTATTTATTATTTAAGATTGTAAAGTATGTCTTTTTAATGAGAAAATATATGAAATTAAGTTTTGTAGAAATAATAGATCTCTAGCTTTATTTTACACCATTACACCTCACCAATAAAAGTAGATCAAATCCATAATGATATGACGTATTATGTATAAGAAAATCTCCAAGAAAGAATAATTTCACTCTCAAATATGATTTTACGAGGACTAATTCACATTTTATCGTTTCTTGACTTCTCAAAATGTATCTGGTAGGAAAGAATTGCTACTTATTGGCGACAATATGCAATTGTAGACGCAGTGGCGTAGCGTGGGGGGGGCCGAGGGGGCCATGGCCCCGGGCGGCATACAAGAAGGGGCGGCAAATTTTAATCAAAAATCTAAAAACTCTAGGAACTTGCAGGTGCACAAACCTGTCAATAGGGAACTTGCAACTGGGTATAAAATTTTCGAAAGCAGTCCTTCACAATATTCTTCATCCATTGCGACAATTTTCAAAAAAGCAAACTTTAACACACAAAAATAGCACTGCGTCAGCAGGATTTCGTTTGCTGCGTTTGTTGTTTACGAAATCTTGACGTCACGAGCGCTGCCATATTTATATATTCCTTTTATACATCGAGTTACACCGAACGTGTCGCTCTAGAGGTCCTCGGAGTCACTAAAACACACTATTCAGATAATTATCATTCTTTAATATTAACATTACCTAAAAGGGCTTCTTGCGTCGCCCGCATATTTGGTGTTTCCGCGCCAAAGTTTTTGATTTGAATTTCAATAAAAAAATTTTTCGTAGAACGTGTAAGTAAATTAAAATGGAAAAAAAGAAAACTATGTAGGTAATATCTGATCACTAGAAGTATCTGAAAAAAAAAAGAATTGAAAAATATGAAAATTTCCTATTGAAGATGCTATTTGACTTTTACTACTTTTTCTTGACTGATATATGAAATAGAGGGGGCGGCGAATTTCCGGTCGGCCCCGGGCGGCGAAAGCTCACGCTACGCCACTGTGTAGACGTATTTATTTACCAAACAAGTGCGAAAAGTTGCTTTTTCACTTTACCGTACCCTGCGGCAGCACAGTACCTATATCGGTATATCTTACGTCACGCAAATGAGTAAGGTTAAGTGTACTTTACCGCACGCAAATGGGAAAAAGTGAAGTCAAAACTCTACATAATGATTTTCGATGTAGGTATACTTATATTATAATCATAATGATTGAAGAACTGCGATCTTCAAGAAATAATTATTTGAATCTCATGATTTTACGAAAACCAACATCGTTCCTTGGCTTCTCAAATGTATCACAATTGTAAATGTATCTGGTAAGATAGTATTGTTACTCCTTTCCTCCTTTCAATAAACACATCTGCTGAGACATTTACGTGAAGTTTGGATAATTTCAGCTAATTTTTTTACCAGCATTACTTTTATGTCGAGTGTAAATTATTGGAAATACTATGCACAGGGTGGGCCAATTTGGACACTTTTAATAGGAAACGTCAATTTCTGAGCGAGATACAAAAAAATGAACCCCCCACTCCGAGGCTCAAATTTCAAGAAATCTTGATTGGTATACACCACCGCATTTTGATATCTTCAACCGTTTAGCCGCTAGAGGGCGATTCTCGATTTTGAGCAGTACTGGTGAAACCTTCATAACTTTTTTGTTTATGGAAATAATTGATTTCCGTAAAAACTTTCTAAAAGCACTTTTTCAGGCAGAATTCAGTGACGTTCTCAGTTTTTTTCTATTTGGCTCCGATTTCGAGATATTGATTAAAATCCGATTTTTTTCAATAGAACACCCTATATATTAATAGCTTGTTGGAAAGCTCTGCTTTTGCTGATTTCGATGATATAAAGTTCGATAGGTTTATCTCCAATGGTTTCGGAGAAAATAGTTATTTATGCAACAAGTGTGTAAAGTAAACCTTTTTTCACGAATGTGAATTTTGACGCACGAGCCGGAGGCGAGTGCGACAATCACATCAGTGAAAAAAGGTGCTTTACGCACGTATTGTATACAAATTTTTTTCTACTACCAATCAAATATGTGTCAAAAAATAGATTTAGACATATACTTTACACACTAGTGCGTGAAACGTGATTTACCAGAAAAATACTAAATTGACAGTGTCAACATCTGTCATTGACATTACTTTACGCACGAGTGTGTGAAGTGAATTACTTTACGCACTAGTGCGTGAAGTGAAATTTTACGTCTTCTAAATAGTGCGTAAAGTGGGTACTTTACGCACGGTAGTAGAAAATAGTTATTTATGTAACAAGTGTGTAAAGTGAACCTTTTTTCACGAATATGAATTTTGACGCACGAGCCGAAGGCGAGTGCGACAATCACATAAGTGAAAAAAGGTGCTTTACGCACGTATTGCATACAAAATTTTTTCTACTACCAATCAAATATGTGTAAAAAAATAGATTTAGACAAATACTTTACGCACTAGTGCGTGAAGTATTTTCACTTTACGCACTAGTACGTGAAGTAATTTACCAGAAAAATACTAAATTGACAGTGACAACATCTGTCATTGACATTACTTTACGCACTAGTGTGTGAAGTGAATTACTTTACGCACTAGTGCGTGAAGTGAAATTTTACGTCTTCTGAATAGTGCGTAAAGTGAGTACTTTACGCACGGTAGTAGAAAAAAAATTATTTAGATTTTTGTCATAAGGAACAATGTGTTGGAAAAGGACTTTATATCTGTAAGGAAAATGAGAAAGGTCTCTTTCTAACACATTGCTTCTTATGACAAAAACCGAAATAAAACCTATCGGACTTATATCATTGAAATCAGCAAAAGCAGAGCTTTCCAATGAGCTACTAATATATAGGGTGTCCCCAAGTAGCACATAATATGGGGTAAACATCGTTTTTCAGTTGGGCCAATATTCATTAATTTTTGTTGCTAAATCAACACAGTACCAATATTGGGGCAACGTTAGTTTTAACTATGTGGAAACAATATTTAAAAATAATCTTGTACCAATATTGTTAATTAACTTTTCAGTAATTTGAATATTGGCCCAAGACTTCTCACTACAATATTGATTTATGAAATATTGGCCAAATATTACATTTTATATTATCGAAACAATATTGTAATATAATATTAATTCAATATTGGCATTCAATTTTTTATTGATATTTAAATTGACTTCAAAAACTTTGCACACACAATATTTATTTTCAATTTTTTCACAATATTGATACTTTTTTGAAAGCCCAATGAAGGGCCAATATTTACATACCAATTTTTACCAAGGTTAGATTTTCTCAATTGAAAATGTTGGTCCAATATAGGGTATTCAATGTGCGCACTTGGTGTGCCGACCAAAAAATAGATGGAGACTCTGTCTTCACTTTACCTGTCTTAAACCTGGTTCCGGGATGAAGCCAAAAATTGGTCGTTTTCTCTCTGCGGGACCCTGGCGGGACTTAACCGTGCTGATGAGTTATGATACAGCGAAACGGGTCTACGGATGGTCCGGCAGAGAGAAAACACTTCTTAGTCAATCCTTATAATTGGTCCGTTACCTTAATTAAATATAATATAAGACCAAGATTTACAAACGTCTTCGGGCCAATATTAGTAATTTCAATTGGCTCTATATTGCATAAAGTTCTTGATATGATATTGATTATTTCTTTTTGGGCCAACATTTGGTTACGTTTTTGTACCAACGTTGGTATTTGTTTTTGGGTATATATTGACATACGTTCTTGGACAAATATTACAGAATGTCCACATCTTTTATTGGGCCAACCTAGAGAATCTGACTTGGGCCAATAAATCGTAGTTATTGTCCCAATATTGGCCCAACATGGGAGTGCTGCTTGGGTCCTATTGAAAAAAATCAGACTCTGGTCAATATCTTGAAATCGGGACCAAATAGAGAAAAACCGAGAACGTCACTGAGCTCTGCTTAAAAAATTATTTCTAGAAAGTTTTTACGGAAATCAATTATTTCCATAAACAAAAAAGTTATGAAGATTTCACAGTAGGTACTGCTCAAAATCGAGAAATGCCCTCTAGCGGCTAAACGGTTGAAGATATCGAAATGCGGATTGCACCAATCAATATTTCATGAAATTTGAGCCTCGGAGTGGGGAGTTCATTTTTTTGTATCTTGCTCAGAAATTGACGTTTCCTATTAAAACCATCCAAATTTGGACACCCTGTACATAGACCTTTTCCCATTTTCGTTTTCAAGATTATCCGCTTTGGAGGTTTTCTATAAAATTTGAGATAAAGTTTCAATTTTGAGGCTCGATATGTCGAAAACTATTTGACATAAATGATTCAATTTTGTTTTATATAGAAGAGCATTTAATTCTGATTAAGAATATATAAATATGCATTAGAATTTGTGGGATAATAATTGAGTTATGAGCGATTTTGAGAGGCAATGTCGGATGATCAAAATTATTCAGGGCCAAAAATGCAAAACTTGTTGCATATAGGTTTACATCAATGTGACATAAATTTCACATCTATTCGAGCATGACATTATGCGGTAAATTTAAGTTGAAATTTTACCCTATTATTTAGAAATTATATTATATTGGGTTCGTTTCGTTTATTTCAAAATCAAAGTCCAATTAACACAGCAATAATATTTATTTCACAGTCAAACTTAAACTTAAAACTTCTAAATACCAGCTTGCTTTATATAGCCGTAAATCCATTCATGTACAATCTAAGAATACACGCGATAACTCTCCTTTTCCCGATTAAGTAGAATTTACTAGATTATAATAGGAATCTGTAATTTCTAGGGTATTCGACAGTCTAGGATTCTTGACACACTGGCGGCCGTTACAATAATTACGTACATTTTTAACTTCATGTAGTTGCGTTTACTGTTTAATGGGTTATTGGCTGCAATACCCTTTTCCTCTAACTTTTTCCAAAGGAGCTTGTTGGGAGAGGGATTTTCACCCAATTTTTGTTGAAATTTTCTTGTATTTTTGTTATTTTATTCAAATAGTAACCCAATCCAAGAGCCGGGAATAAACTTAATTTAAATTTAATATAAATTGAATACATATAAGTTTGTGGTATTAAAATTTGAGTTTTGATTTTTCCCGGCCTTTGATTAGGGTTGCCAACTTTGTTTTTTAATTTTTCTGGACGAAGGTAATAAAATATCAGGACATACGGTATAAATTCTGGACATATTACGCGCATCAGTCCACAAAGCTGGACGCATTGAAAACATCCTTTCAGCGTCATCATTGGACCCAAATATAGAAAATGCAAGTTGTAAAATGATACAGAAATGTTTCAACTCAGTATTAGTCAAAACATAATAGATTCCATTTTCAAGTAGGTAATGCATAATTTTCGTTATAAACCAAAACCGGGTTTATAGCTGGCTTAATTTGACAGAGAATTATTTATTAAGTTGAAAATTAAGTACAATAGGCGTCCTGCAATAGGTTGTTACAGGACGCTGGACAATGAACCCCAAATGGTGGACGTCCACCGAAATGCAGGACGGTTGGCAACCCTACCTTTGATTGGCTACAACACCCTTTTCATTTCCTTAATATGTTTTTTCAAGGGGCTTTATTGTTGAGAGAAGGATTTCACTTAATTTTTCATGTATTTTTCTTGTATTTGTGTTATTTTATTTTATATTATTTAAATAGTAACCCAATCCAAAAGCCGGGAATAATTCCAATTTGAATTTAATATAAAATTGAATACAAGTTTAGGTTATTGAAATTCAAATTTTGATTATTTCCAGCTTTTGATTGGCTAATAGGTAATAATAATATTGTCACGCTTAGGTTGTTTGTGGTCAGCGGTGCCACCACTTTATATCTATACTTGGCTGCGTCGGCTAAGGGTTTATCCTGAAAAAAGATTATGGGGGAAAAGGAAAGATTTCACCACTAGTAGTTAATACATCTATTGTTACACCTTAATTTATGTAGGAGATGATTAAATAGGGTTTACCAAAAATAGATCGCAGTAAATGTTCTTCCCTGGTGGGCCATCATTTGACATTCCCTTGGAATGCCTATTTTTGGTTACTACCTATCAAGATTTCCCTAAAAATAGGCATTCCAAGGGAATGTTAAATGATGGCCTACAGGAAAGAACATTTACTGCGATCTATTTTTGGTAATCCCTATTCAATCATCTCCTACATAAATTAAGGTGTATAACAATAGATGTATTAACTACTACTACTAGTGATGAAATCTTTCCTTTCCCCCCATAATTTCTTTTCAGGATAAATCCTTAATAGCCGACGCAGCCAAGTGTAGATAAAGTGGTGGCACCGTTGAACACAAACAACCTAGGCGTGACAATATGCATTTGTAGGGTAGTTATTTACCGAACAAGTGCGGAAAATGGTCTTTTACCGCACGCAAATAAGAAAGGTTAAATTCAAGCTCTACAAAATGGGTAAAACAAACGTCCAGTTAGGGCGTCTGCGAGGAAATGAAGGGCGTCCATCCAAACCTATTACATATTTTTAATGTGGTGAGATAGTAGGTACCTATTATATATATTACTAGCTAGTGGAGAAAACGGAAAGTGTCGCTTTCTGCACGCGATTGTAGCTCGGCCAAGCAATCAAGTGAGGAAAAGAGACATTCCGCACGGTTAGGAACGCTATTTTTCTTACGAGCTTGCAAAAAGTAGGTACTTACTTTTCCGCAAGCATTTTAGGACATGAAAGTACCAGGGTGACCTAACATTGCATACATATTTTACTTTTCTGCACTAGAGCGGAAGAGTAGTACTTTCACGGCCTCAAATCCGTGCAGAAAAAAAGCACTTTTCGCACAATCTTAAAAAAAAATAAAAAAATTATGACGGGAGATTTTTGGTCGTGGCGCCATCTAAAACTTGGATACAGCACTAAACAACATTTTGCTGTTTGCTGTAAAAGTACTGACGGTCAATAGACCGACCAAAAATCAGTAGTTGAGAAAACAAGTTTTCTCCTATTATACACTTTGTGGAAATTTCATATCAAATATATCGATATTTTTCATTCGTTTTATGGAATGTATCGATATATTATTTCGATATATCGATATTTTTTTTAAGGATTGTTCATCCTTATCAAGGTTCGAATCGGCAGCTGGCCTGCGAGTGACGTCACCACTATTAGCAGCTGATGTTAATGACGTCACCCGTAGACCTCGATGGATTGTTTGCGATTCAGGCTGTGCTTGTCATGGTGCGTACGAATTTTCTGAACCGGTTAGCGTTAGTGCGGTACAGTTATGTTTTAGAACGCAACCATCTGAACTACACCGGTAAATGGAACGCTGCACGGTACGAATGGTGTAAAAAGTGCGACTTTGGTGCGTACGATTTGTCTGAACCGGTTAGCGTTAGTGCGGTGTAGTTATGTTTTGGAACGCAACCATCTAAAGTATACCGGAAAATGGAATGCTGAACGGTACGAATGGTGTAAAAAGTGCGACATTAATGAGGGGTCAGGGTAAAAAGTGTCAGTAGTTCGGACTTATCGTACGCACCATGTTGTTGTAGTCCTTTCAACAGTTTAGAACACTCGTGCTACTCGCTTCGGTCTTCCGGTGTTAGCCGACCCCGATTTGAAAGGAGCTCTTCCGGAGCTCATCCAAGGTGTGAAAGGAACTATTAGAACATAGATATTGCTCTAGTTCAGTACGGGACTTATTTATTATTTATTTATTTATTTATTTATTTATTCAATTCTTTACAAACACTTTATAAAAAAACAGTAATTACATGTAAAGCTTATAACATTTCCGGCTTAACTGCTCCCAGAGCACTCCCAATCTGGACGGTGACGTCATAGATCTTTACGAGAGTGTTCCGCACTGCTCCAAGAGCGATTATAAACTAAACGAGGGCACACCATTTGAAATCAATAGCCGAATCTACACTGTACGTCGAAAGCGCTATAACATAGGAGTGGAGTAGGAATTCTCGAATTCAAACGAAAATGCTACTCTTATTACTCTAACTCTGATACAAAACTCGTTTCATATCGTAATTAACCACATGACCATTTGAAGTAATACTAGTGCAATATCCTACATATGTGTAAAAGTGAGAAAAGTACAAGTAAGATTAGCCTGTGACGTCAAACGGTGCGAAAACGATTACGCGAGTGTGAAAAATTATCCACGGCGCCGATAACCGCGCACGTATTCCAGATCAAAGTCGCCATATTGGTAACTGTCTAATCAGAAATTTTAAGTAAGTAAATAACGAGGATTTACCACGTATTACCTGTAATTTAGCTGGTTTATCCATTATCAAAGAAAACTGTGGACTTTTGTACGTAAGTAGGTGTAAAAAACACGTAGGTAACCCCCCGAGTTAGTGCCCGAATCACCATTGAAAAATCGACAAAGTTATTGCATAAAAATCGCACAATAGTTTTTTGGCCCGAAATTTTTTGTGCTTTTAAGGCACGGTTTTGGCCCCAAATCGAGTCCTGATTGTTTTCGCTCGGGGATTCTTCGCGTCGCCCCAAATTTGCGTATCGAACCGATCCGGTTGGGGCCCCTGGGAAAATTTAATAGGGTACTTGCCAGCACTTTGACAGATGTTACAATTTTTTTTTTTTGACATTTTTATCTAATTTTGAGGTGAATCTTGCCAGAAAAACAGTCATCCTTTAACTTTTCCACAAACGTTTCAAGTTTATTTTGCATTCGAATCCAGAAGTAAGTTTATGTATTTTTTAATTATCCCTGTTAAATGATAAATTTTACAATTTCCCAGAACAAAGGATCATTCTAAGTATTACAAGTGATTCTATAACTGCAGAGTAGGGATTGCATGTTTTGTATTTCGAATATTTCTTGTTTTTGTGTTTATATTTTTATTTTGGGATATTTCGATGGGCCGTAGCAGACAAAACAAAACAGTTATTAGACTTTTAAAATCCACCCAATTGTATTTGTTGACCTTATTATCAGATTATATTTGCAACATGTTCTTTATACTAAACAATTTTGATAAGAGACTAATCTATTTTTTATAGTAATTTTCAATTATTATATGTCATTATTTTGTTAAGTGCTCTTTTCTAACTACTAAGGTCGATTTAGATTTTGCAATAGCAAAGAACTTGCAATTTAACAATTTGGTTTTACACATGGTGCCTGATATTTTTTTAGTCGCTTGTGAACATTGAAATAAGCAAATTTTATACCACAAATATCAATTTTCCTTTATTCGTTCAGGGGTTTTATTGAAAATTATTCACACTTTTAATGAATTAATAACGGATGCAAAGTTTACTGTTATTAGGGATTTTGGGAATCATCTGGCCAATAAGCAAAATTCAAATTAAAAGCAAATTCCAAGAAACAACTAATACATTATAGTTTTATTACATTTTGATGATATTGAAAGCAATATTTTTTTTCTTTAAAGAAATCTATAATTTGTAAGTAAACATCTTGTTTGTAATTTGAATTATTTTTGTTTGTTAGCATAGTAGGTGAGTTTCTATTCTGAAACTAAAGCATTGTGAGTTTCTGTAAAAATACTTATTTCTTCATGAACAAGCCACATTTGAAAGCTTTACTAGTCTTTTCCTGATTCTAGAATATTTAGAAAGGTTGTGTTGTGTATTTTATTTAGGTACCTCTGAAACTATAAATCCAAATGAGTACGGATTGTAGTTCTCCCCCAGGATAAGAATCGCTGAAAATTTCAGCTTTCTATCTATAATAGGCTTTAAAATAAGATTTAAGATTTTACAAAGTTTTCAAGGAACCAAATCATAAGGTCTGTTTCTTCTCATTTTTTTTGAAAATTCTTCTAGGTATTTACCTATATTTAATTGGTTTGAAATTGTTGATGGCCCTAGTTAATATATTAGGTATTCAATTCTTGATAGGTGACAATACTATGATATTTTTCTTCTAAATAGAACTGTTGATTTGTGGTCAAAAATTTATTTTCTTATTTTATATTCTTTATTTCCTTTTGAATAAGATAAAATTAAGTATTTTAAAAAATGGAAATATAGTTTTTGTTTAACGAATTTTTAAAAAATGTTTTAAATTTGTCACTAGTTGACACTCAAAAAATTAAAAAATCTAATAGTTGACATATAATAGGTATTAGTAGTTGACATGGAAATGAAACGATTTTTTATGATCAATAATGGTCCAAGGCACTTAGCGAAATAACAGCCATATTTTACCATAAAATTTAACAGCAAACTATCGATGCAATATTGTTAAGGATCATTTATAGATGCTAAAAACCAAAAATGCAACATCTAATTACTTTTAGGGGATTTTATAATAGTTATTTATGATATAAGTGCTAAAAGTGACATTTTATTTTGTGAAAAGGGAAATTTGGGACATGACGCCGAAGGCGGAGTGTTCCATCCCTTTGAACAAAATAAAATCAGTTTTAGCACGAATATCATACACTATTTTTTCTACAAACGCACTAAAAGTGATTACTTTTAGCACTAGTGCTAAAACTAATGACTTTTAACACCAGTGTCATAAAATGGCATCTTAGACACTGACAGCATCCGTTAAAAATGTCACTTTAAGTGACGTTTGTAGAAAAACAATATTTAGTGCAAAAACAGGGCTTTTTTTGTTTATTTCACTGTATTTCGAAAACTAAGGATCGGATGGTTTTGCTACTCGGGTAATAGTTTTAGAGCATTGAACAAGCTTTACAATGAGCCATGATACAACCCTGTAGGTCTTTTAGTCTTTGAGAAATGATTTTTTTCCCCCAAAAAAAGAGATTTTCGTAAAAAATTCCTAACTTTTTTAATTTTCATGCTAGACAATTAATTTTTTACACATACATAGTAGATGAGGCAGGCTTTATTGAGACCAAATTTGCGCCCGGTCCGATGGGTCGTTTCGGCATAATACCCTTGTCAAGCAAAATGGGGATGTTTCTAAAGCAGTCTGTCGAATTGAGGATAATTTTTTTATATTTATTTTGAAAAGTCCACCGATAAGTCGAAATGCCAAACTATCGATCCTCTATCTCAGATTTTCCATTTAATTTTTTAATCGCAAGTAAAACGGCTTCGAACATGACTGAAAATGGAAAAAATTGACGGGAATTCAAACGGAGTGACAGCGAGCTCCCCCCCGCCCACGCAAATTACATTTTTTTTTCCATTTTCAGTGATGTTTGGAGCCGTTTTACTTGCGATAAAAAAATTAAATGGAAAATCTGAGATAGAGGATCGATAGTTTGGCATTTCGACTTATCAGTGGACTTTTCAAAATAAATATAAAAAAATTATCCTCAATTCGACAGACTGCTGATCTATAAATAATCCTTAAAAATACTGCATCGATAGTTTGCTGTTAAATTTTATGTTACGAAAAAAGTTATCTGCCCTGGCCTAAAGTAAATTTTAATTTACAACATACAAAAAACTAGATATGAACATGACAAGAGGGACTATTATTTTCAACCATCAACTTCAATGGGTGTCAGAAATTGGTATTTAAGTCTCTCTCCAGCAATAATTATTTTGGGGTTTGGCAATTTCCTCAATATTTGGTTGAATTTTATAAAACTTATATCTTTCTCGTTTGGTTTGAATATAGTTTTATTTCCGTCGCATCAATTCATAACAAGAACTTCAGCTTCTCTATTTTCAAAGACTTTTTGTAGGATGCATACATATTTATAATCCTTTACACTGCCAGGGAATTTGGCTAATATATATTCACCTTCTTTATAACCATTCACTATTATCAAGCTCTTCATTATTCTCTTCTTCAGAAGATACGTCATCCATACTACTCCCAGATTCAACCCATGACTCATCATCGGTACTTGAGGAGGAATATTTTTGTTTCCTCATAGATGGCTTTCGTTTTCTCTCAGTAGTCTTCTGTTTTCTGCGTTGCTCCAGCTTTTCTTTTCTCAAAATATTAATCAACCATCCAAGGACCTTTTTTTTTAGTTATACATGTAAACCCCAAACTTTGTGAGTGACTTGCTTACATCAAGTCCGACAACTTTTTCCTCTACGACTTTTCTCGGAAATGGCACATATGCGTACAGCCGACTCGCAAACATGTTGATCTGACGTAGCTGTTTCCTGATACATGTAAATCTAATTTTACGAATAATGTTTGATTATTATGTCCAAATTACGGAAATCAACTTGGCCAACAAAAATAATGGCAAATTAGGGGGAATCCGATACCCCCAAAATGTCGATCTGACGAGGTTATGTTTCCTGATACATGTAAGTCTCATTAAAATTTTTTTCGATCTTAAATTATCTCTATAATGTAAATAATTTGCAAAAAATAATATACATAATCGAAAAAAAAAAAAAAACAGCAAAGATACATTTTATTGTAATCGGTAATCAATGTACTACAGACTACTTTAACTTATGAAAAATATTAAAAAGTTTAAAAATTATTAAAAATTAAATTCTTTAGCTGATGATACAACTCACTGACATTATTCCCATATGACACGAGAGGTTTAATAAGTGATAAGCTATTTGGGATTATCGCGCTTGGTGTATTAAAGTTTAGTTCGTTGTATAACCTTTTGAATACCACTCGATGTTTCAGGATTACCTAATACTTTTACCTGACACTCAACGCGTTACCAGCAACACCACTCCTCCTTCGGAGTCGCGTTTCGTGACAGGTAAAACTATTATCTGGTAATCTTGAAACCTCTTGTGGTATTACATTCGATAATTTATACCTACTAAGCTAAAGTCTGTTTTTTTTTAAAGATAAAAGTCAAAATGACATTATGTTGGCAATACAATGTAAAATTGTCAATGCTTTCAAATTTTTTATGTAGAAAAGGCTTGTGTTGCCAACATAGTTACTAAATTTTTGACTTGGAGAATTATCTTTAAAAAAAAAAACAGACTTTACTTCATTCCATTTAAATTTACCAGTGTTGCCAACTGCTCTTTGCAAAATTAGTGGCACTGAATCCCACCTTTATTGTCAATTACTGGCAAATACAAAATGTCGAATTGAGGGAAGCCCTATTTTTAGGCGATTCCAAGTCAGACACAAGGCTTGACTCCTTTTGTATTAACATTTTCAAATCAGAAATGATGACTTCAGGTTTCAAGACATTGGCTTAAGCATGAGTCACTCTCTCTAGTTACCAGAATTTGAATTTGTGTTCATCATATCCTGAAACTTCAAGAGTTGTCATTCAAATCAGCATGCGCATGCAATATAATGTGACTATTATATAATATATAAGGCGCTTTTTTTTTCCCATCGATCTATCCAACATTATCAGTCAGTTATTCCAAATTCTTCTTCTTCTTCTATCCTTAACTTTATTTCCTGTCGGACAAGACTAATTTAGCATTCAGAAAACATTATTTGATCAAGACTTACTTTTGTCCGACATATATGTATCAGGAAACATAACCTCGTCAGATCGACATTTTGGGGGTATTGGACTCCCCCAATTTGCCATTATTTTTGTCGGCCAAGTTGATTTCCGTGATTTAGACATAACAATCAATCATTATTCGTAAAATTAGATTTACATGTATCAAGAAACATAACCTCGTCAGATCGACATTTTGGGGGTGTCGGACTCCCCCAATTTGCCATTATTTTTGTCGGCCAAGTTGATTTCCCTGATTCAGACATAAAAATCAAACATTATTCGTAAAATTAGATTTACATGTATCAGGAAACATAGCTATGTCAGATCAACATGTTTGTGAGTCGCCTGCGCGCATACATGCCATTTCCGAGAAAAGTCGTAGAGGAAAAAGGTCCTTGGATGGTTGATTATAGTACTTGTTAACAAAGCCATGCTTAAAATTAATTGCACATACATGTATCACTAGAAATAAAATTAAAGTTTTGTCCGCGTTGGACCTTCATGCTTTTCATTTGTAAAACATTCGTTCAAATTATAAAATGCCCTACAGACCAAAAACTGCTTGGTCATACACTGAAGCCTTCTATAACCTGTAAGTTTCCTAAGTTCAGTAGGCAAAGCATTAATAATTTTTTTCACGTTTTAAACAAAGACTAATGTCTATTCAGCTCCTCATTAATTTTTTTAAAGACAACCATACACTTTCAAGAATAAATATACAGCACAAGGTTGAAATTTTATGCTGCAGAAATAGAAGTCTGCATGAAGATCCCCTTTTGACTCTACATACTAGGTGTTCTCTTCTGCAACTGCAACACAAATACAGATTTTAAAAGGGAGCTTGCACAACACCCCCAGTAGCATATTCCATAGGATAAAGGTGATTGAATTAAAGAAATGTAGACAATTAAAAATTTTGACATGTTCAAAAAATTTAAGGTTTTTATTTTCATTATCAAGAATTTTATTCAATTTAAGATTCGAGAGACCGTCATTTTCCAGTTGAATATTGTTATTGTAATGTCACATTTATTTAAAATTAAGAATATTGGTTTTCGAAATATTGAGGGATAATCGGTTTGCATCAAACCATTTTTTCAACAAAAATACATCTTCCTTAGAAAGCCCGTCAACTTCCTGGTTATGCCATAGAATTGTTTGATCATCCGCAAACGCTGTAAATCTTTCCCTTATTGGAAGATGAGATATGTCATTGATAAAGGGTGATTAACGATGTTGCTCCTGTAGAGACTTGCTAACTTACCTTGATGTAATGAATTTTCTGATAAAATTAAGGCTTATAAAATTTTTAGAAATGCAAATGATAACGAAAAGCAACATAAGTGGCAAGAGTTGTCTCACAGGAACAATGTGGTTGATTGATGAGGTATTACTATGAGAAGATAGATATGTTTAAGGGTAACTCCAAGGAAATGTGGAAGACACTGAAGAGTGTGTTTGGCACAGGTAGTTCTATAAGGTCCCAAATTGTATCGCCTTTGACATTAATGATGAGCGGAAAACTGTCAGAGATTGTTCGTAGATTGCAGCAAATTTTAACTTTTGTTAGCAGTATAGAAAGAATTGGCGATAGCATGCAAAATGGTCAGAAATGGACCAATCTCGATGCCAATTTCAATTTGGAGATTTCTAGGTTTAAGTTGTTGAATATGTTTGATGCTCGAAAAATTTTGAAACCACTAGTCATGTTATTCTGAACACATCTCTTAGGACTGGTAAAGTACGAGCGTTTCCAGACTCTAAAATTGAAATTTTGGGCTCTTGAATTGTTTTTTATTCCTGAATTTCAAGCCTAATTACATTAAAATTGACAAATTTGTAAGTCTGTGTTGTTGTTATCAAAAGAATTTAAAGCTTCGCAGCTGCAAAACTATTGAAGCTGATTGAAATTATTAAGCAACTAGATTTGTAGAGGGTTCAATTGACAGTAATTCAAGCCTAATTACATTGAAATCAGATTAAAATTAACAAAGTTGTAAGGCAAAATGTAATTTTGGGACAAATCCAATTTCCTTAAAATGACTTTGAAAGACATTTTTTGGTTTTTTGAGGAAAATGTTTGAGGGATTGGATATACATATACAGCTTTATGAAGTCCAAATTTTAGGATTTTCAAGCCTCTCTTGTTGAGCATCAGGGCCAGGAATAGGATTTTGATGCATTTTTAATTCAAACTTTAGCACTAGTCTAGGATTTTTAAGCATCTCTTGTTAAATTTCAGTCTTACAAGGTTCTGATCTGATGAAGAATTTTTCTGACCCAACTCTCTGTATGTATACCTAATATGTAGTGATGTAAAATGCTCGAGCAAGTATTTTCGGAGAACGTTCTCCGAGCAGGATCGAGAATTAACGAGCAAAAACGAGCAGGACCCGAGAATTTATGCTTTTCATCAGAAGCTGAATAAAACAAAACATTTTTTAAATAAATTCTGATTTTTCTCAAATTTCCCGAAATTCCCAAATTTCTTGTGAAAGTTCTGAATATTCTGAAAATTCTTCATAAATGTGCTGAAAATTCTCAAACTTCTTAGGAAAATATAATACATAAGTATTTAGGACCGATACTTTTGCTCTCGATTAACATATTTGATACGTTGTCAAAGTTTTGCATGGGCGAAGGTCTATAAGTATGATGTGGTTAGAGCACATTCTAACCCCTGATTATTTTTAACTGTCAAATGAGAGCAAAAGTACCAGCATTTAAGGCTGGTTCATGCATAAATTCTTTTTCTGTTTCTTTAACTTTTTCCTTATGCATAAGCTTTTCTTTTTCCGTAAAATTTGAGGTATTTCATGCACCAAAAATTAAGAGTTTTTATCAGTCTTTAATAATGACATTGTTGACGTGTATGGGAAACTGCGAACGGTTTGTTGGATTTTATCAGGGTGTTATAAATATTATTTCCCACGTTATTTTCAATTCAGACACGTATTTTAAGTCGTATTTGTTGTTTCCTTTAAAAAATTTCCTGTTTTTGAGGTTAAGTCGAGAAATATGGATGTTTTCATCTACTGCGCAGGCGCCATCGAATTTATCTGTAACTTTATCCGTAAAAGCATAGACTTTAAAAGATAAAAGTTAACTATCTTTATTTAGAGAATAAAGAAAATGATACGGAAAAGTAATGTGCATGAACACCTGCATATAAATACATGCAACTTATACATTACTTACGGATATAGATAGCGACTAAGTTACGGAAACGGAAAATATTTTCATGCATGAACCAGCCTTTAATCTCATAATTTGTGTCATGTTTGACAACAATAATAATTCTTGGAACGACAGCATTGAAAACATGTATGGGCGATTCTTACTGACAGTTTGCAAACTGTCAGAGACTCCTGTGGGAACAGACCCCTAATTTGGGGTTTTCTGTGAAACTTCAACATACAATTTAGGAGACTTTTTTTTTGATAATAAAATAAAATAGTGATTTTAGTTTGAGTATATTCCAGTACAACGCTACCTTTGCTTACAAAAAAATAGCTATTAGGCAATTCAAACCACGTGACATTCAAGATGGCGTGGCGGCCACACATTGGCCAAAAAACACAAAAAAAAATCTAGTTTCTGCCCGACTTAATAGTTTACGTACCTCGTCAACAAATATTTTATTAAATAATCAAAATCAAAGTTGCAAGCAAAACTCTAAGGAAAATAATTTAAAATACGCATAAAAACATATTCAAAACAAACTTGCTTGGCCGCCACGCCATATTGAATTTTCCTTTTTGACAGATGGATTGAATTGCCTAATTGCTGCTAAGTTGCTTTCTGGTTCTCGTGCTCAATATTCGATATATCTCCGCCTTCAACAGCTTGTGCTTGAGAACGTGCTGAATATTCTCTATCATGCTCAATGTGCTCCGAAGGTAATATTCAGCACGGACCTTTTTTTCGTGCGCGAACGTTCGCGAATGTTCTCAAAAGCACAATCAGAACGTTCCCTTGTTCACATCACTACTAATATGTAGATTCCTCTAGAATGGCTAAAGGTATCTACATCTTGACAATTCAATATTAATTAAGCCCCTCTCTTTTTTTACTTGGAGATATTCTGTTTCTATATCTGACAATTATCATTGGTTGTAATCCTGTTAGTTATAGTCATTCTTCTAGTACAAGTTTAATTATTTTCTAATAATGTTCTGTTTTATTTCCAGGCCAAGCAAACGAGAGTTTAAAAAAGTGAATCAAAACTGTGCATTGAGATGTCAGTGTTGAATCAAAGTGGTGAAGAGCAGGTGGAGTGTCCGTTATGTATGGAACCGCTGGAAGTCGACGATTTGAATTTTTTCCCTTGTACTTGTGGATATCAGGTAATAACTGATACAAATTTGTTAAAATTACATCCACTTCCAAATTCCTCTTTGATTTGAATAGAAATGTGTGCAGGCAATATGCTCATTTTGTAAAAGTGTAAAAATAATAAAGCAAAATAGGTCTTTTTATTGAATACAGCATAATGATTTGATGTGTCACAATACTCGTCTTGATCATTAATATTCTGCTCATACATTATTGACACAAATCAATTAAGATTCTCGACAAGCTCTTAAGGTTGGCGGTCATTGAATCTTGAAAAGATGCAGCTTTTGATCAATTTTAACACTATTTAAATTATATTTACCAAAGCACTTTGACTATTGTCGATAAACAAATTACATTGATAAACAAAGTACATTTTCTCTTGTTTATTAAATTGTTAGAGATACATCTTGCATAACAGTGCGATTTTTTTTTATCTACAAAAAAAAAACAACTTTGTTATGATTGAGAAATGTAATGTTTATTGTATGGCTCCCACGCTTGGTGTGTTCATATAGAACGTCATTAGCATAATAATTAACAATTCAAGCAAGTTTCCCAGATAGTGGAAAAGAAGGAATCTTTTTTTTATTGTTTGTCGATTAGGAGATTTGTGTTTTTATTATCTTTTATCAACATATTAAAAACTGTATGTTATTTTGTTTATGAATTACTAGATTTAGATAATATTCATGCATGACGTGCTTTTATTGGGAATCTTGGGAGATTTTTCAAAATTTTCAAGAGTTATTTAGGTGCATTTATAGGATATTATTGAACCATTTTCTTTTTTAGATTTGTCGTTTCTGTTGGCACCGAATCCGTTTGGACGAGAATGGCGGCCTGTGCCCGGCGTGTCGCAAAGCGTACTCCGAGAACCCGGCCGATTTCATTCCCTTGTCCCGCGAACAGGTAAAACCGAGTTTTGAGAAAAGTCAACGTGTATTTTTCAATGACAATTGTGCAGGTTGCCAAGTTGAAAGCGGAAAAGAGGCAGCGCGACCAGCAGCGCAAAGCCAAGCTGACAGAGAGCAGAAAACATCTGGCCAGTGTTAGGGTAGTACAGAGAAATCTGGTAAGGATTGGTTAATATTAAATGAATGGTCAAATTTCATAAATCACTCAAAATCATTCTAAAAAAGTTGTGGAAAAGGCTATGTTTTGGATCATTTATAATAAATTTGTTCTCTTTTTGTAGGTATTTGTTGTTGGTCTTCCTCCTAGGCTAGCCGATCCCGAAATTCTAAAACGTCACGAATATTTCGGCAAATTCGGAAAGATACATAAGGTAGTTATAAACCAGTCTACAACGTATGCGGGCTCGCAAGGACCTAGCGCAAGTAAGTCAAACTCAAAAGAGGTTTTAAAAAAATTATTAACAATTTGATTACAAGGTGCCTATGTAACTTATCTGAAAAGTGACGACGCACTGAGGGCGATACAGGCCGTCAACAACGTCACAATAGACAATAGGGTAATCAAATCGAGTCTCGGGACGACCAAGTACTGTTCTCATTTCATGAAAAATCAGGCGTGTCCTAAGCAGGATTGCATGTATTTACATGAATATGGTGAGTGACATAATAATTGTCCCAAGGTCAATATTATTTTGCAAAATAAGGAAACTTTTTGTTCAGTCACTCACATGATTCACCATAATAGTTCCTTTGTCAATTTGTTTCAAGGAGACCCTGAAGCTAGCTTCACTAAGGATCATATGCATGCGGGGAAACATCAGGAGTACGAGAAAAAATTGCACGAGGACCTTTTGGCAAGGACAAAAGCACAACAAAACGGCAATGGACAGAACGGTACAGAGGCGAAAGTTAGCCAAATATCACAAAAAGGCGTCAAAGATGGGGCAACTGGGGTGAGCCTTATTATTATTTTAGTTGTAGCTTTTTTCCAACAATAAAATTATGTTTCTAGTCAAATACATCTAAAGACGCAAATGGGAGCACAAACAAAGAGAATTGGCCGGTGTTGGACAAAGAAAAGAAACAGGAAAAAGACAAAGTTAGAAAAGGCAAAACGAAAAACGGAGTGGCGGAACCCAGGACGAAGGAGAAGAAAGAGGGCAAGGGCGTTAGCAGTAGCAGTAGCAGCGAAAGTAGATCTTCACAGGATAGTAGGACCACTAGTACAAGTAGCAGCAGTAGTCAACCTATAAACAGCAAAATAATTATTGATGGTAAGAGTTTGTGTGATCTCATCAGAAATCTAGGCTAAGTTTTTGTCTAGATAATTTGTAACTTTTTTGTTCTTTGTTGAATTAATTTGAATTTTTAATATCTCCTGCTCTAATGTCTTGAAAATAATCCCACAAAATTTCATATTTGTACCTTGCATTGTTGAGGCAGATCATCTAAACTACCATTTACATCAAACAAAATGTCCTTTTACATTTTTAGTTGGACTACCTTTGTTTATATGTTATTCCATTCCAGGCAAAGATTCAGATACATACCATTCGCCAGGCTTCTCGACAGAGTCCAGTCCTTCATCGTCACCCCCTAGCACCCACTCGCCACCTCTCCAACTAATGGTTACACCCCCAATGGTACTACCCGACGCGCCTACTTCCTTCAACACCTCGCCCAACTCATTCCAGTGCAACAACGGAACCTCGTCGTTCGCCAGCAAGTTGCCGCCCAATTTAGTGGTAGGATCCGAAGACAACAATTCCTATTTCAGCTCTAGCGGTTTCAGTAAAATGCACAGCGCTAGTTCTGTAGATAAAGAACAACATTCTATGGATAGAGATAGATTGGGTGGGGACGCGGGCGTTGCCAGAACTTTGGGAGATCTTCAAGAGGATAATGGGCATCAGTTGCTGACAGATACATTACCTTCCATAAATACAACAGAAGACTGGGCGGCGGCTTTTGGTTTTGCTGGCGGACAACAAGCTCGTGAGCACGATCTTCTTCAACAAAAAATTCAGCAACAGAGGGATGTTAGTAAATTGCCTAGTTTTGCCACTGGATATGGTTTAGGAGTTAATGACAATGCATTTGGAAAAGGTAACAAACAATCAAATTATAGTCATTTAGTCAATAATTATGATTTTACAGGTTCTATAGATAATTTTAGTGGATTTTATGAAATGTCTAAGTTACAAGAAAACCTAATGGATGCCCTAGCGAGTAAAACAAACGGATTCAATATAAGACCACACGATGGGAACGTGCACCAAAGGGTGCAACAGCCTCAGCAACCTCCACACATTAGCAACGGACTAGAACAAAATATGTCCAAGTTCTTTAGCGATTTCAATAAATTTAATGCCAAGGAACCGCCTAATTCTTCGCCATACCAAAACGGTTACAACGGTCTACACAATCCTTATCAGCATATATTACAACAGAAACAATTGGAAGAACATTTTTTGAATCTCGGACTTAAAGATTTCGGCGGAGCGCAGACGGTAATTTTCACTGTTGTGGCTGTTCAAGCAACAACAATTAAATTGTTTTTTTTCATGTTATTTCTTAGACTGTATATCAAAATGGAATTCCCACACCTACATATACGAACGGAGATGCATCTCTTCTAGGCTCTATTCATAATTTATATTCAAAACCGCAGGTAAATAGTTTATTAGTTATATTTGGATGTCTTAATTTGTTGTTTTATGGTATATTTTGGAATTTTTTGAGGATAGAAATGTCCACATGCGTTAAATGTTCATTGAAACAAATCCTCTAAACTATCTGCCGTTTATAGGTAGTCTCCCCCCAAACACAAAATACAAGAAATTCAGAGGCAGAATTGGACTTTGACCCGTTCCAAGAAACACAGAAAGCTTTAGCGGAAATGATGGCGACCGAGCAAAATCACAAACCACACAATCCAAGCTTAAATACAGGTAAACTTAGGAGTTTTTCACATGAAAATCAGACTAAATTTTGATGTTTTCTAGGTCGCCCGTTAAATGGTCTAGTTCATAATCAAAATAGTACTCACATACCTCCTCCACCGCCGGGATTTTTACAGCAGCAACAGCAGACACATATGAATTCGTTCGGTAGGTGGAACTTTCTCTAGTGGTATGTTTTGATGAAGGTTTTTTTCTTTGCAGGAAGTAAAATTCTACCATTTTTAAATATGTCCAATAATCAACAACAGCAACAAAATAGTCCGACAAATAATTGGCCTAGTAGTTTTAATTCTCAAATACCACCACAAAAAAGTAAGTACCTACCTTTGTATGTTTCTTAAATCCCATCCGTTTATTTATTTTGACATGAATTTTCAAGCTTGTGATAAGTTTGTCGTCATCAGAAAATTGAAATTAGTTCATTGTCATAGGTTCAGAACAAGAGTCTTTCTAGAATTTTAGGAAATTATAAATTTATGTGACAAATGATTCTGATTGGATAAGAAGAGTAACATGGCCATCACTCTTCCCAGGCCTAACCTCCTTAGACTTTTTATGGGGTCGTATGAAGAATCATTTTAGTGGGGTTTTCATTTTTTTTGTACCTCGCTCAGAAATTGATCTTTACTTGGCAGTGTTGCCAGAGAGCAAAAATGTTTTGTACCAAAATTAAAAAATAATTGTACCAGAGCGGGTTATCCGGTCACTCGGCCAGGGAGGACACGCTGATTTCTTCAGTGTAGCGCACGTGCGGCCTAGAACATCTAACAGTAGATTTGTAATATTCATAATAGGTATTAAAATCAGTTGACAATATAACTCCGGCCCTTGGGGCTCGTATAACCTCGGTCCTTCGGACTCATAACGTAATTAAAACAACACTGGCCATTCAGGCCAGAGATTTGAAAAAAACATATGGCAATACTGCATATGATACAACAAACGTTAAAAAATTGACGTTTAGTAGGCCTTGTTTTCTTTAAAACTCGATACAAAATGGCGTTTCTTTGTTGTTCTGTGGGCACAAGATTAAAAACACTCTCGCCCTTCGGGCTCATGATTAAAAAAAAAAACGCCATTTCAATCCTCTAGCGTTACAGTGTTACCAAAAGTTAAAAATTTCAATCAGCCTACAACATCATAACAACCGTTTCTTCATGTCAGTTGCCACTTGTCAACGTTTTACATACATTAACAATTAGAAATGCTCCAAAATTACCGTTAAAATGTTGGAACGTTGCTGTTGTAGGCCTCAATTTGAATCACAAGGCTGTCAATTGACAAAAAAAGTCATAACAATCGTAGGTGGTCCTGAAAATGAACTGGTCAATTGTCAAAAGTCATAATATTGTATGTAGGCTTGTCAGTTGTCAAAAAAAAATTGAGTAATTATTCCGAGTGTTTGAACCGGAAACAATCGAAAATTTACTCTGATGATAGTTTAGCTCAACCAAGTCATCATTTAAATTGTTTCCTACTTTATCTCGCTCTTTATCTTACTCATTTATAATCGGTTTTGGTTTTTACTAATATATCCTACTTTATCTTCTTCTTTGTTTTACTCACTAAAATCTGGAAAAACATTATGTTTGAGATTGTATTTATGGCAACGTCGCTTTTGATCAAGTAGGTCTTGTAATAATTTCATTTGGCATTTTAGATAGTCGGCCATTTTCGAGTGTTTTTATTCAGTTTCTCCTCGAATTTTCCACTTTTCCAGGCCGGTTTCGATCGGGTAAACTGTTAATTATATGCGAGTCCGAAGGGCCGGAGTTATTTTAATCACAGGGCCCAGTTTATGATTCTATTGGTCAGCGGATAATTTGGAGCCAATCAAAAACCGGGAATATTTAAAATGCGATTTTTAGCGCCCAATCAAAGAGCCGGGAATATTCAAAAACTTTAGTTTTATCAAGTTGATTTTGGAATGTTGGTTTTCTATTGGGTTTTCTTAAGATTTTTACTTTTTTCAGAAAACGGTGCTTTTTGCAAACATATACATACTATTTTATCGTTGTCTTTGTCTTACTCACTATAATCAACAAGTAAACCTTGTAATGTCATTTTCATTGAAATTAAACTAAAAACAAGTTTCCGATGCGTTATCTAGGGAATTTTAATTATTATAATCATTATTTGACAATTTTTAATTGAATTTTAAACAAAAAACTTATTTAAAATGTTATTTTTGTTTTTCGAGATGTAATGTGGCAATGTTGCTTTTAGTCGGCCATTTTAAAGTGACGTCTTGTGATTTTTTGCCAGTTTTTCCTCGAATTTTTGACTTTTCCGGGGATTTTTAATGGAAAAAAGCGATTTAACATACGAGGTTTTGAGTTTTCTCCATTTTCTAGCAAAAATTTCCGCTTTTAAATGCCATAATTAGCAAAATCCCATTTAAAATGCTTTTGATGTGACAACGCCGCTTGTCGCTAATTTCAATCAAGGAGGCCTTGTAATAAATATCATTTGTCATTTTTGACATTCGGCCATTTTCATTTGACGTGTTTACATTTTTATCCAGTTTTTCCTCGAATTTTTAACTTTTCCGGGCTGTTTTTGCTCGGGAAAATTGATTTAAAGTACGAGGCTTTGAGTTTCCTTCATTTTGTATCAAAAATTTCGAGTTTTTCAACGGGGTAAGTAGCAAAAACTTAAGTTTCATCAAGTAGGCTTTGGAATGCCATTTTTCAATGTTTTTTTTTTTGGATTTTCCGCTTTTCCGATCAGGAAAACCTATTTAAAGTACGAGGCTTTGAGTTTTCTTTATTTTTTGCCGAAAACTTAAACTAAACACAAACTACGTCAACCAAAAACCACAAAACGAGTGTTAATTAACATTGACATTAGATTAAGTAGGCAGTAGGCTAATGGCCGTTTCCACCAATTATTTTAGGGGAGCCTTAGCGATAGGTGGGTTCGGCTTGCTCACTCCGAGTGACTCCATTCGCACTCCAGGCGTTCGGGTTAAGGTTCGGGTATTGCTTTTTACCGTATTAGGGGTGACTCCATTAGCTCTGCTCACTCCACTCCAACTCCGTGCTGAATAGCCGAACCCAGCTGATAAGTATTCCTTAAACTGACATTTCTCCATATAAAAATGTTATTTTAGGGAATACTTACCGATAAGGCTCCCTTTAAATAGTTGGTGGAAACAGCCATAAGACCATATACCTATTATACTAACGTATATCGCGCCTTCCCCATTTACCCAATGTGCGGTTTTTGAAGCAAACAAAGAGAGATAAAGTTATATGATCTCGCATAAGTCTATCTTTGTCTAACGAAGGAGACCGAGGTTATGAACTGCGCTTGCGTTAAACTCTAGATTCTTATTGGCCGGCGGTTGCCATTTTGCATCAAGCTTTTCGTGCCGTGTTGTCATGTCAAGCTAAAAAGCACAATAAATTAGGATCATTTTTTGAGGTTATAATTTGGTCGATTGTATTTGGATTCCAAAACACTAATAAAAATGAATATATTGGTTTATTTGTCGAAATCGAGTATGTGTTACACGCACCAAACTACAAAATTCGTCATGTTTCTTGTGAATGTTGAAATAACTCGAAGATGAAAATAACGTTATTGGCAACCCTGCAATATCAGCTGTTTAAAATGAAATCTTATTGGAGGAATAACTTCAAATTGACGCATGCGCATTGGAAAAACGAGTTCACTTGAGACAAAGAAAGCATCGTTCTATCTCATAATGTTTGCTTCAAGAACTCAAACCAACCCGCGATATACGTAGTATAATAAATATATGCATAAGACTCTTTGAAAATTTGGAAAAAATAAAAAAATTGGAAATTGTACCAAATATGCCAACGTCGCACCAGCATACTTTTTCAAAATGGATGGTACCAAACCTGGTACAATTGTACTACCTCTGGCAACACTGTTACTTGGTGTCCAAATTGGCCCACCCTGTACAGGCTGTCAAATTATAAAGTACCACTTCCTGTAACTTTTTTATTTTTGATCGTACATTAAAAAGTTACAGGGGGTGGTACTTTATAACTTGACACCCGGTACACAAACTTTCTGATCTGGCCTCCATTTTGGCTCCAAAGCAAAAAATTCAATCGACTCCCTATACCAGGAGCCATATTTATGGAAACTTTTTCTGCTATTTTGATGAATACTACCGGCCCTAAACCATCATGAAGACTGTCTGAAATAAGTAATGTGCGACCAACGAGAATTGAACAACGGCAAATATGCAAACTGATATTTCTATCACACTCTATTCCACTGCAACTGTGTATTTCCATATCATTTTTTCCTCTTTTCATAGTTACCAACATATACCAGTAAATCTTCCAATTATTTTCAGCTATTCCAAACACATGTAACGACTGGAAAGTATTGGACCCAGCAATTCTAAGTTCAAGCCGCAGCTATCAGGTCCCACAGATGGCGCAAGGGGGTCCACCGACAGTGAGAGACCCATACGCCGCTCCAATTCCTCCCTTAGGCACCCAACAAATTACGTCACAACAACAGCAAAACGGCCCGATGAGACCGTTCGATTATCCGCCTAGCAACAACAGCCCGTTTTCCGCGTTCACCCAAGTACAACAGCCGGGCTACAGCAACGCGTTTGCACCACAACAGAATGTAAACAATATGCCGTGGTTCACGGCGAACGACATAAATTCGCAAATTTCCACTCCGCCGGGGTTCAGAAATAGCCAGACATCCAAGCAGCAGGAATGCTAAGGCACCCCTGATCCGATTAGTTAGCTGTAATATGGATCACAACGTTTATTATTCACTGGATATTGATTTATTAAAATAAAAAGCGATTATGTTTCTTAGTTTTTTTTTGTGCAATATTGTGTTAATTTGATGTCTATATTAATTTTTTATTGGTCAAAACAAAGCAAGAGAGTAGAAAAAAATTGTCATATATTATTCTGGTTCAGCATAATTATTTCAAAATTTGTTTCCTACATTATTGTTCTTGTTTTGCAAAGATGTTCGATCCATAACAAGGAGCTTAATGAAAAGATACGTGTAATCGCTACCAGGTACCGATTTAAATTAAATTGTTTAAAAATTGAAATTAAATTTGAAGGCGGGGGTGCTTGGTCACAATGAAAAAAGCATTAAAATTAATATTCTATCCATTTCAGTATATAATTGAAAGTAAAACAGCTAAATATAATGTATTACAGTATTGATTTGTGTTTTATTTTATTTTTTTTTCCGTTAGTCGAGGAATATGGTCATTATGTATGTACGTATGTAAGGTTGATCTATTGTACTCCTCCCGCTACTGAGTTCGGATTTTTGCTGCTCTAAGCCGCCTCTCTAGTTCAAATTCTAATTAACACAGCAATAATTTATTCCACTTAACAATACACTCTGACACTAATTACTTTAATAACTAACTCAACAATTAAACTCTTACAACTCACAACAATAATCACTATTTAAATCACATCACAGTCGAACTAAAACCTAAAGTTACAAGCTAAAACCCGTCCTTATATATAGCCGTAATTTATTCCTGTAAATTCCAGAAGAACCGTGATCAACCTTGTTCTCGACCATCAACGTAAAAACTCGAATCTTTACAGGATTCTTGACACACTGGCGGCCGTCACAATATCTAGTGGTTCTTGGGTTGCAATGTCTTTTAACTGTATAAGGGTTCTTTATCCTTGAGCGACTTACGGCTTCACAGTTTAGTAGAAGATAGTGAGATCTCTTCTTCTTCACAAAATCTGCAAATGCTACCTTCTTCCAACCCCAATTTCTGTAGGCGTTCCTCAAGTCCCGAGAGAAACCTTGTTTAGTCTTTTCTTGCTAAGGTTGACCAGCAGTTCTGATCATTTTTTGATTTGAAAACATTGAGGCAGAATTAAAAATACAAAATTTTTGGTAAAAAACAATTTATTATTTATTATTCAATATTACTTCCTATAATTTTTACACTATTTACAATCGGTTCTTAACTAAAACCAGAACTAACAAATGACCAGGAAATAAAAAAAGTCAATTCTGCAATAAAATAATGATGAATAAAGGAAACTCCACGAGAATAAGTCATTTGTAAGTTCAAATATCATATTGTACCTATATTTTATTAGAAAAATAAACCTTACTATCCTTTTTACAAATACAATTTTCTCAATACATATTTAATCACAAAGACACTTTTGTTAAAAAAAATTTAGACCTAAAGTAATAAATTTTGAGACAAAAATTCTTTATTTTATACTGTCCAAGAAGGGCCGATTTATGCAGTTTTAGTAGAGTTTTGGTCAATACACATTTCTTTTAGTGTTGATTGCTTTTGGCAAAAAATCCAGTGAAGGCTTTAACAAATGAAGCTGAACCAAATTTTCTGGACAGTATAAAAGGGAAAACAAAGATATACTTCTTAGAACTTATCTGTATATCCAAGTAGTTGTTACAAAATCCGAACCAGTGTCTATAAAAATGTGGGCAATTATGTCATGAATAAATAAAATCGAGCAAAAGCAAAACTACCTGTAAATTGATTTGCATAATTTTATATTTTAAAAAATAAATGCCTAAAAATTGAGAAATTTTTTTAAGCAAATTTTCAGTCAAAATAAAGTAAATTAGGTACCTATGGGATATTTTACAAATGATAACAACAAGCAAATATATTTCTTGCATTGCTTCCTTTATGTTCAAAGTAACCATTTCTATTCATTTGTAAAATATACTATAAATATTAATAAACACACTTAACTCAAAAAATAATTCATAAATGTTACACAGTAACAATAAAAAATTATTTATACAGGACGGTGTTGTAGGTAAAGTAAAACTGTTTGTCCTGCGTAATAATTATTTTTGGATTTTCCTGGCAACCAACATTGTTACCTCCAATAATTATTAGTTATCAAATAACACAAAAGTCAAACTAAAAACTAACAATAAAAACTATATTTTTGGTTTTTACAAGGTAGATTTTTTCTGTTGAAGTTTGTCTAATACATATTTACAATAAAACCTAAAAGAAACACAACATTTTTAGTCAAATTGAACATAGGAAAACAAAAATTCTTACCTCATTTTAATCAGTATAAACAATATATTCTGGATCGGCAACCTCTTGAGCAAACGACGATTGCACCATTTGCATACTGCTCGACGATCTGCCTTGAAGGTTATTCCTCCCGCCTTTGGATTTGGCGTGAGTTAAAATATGGCTTTTCAGGTTTGTCGATTGGGCGAATTTCTTGTTGCAACCGTCAAATGGACAAACATAAGGCCTGTCTCCAGTATGTATTCTGACATGTGTTCTAAAACAAACATTATAAATAAGATAATTGAATTTCCAATGAATTTTCATTACCTTAGGTTGAAATCGAGACTAAATCTTTTGCCGCAGCCTTCGAAAGTGCATTGGAAGGGTTTTTCTCCTGTGTGCACCAGCTGAAAATTAAATAATAATTTGTTTAAACAATCTTTTCTACTATAACAAAGTAGATCTTACCTGATGTCTCTTTAATTTGCTACTTTCAACAAAAGCTTTTCCACATTCGGCGCAAACGTGTACTCTAGGGCCGTGCGTATGTAAATGTTTTCTCATTGCTGAATTGTCTCTAAACATTTTATTGCAACCTTTATGAGGACATGCTGAAAATGAGAAAAAATAATAATGAAATTGAAAGTATGAAACTGGCTAGAGAAAAACTAAACTTGATAAAGTATCATCAAATAATGATCTCATAACTTTTGGAAATTGAGTGCAAGAAATGATAATTTCAAAGACAACGATTCTGTTTTTTATGGAACGACAATACTCCAAAAGAACCATTCTGAAGGATAAATGACAATAGTAATTTTTTAACACAAAAATTCTGAATGTACATACCAATAGTTCTCTCTGACAAGTCCTGATTGGGTCGTCTCACTCTGGGACTCTTCAGGCCGGGCCTGGCAAATTCTGCCAACTGTTTGGGATCAGACAAATCCAATCCAGGCATGCCTTCTTGCTTGACTTTTTCGCCGGTCATGTATTCGGTGTAGTCTGGATCCGGGTCTGGATTTGAACCTTCATCTAATTAATGAAGAAAAAAACATATAATTTTAGTTTATATTGGTAACAAGACTAAAAGCCTATTTTGTTATTCAAATCTGTTTGATTCGGATTCATGGAAAATACTATTTGTCCATTTATAATGTGCCTTAGTTATTCTTAGAACCAGTTTATTTATCTTCAGATAACTATATCTATTAGACAAATTCACCTATTGGTTGGCCATTTATTCACGCAGATTGCATTAAGAACCTCTGTTTATCAGAAGGTAAAAAAGCCACTCCTTAATTTGGTATCTACTCTTGCCAAGGTATTTTTTTTTTTTTTTTTTTTTTTTTTTTTTTACGGATATGCGCACTCGCAAGGACAATGTCCTATCACGCTCGAGAAGCGGCAAGTGCGCGGAAATGTCGGTGTATGTTGGTCTTGAAACGGTTCAGGTTGTAACCTGCAGGGAAAACCGTCGCAGGGAGTTTATTCCACAGCGATGCTGTTCTCCAGAGATATGAATTCTGATATAGTGAGGTTCTTGGTGCCTCTAGTTTGACAGTAAATTCATGGTTACCGTCTGTTTGACGCGTTCGCCTGGTAGGTGCTACTCTCGGTGGAATCATACGTGCCAACTCTTCAGAGCATTTTCCGTGATAGTACCTGTAGAAGAGAGATAAATCGCCCACAGATCTGCGATGTTCGAGACCATCCAAGTTACGAGTAAGTGCGGGGTCATTGATCAGCTTGATAGCTCGTTTTTGCACGGTATTCAAAAGCATTAAGGTATGTTTGGGTGCAGCACTCCATATATGTGAGCAGTACTCCATAGTTGGTCGAATCTGGGCTTTGTAGAGTGTCAGCAATTGGCTTGGTGTGTACAGATGTCTTGTACGAAATAGCACCCCCAGCTTTTGGGAGGCCCTTTTAGCAATATCTGCCACGTGACTGTGCCAAGACATGTTGGTCTCTGCAGTAACCCCCAAGATGTTCAACTGACTCTGTAATGTGACAGCACTTCCAGATAGCATGATGTTTGGCTCACCGGTGCTGGTCTTTTTTGAAAACAGAGCTGCTTGGGTTTTCTGCGCATTGAACTGTACAAGGTTTTTGTTACCCCAGTCCTCTATTATCTCCAGGTCGTTATTTATCTGCGATATTTGAGTTAGTCTAAGATGATGGAATTCACGTGCGGAAAGCCCTGTGGGTGGTATGAGTGAGGAGACTACATTACCATCGTCTGCAAAGCAATAAAGTGGATTTACTGTTTTATCTATGAGGTCATTTATGTAAATCAGGAAAAGAGTTGGCGAAAGGATTGCTCCCTGTGGCACACCAGCATTTATTTGGTAAGAGTTGGAGTTCTGGCCATCCAGTGCAACATAAATGGATCTGTCCTTTAGGTAACTTTCAAACCAAGTGCAAAGTTTCGGCGATAATCCCATTGTACCCAGGTATATCAACTACATAGGAAAAACTTACTCAATAGGGTACTTGCATGGAAAATTAAATTGATTATTGTTTATTGCAAACTGTAGGAAATCGAAAAAAAATCGTTACTTTTTTTTAATTCCGCCCAAATATGATTATTCCGGAAGTTATACAAATATTAAGTTTTTTATATATAGATATACTGAGCATGTGCGACGTCACAACTCACAACGTATTATACCTAAGTAATGACGTCGGTAGGACATTTCAAAGCGTTGTATCTCCGTCAATTTTTGACTAACAAGAAAAAGAAAAAACACGTGTTGACTTATTTTTCATGGACTATCGAAATCAGCAATAAAAAAATTTGATGCAAGGGGCTTATTCAGATAGAAAATAGTAGTAGGGCCACACCAAAAGATTCTAGTTCTTGCACTCATTTTGTTTCCAGTAAATATAAATTTTTAGAAGATCAAACTAGGCTTTGGATGCACTAAAATTGTTTGTTTTGTCTTTATATCATTTCAAATGCATTGAATAGAGATGACATATTCTAAAACCAAGGTTCTTAAAGTTAATGGGTTCTCTGGTAAGGAGTAACTTGATGACGTAAACTTAGGTGCCTTATGAAGATTTGCATTGTTGAAGCACCGCAGCTGACGTCATAAAAGTTATCAGAGCTTTCCAGTGACCCGTTTGAGTTACTCCTGAGCAACTCAGAAATGCTCCACAATAACTTTGCGCGTTCCAATACTAGAGTGTAATACACTTGAGGTGCTTTCCAGTGACCCATTTGAGTTACTCCTGAGCAGCTCAGGAGTGCTCCCCAATTGCTTTGCGCGTTCCAGTGCTTAGAGTGTCGTACACTTGAGCTACTCATTTCTGTTATCCCCTGCCCCCTCGTGCACCAAGCCTTTTACCTATGTTCCATGCTCCTGAAATCCGAAATGGTGGGGGTTAAGACGAGAGCGTTCCAGTGCTGCTTATGTCGAACAGTTCAAGAGCGTCACACTCCAGGAGCATGATACTCTAATAATTTAGGCACTGGAAAGCAGCTGCAACTCAAACAACCTTGTTCGAAAACAATTTTTTTTTTTAAACATACTTGTATTCCTTTCAAGAGTTTGGAACACTAGTGCTACTACGTCTCGTATTAAAGCGAATACCATTGGAAGGGTTAGTGCGTACTAAGTCTATTCATGTCTTTTTCTACCAGCTTGTATAAGAAATAAATAAAAATACATTTTTCCTGCACTGGTTCTACCAATGGAATAAAGCTGTGGAATAAGCGCGTAATGCCCCAGAGCTGTTTCGGACCTCCTCCTAGGTGTGAAACGAATACAACTTATGATTGATTTTTTCTATGAGTGTTGAATAATATGCATAATATACATCCATTTCCTTTTGATCAATGTGAATTATTACTCATACAGTGAGTTTTTTTTTTTCATTACTCAATTGTTTTCAACCAATGAAAATATCCTGGTCTCATTACTCCACTATTTAAGAGCCAATCAGAAAATTCGACAAGTTGACAACAGACTTCAACCTTCCAATAGATCATTTTGATAGCTGATTTCTTAGAGCAGGTAAGTTCTTAGGTGGGAGGAGTAGGAACATGGAGTTGGAAAATGAAGCCATTTTTTCCCAGGTATTTTGAGATCCAAAATAATGGCGGTATAGCTAGCTCGTGCCTATTAGAGAGTTATTGGACGTGCAATAAGGACAAGCAGTATTTAAATTAGCCTTATTTTGACATCTACGCATGCGCAATTGTATCCGAAAATAAGGATTCCCTTAATAAGGTTACTGCTTGTCTTTATTTGTGCATGGTTAGTGCGAGGCAGTAAACTTCCCTTATTTCAAATGTCTGACATTTTGGACGACTTTGACGTTTCGCTTTCCGACGATGACGTAATTTTACTTAGAAAATTTATTTTTTACAATAGTTTTCCATTTTACTGTGGGTAACATCAAAAAATGGGTATCAGCAGAAAATCACAAACAGAAATAAACACTTTTTGAGACTAAAATTTATAAACATAACTATCAGCTGTCAAAATTATGAATACAAAATAAGGTAATACTCTAGCACCTACTACACTCTTCCAATAACTGTTTTTCCTTGGAAAAATAATGCTGATGCACTAATAAAATAACGTAGATCCTTAATACTGCGAGGCAGTATTTAATAGTTCCAATAACTCTCTATTATCTATTAATCATAGAAAAAGTATAGTATTCTACTTGTGGGTAATGGCTATTACTCACTCGGATGATTACAGTACTCGCCTGCGGCTCATAGTGCAAACTTCATCCTTTGTGAGTAATAGCCATCATTACCCGCTCGTTGAATAATATACTATATTATCTTTTCTCTATTATTTTTAATGCATTAGACAAAGATTAATACATTGCATTGCAAAACTCTTCTATTCTTGATGATCAAAGTAGGCTTTGGATGCATTAAAGGTCTGTTCTCACAAACCATTCAGAGCAAATTTCATTGGTTGAAAATAGTAAGAAAACTGTCTGTTGACCATTCCTACCAATCAAAAACGCTCCGACTGTTTTGTGGTGATTTCTGTGAGAACAGACTTATACAACAGTAAATGTATCTTGTAGATATTTACCAGCAAGTTTATCCGAAGATAAATAAACCGGGCTTAATTCTATTGGTAAGCGGATAACTGGCCGACCAATAGGATTATAGAATGCGTTTTCATCCTTTAGATTGCATTACCTGACAGTTTATCAGGAGGTGAATAAACCGGGTCTTACAAACAAAAACAAAAAAACGTGCACTATGGCTACGTTCCAATACTATTCCGCGATCATATAGATATTTATCACCTGATTTTAAATAGATTTGAAATGAATTGAACACGTGTCAAAATTATCATCGGGATGCTCATAGATTGGATTTTGGAACTTCTACTATGTGCGCATATTTGATTTGAAGTGCAACTTTTCACGCTTAAGGGCCGGTTAATTCACCTGCTGATAAAGTGTCAGGTAAGCAATGTGACGGATAAAAATGCAATCTGTAATCCCATGAGTCGTCCAGGCAAATCGAACCAGCTGATAATTCAAGATGGCGACGTGGGCATAACATACTTGACGACCGTAAAGGTGCCTTTTCATTCAATTCCAATTGATTGCAATTTGGATGGGAATTGAATTATTGTAAACGTGCCTTTACGGATGTCAGGTGTGTTCAAAGTTTATGAATATATTAGCTCTGTTCCAACCAAAATGAGAAGCGTTCCAAAACCAGTAATTTTCAGTCGCCCACCTATTTTTCAATAAGTTGAACGTCTTAGGGCGGGTATTATAAAACTACTTTGAGAGTTAACTTAAAGTTAACTTCTGGAATCACATGTAATTCAAAAAGTTAACTTCAAGTTAACTGTCAAAGCAGTTTTATAATACCCGCCCTTAGGCAATTCAAACCACGTGACATTCAAGATGGCGTGGCGGCCACACATGGGCCAAAAAACACAAAAAAATATCTAGTTTCTGCCCGAATTAATAGTTTAGGTAAAGTTTGTTTCGCCAGGGTTTGTACTTGCCACCAGCATTTACTTTCCTTGTTTAACAAATAAAAATTGACTGAAACAAACAATGACGTCAAAAACGTTCGTCGGTTCTTAACCATAAGTCATTCATTTTAATTTGTCAGAAAAATTGAATGTGTCATATGAATTAATCAAGGTCAAGTATGAACCCTAGTGAAACGGACCTTACCTAGTTAACAAATATTTTATTAAATAATGAAAATCAAAGTTGTAAGCAAAACTCTATGCAAAATAATTTAAAATACGCATAAAAACATATTCAAAACAAACTTGCTTGGCCGCCACGCCACATTGAATTTTCCTTTTTGACAGAAGGATTGAATTGCCTACTATCCTAAATACTTGACAAATGAATGGCAGCAAATATCCAGTTAAGTTCCCCAAAATTTTCTAGAGGGCGCAAGTGAACTTGGAGTGTTTCAAATTTCGGCGGTAAATGTCGATAGATTTAAATCGCTTAAATTGAGTAGAAGGAAAGATGACTACATGGACAATGAATAAGTTTAAATATCTCCCAAAGCGTTCAGTGCCCCCCAGAGAATATTTTTAAAAGTGTCAGCGTCAACTTGTCTTGAAACCACACATCAAACTTAACTTTTGAGGTTAAAATTGCAATCGATTATTTACGCGCCAAAATTTAAAGAGCTCCAAGTACAGAAGCGCCCTCTTCAACTCAACTGTCAATATTACATGCCATTGATCATGTAGAAAACACCATTCTAGAAGGGTTCTCATGTCAGTTGGAACAGAGCTTTTGCGAACCAGTGCAAAAGTCATTTAACACTGGTTCCAAAGTGTCAATTCAAATTAGAGTTATTTTTCAACGGAAGAAAACATCAAATAATTGTTCTGGGATAGCTTTTATACAGGGTGTCCAATTTGAATGATTGCTATCTCTGAAAGGGTAAAGAGAGAGGTATACGAGCAAGAACACTTAACTTAACAGGACTGGTTATTGAGCCTGAAAGTGTCTCCCATTTCAGCCGCAATCGCAAATTTTTGGCGTAAAATGCGTAATCCGAGTTTAAAGGGAAAAAATTAGAGAATTCTCGTGCTGTCCAAATTTCAAATACCGTAACGCTATTTGACAAGTATGACAGTTCGTACGGTATTAGCGTTAGCGGAGCCCGGTATCTAACGGGACTTAGCGGATGCCTTACCGTAACGCTATGCTATGTCAAAACTAGTTTACGCTTCATTTCCGTCTGCAAGAACAGCAATTTCTAATAATTTCTCCATAAAAAACACCAAGGGAAAATTAATCAAACTCAGAATCTTCAGGACAAATAATAAGTTAGAAAACAAGCAAAAAAAGTTGGGTTAGATCCGAGGTTAGATCACTCAACTCAGCTGTCAAAATGTGAACAGAATAAGGGATTGGAGGATTTTTTGCGTATTCGTGTCCGAGAACTATAAAATACCACGTAAAATATCGTATTGTTAGCGGTACCGTATTAGCGTAGCGTCTGAGGTACGAGAACTCTTTATTAACTCACAAGCACAGCCTGAATCGCAAGCATTTCATCGAGGTCTGCGGGTAAAGTTAACAATCTTAGCTGCTGAAAGTGGTGACGTCGCTCGCAGACCCTGCCGACTCGAGAATTGGCGAACGTACGCCTTATGATGATGAGCAATCCTGTTAGTTTACGATTCTTGGGTACGAAATCGGCTTAATTAGAGGCGTTTTTTCGCGTCCACTTTTTTGAAAATGGTTCAAAACTGTTTTGAAACAGTACATTCTCGCGATAAACTAATGACGTCACGTCAAAATCAAATTATTTTCTCGTGCCGAGAAATTATGACGTCATGGTGACATTAGTTAAACCAGTTTTGAAAAATGTTTTGGAACATTTGGGACGCGAAAAAACGCCTTAGATAGAAGTGGCAGAGGCTGAGTTCGTTTTTGTCGTCGTTCTCGTCGATTTGCTCAGAAATTTAGACAGGCACCTGACTGGATAAGAGAGTTTCAATTTACAAATCAGGTGCCTGTCAAAATCTCGGAGCAAATCGACGAAAAAGATGACAAAAACAAAACTCAGCTAGATTTTGTCCATTGAAGATAAATTTACAGGGTTGCCAAATTTTTAGTCGTTTCTGAGATATAAGGGAAATTGGCCTTGAAATTTTACTCGAAACGGGTGTTCAGAAGTTTCACTTCAAAAAAACAAAAAGAAAAAATAAAATCTGAGCTACGTTCCAATTTTGCAGAAAACTGTTCAATGTAAACACGATTCTGGGATTCCGCGCAAACGAAAATCATAAACATCAATCATGGCACAGAATCAGGCAATGGTTTTTGACGTGATGGTGGCACCAATTGTTGGAACCTGGAAGACATCAGGTCTGTTTCTGCAGAAATCACAAACCAGTCAGAGCGAATTTCATTGGTTGAAAACAGTCAGAAAACTAGTTTCAACCAATAAAATTCACTCTGACTGGTTTTTGATTTCTGCAGAAACAGACCTATCTTTAACTTTAAAATTCCCTCGTTTTTAAGCTTTGCCCTGATGTAAGGTACCGCATTTTCCCATATAGGGCGTGTTTGGGTTGACGCTCGACGGAGAGAGCAGAGCGATTACGGAGTAACGTGACGTCACAGGGAGTACACCGTGTCAAGCCAAATAAACTTGTGCAAAAATTTTGGGTTGAGCGATCAGCTGATTATTGTTTATTTTTCTTAGCATATATTTTTTGGAGTCCGAGCCTGCATTCCGCATTTGCACCAGAGTTTTCTTGTTTGTTTTGCATTTTAGCCGATAATTTTCAAACAGCCCCATTTTCTTTTGTATTTTGCAAAAAATGTCGTGTTACATACCTTAATAATAAAACGCACCTAAACACTCTGAGGCTGCCAAGTTCCCTTGGAAAAATATGTTCAATAATACCAGTGATGAGGACTATCGAGAAAATTTGATCAAAAGTAAACAATTATGCAGAATTTACTAGCTATTTGATTGTTAACATTTAAACATAGCTAAAACTATCCATCTAACAAGTATATGTTAAAATTCGGGATTGTTTATTTATCTTATCACGGAAATTAGGTTAGGTTTTACAGACAAATTAAACTGCGCATGCACGCTCCAGCTGCCCACCCCACAAACTCGGAGTTTATCGAGCTCGCTCTGAGCGCTCAAAATATGTCAAACCAAACACAATCAAGCGTTGTCGGAGCTTCAAAAATAACGGAAGAGAGACAAAAGTGCAAGCTCTGAGTGCACCGAGCGTGAACCCAAACGCGCCCATAAAAAGCTAAAAAGCATGTGTGAAAAAAAGAGATGTAACAAAAAGCAAAATTAGGTCTGTTCGCGCAGAAGTCACAAACCAGTGACAGCAAATTTCATTGGTTGATCACAGTAGAAAACTAGTTCTGATTGATGAAATTCGCTCTGACCGGTTTATGATTTCTGTTTGAACAAACTCATTATTGCGCACCTAATTTATCGATGGTGCTGCCAAAATTAAAAAGTGACCAAAAACCGAACTACTGTGTAACAATTTCATAGTTCAATTAGCTTTTTTTACAATTAAACTATGGAAATTTAACTTAAATAAATCTAAAAACATTGATGTATTGTTTTTTTATTTCAAAAAAATGTCCAAATTCAAACCAAAAATCCAGGAAAAAATTCAAAAGAAAGGCGGCAGCCGCCATGTTGGGTCATCCATATTGGCAAAATACGGGGCGGCCATTTATAAAACATGGCAGAAAATTGAGCATGGCCGCCCCAGGATCAAAACAAACTTTGTTTGGCCGATCATTTTTCCTCGAAATGTTGTTTTTCATCAGTTTTCCGCGATTTTTCTTTCGTTATAGTGATCGGCAATTGTGACCCTATTGACCTTCAATCGCGTCCGACCAATAGAACGCCCGCATCGACGGAAAATTCCATTAATAAAATACAACCAAGTTATAGGATGGAATTTTAACGAAAAACTTACCATCGCTAGCTCCTGAGGCCCACATGGTAACCGAGAATTCGCCTTCCATCGTTTTGATTTGTACTTGTTTCTGTTCCCATTTTCTAGGCTTTGTTTCTATGTGCATGTCACTGAACAAAAATTCGTTTTCTCGCTTAATTTGGATGCCTCGGTTGTTTTTGAAGTTTTTACGCTTTTTCGACGGCCCTGCCGTAGTTTCCACGTACATATCGGCCTGATCCGGCACCGGTACATCGTACAAATTCAAAGGATCCCCGGAATCGTCTATAATCTCTTCGTGAGTCTCTAAAATAAGCTCGCGACCTTCCAGCCCCTGTCCGGACATCAAGGGCTCGCCATATTCGACGATAGCGTCCACCGAATCGCCCATATCGATAGGAATTGTTTCAATTTCGACGCATTCCTGTATATCCGGCTGTATTTCGACGTCGCACATCACGTTCGGATGATGATCCTCCATTACTCGAAAATTTATTTGTTTATAAAAGATGGAGGACAGACACACACAAATATGGCGACGCTCAGTTTCAAACACAAATAGAAATGGCCGCCGCAAAGACTGAAACGAACGTCATAATTTGCCCAACTTTTGAATTCATTTCACATTTGTAACTTGTCCGGCAGGATCACTTTCACTCTCCAACCTCAACCTTATGCCATAAGCTAAACAAGGACAATAATCTACTCGGAGTAGTCGGGCTTTTTAAGCAATCGTAAACTTGGGGAAAATTTAGAGCAGGGTTTATCGATATATAAATCGATTCGCGATGATGGAGCATATTGGTCTTGTAGAAAGAGAGAACAGTTCTTCATTGGATTTGGACATTCAAAAAGGGCATTGGGCTTTAACTTTCAAACGTTCTGCTTCTAAAATTGTATCCATATTTTTTTTAATAAAAATATCGATATGAAAAATAAGGAATAATATCGACACAGATATCGATAAGCCTTCCTCTAGTTAAAATTAAAAAAGAAATACGTCCAGCGGGCGGGGCTTGAAGTTTCCATAACAACGTATGAACGAGAAAGAGAGAGCTAATAAAAAAACGATGAAGGTATGAGCGCATGCTAATTTTTTTCCACAGAGGCGGGAAATTCAAAATGTTGGTGGATGAAAGATTTTGATGTGTAGTTCCTACTGCTGGGATTGCTGGGGAACACAAACAACAATTACATATTAATTTTTTTTTTTTTTTAGAAAATCTATCTATTATAAATAAAATAGCCAATACATTTATTCCTATATATAAAAAAAACAAACAAAAAGTCTATAAAATAAATTTCACAAGCATTTTTATAATTTCAAAGTAACACTTAAGCTTTAAAAAATATTTTTTCGTAGGGCTACATTTTTTTTTTCAAACTTCCCTGGCACCGAGAAGCATTCGTTAATATTATCTTTATGGACAGCACTTTTTCATTGCATACCTACATTATTGTAATGGAATAGTAGAGATCTAACAAAACGAAACATAGTATTATTAAGGAGTACCTTTTAAGTGTGCAATAAAGGTGTGTTCTCACAAGAGACAGAAACAATCACTCAGCGGTTTATTTTGGAACAACAGCATTGAAAACATCTATAGACGATGCTTTTTGACTCCTGTGAAAACAGACATTGAGAATGCTAAAGCAATTCACCAAATTATATAGTAAAAACCACATTAGATAAAGCTCTATCACACCTAATATGGTACTGAAACTACTGACCCAGAAGAAAGTCTGAAAATGATTTTGGCAAAGCTGAAGAATATTGTAAATTGTATTTGGACAAAAATAACGCCTCAACCTCTATTTTTTTTTTTTAATCACATCCTTGTCAATAATTTTCAAGTATATGAAACATTTCACTTGCCACTCGAAACAGATATCATGGCAAGTTAAATCTTTCATTTTTCTAAGCTAACAGTTGTCGAATCTCGTTACTCTCAGCCGAATCTAAATAGGATTTGCCATCTGGTGCTACCCCATCTTTTTTGGCGCCTTTTTGCAATAGCAGTTCTACGCAGGTTTTGTGTCCTTCCCAAATCGCTGCTAAGATCGGAGTGATTCCATGTTTGTCTTTGGACTGGAAAATAGAAAATTAATTTTTTATCCTTAGAGCAAATATTATTTACAGGATTGGCAATTTTCTCTACTCTTTGGTTTTTTGGATGGATATTTCCATATAAGTTAACACAAATATCCACAGGAAAACCTGTGTTTGTGTTTTATGAAGGACAAATACAAGTACCTACTCTTTGATACTCCTAATTGAAATTTTAAAGTCTGATTGTGTTTAAGAGTGTTCTAATATTTTCATGGAAGTTTTAAGTTAGTTCCAAAGTATCATATGATGATTTTTAGGATATCCTAAAAGTTTCAGTTCTAGATTGTTTCCAAAAGTTCCATATGATTTGTAGTGTTCCAAAAGCTTTCTAGAATGTTGCTGAAAGTTCAGAAGTGTTCTGGTCTATTCTAGAATGTTTCTGAAATTCTAAATTGGTTCTAGAGTGCTCTGTAATGTTTTACAATGTTTTTAAAGATTCCAATGGAGCGATATACTAATGAGAAATATGGCATCCTCACATTTTCATTAATTTTACGGACTCTAACGTCATAGCCCTTGCCAGGGTGATACTTACGTTTACATCGGCCCCAACAGTAATTAAGTACTCTATCACAGCTTTTTGGCCATAGTCGGCAGCATATAATATCAAAGGACGTCCATCCACTTCTTGGTTTACATCTACTGACTGAAATACAAGAATCTGTACTGATACATCGTCAATTTAATGTTTAGAGATTATAATAAACTATGGAAAAATTATTGTCTCAATAGGGATGAGGGGCTTTCATCATAGGGTGATTAAACTATATGTTGTAGAATTAAATAAAACTTACCTCTTTCTCTATGATGTGTTTAACTTGTTCCAGGTCGCCGTTTTTTACTGCCCACACAAATTCGCTACTCATTTTTTTTGTTAATTTTTGAGGTTTTTCCTAGAGAAAATAAACTTCTCTGTTTGCAAAATGCCAAAAACCAAAATTGCAACTTGCTTGAAAGTCTTGCAACAACAAAAAAACGTCAGTCTGAAAGACAGATGACAGAGTTGTATTTCTTTCAAGAGTTTGAAACACTCGTGCTACTCGCTCCGAGCTGCTTTCCAGTGCCGAAAGAATTGTTAGAGTATCATGCTCCTGGAGTGTGACGCTTTTGAACTGTTCGACATGACCAGCACTGGAACGCTTTCGTCTTAACCCCAACCATTTCGGACCTCAGGAGCATGGAACACCGAAATAAAGGTTGGTGCACGAGGGGGCAGGGCATAACAGAAATGAGTATTTCAAGTGTACGACACTCTAGGCACTGGAACGCGCAAAGTTATTGTGGAGCACTCCTGAGCTGCTCAGGAGTAACTCAAATGGGTCACTGGAAAGCACCTCCGGTGTTAAGTTGACCCCGATTTTAAGGAGAGAGATGCGAGGTGCATAAACACTTTTCGAAAGGAATAAGCGCGTAACGCCCCAAAGCTGATGCGGAGCTCGTCCTAGGTGTGAAAGGTACAAAAGTCGAGTTTTATGTTGTGTTTTATGTTGTGACGTCATAGTATGTTAGCCATGCTCGCTAAAATGTAGTATCCCAAGTAAATACAACATACTACTGGGTTAAAACTCTCGCTAAAATACGCCTAAATATAATCTGATAGCGAATTCTACTGGTAGGAGCAGTGCAGAAAAAAATGTATTTTTATCTCTTTTTCTATACAGGCTGGTAACAAAAGACACGGATACAATCAGAGCGCTCGGAGATGCGAAGAACAGGGATAAAAGAGTAAAACAGCAGTTTCAAGTTTCAATAAAATCACCATTGTTTTACATTTATGAATTTTAAAAACGCATATAGGCCGAGTTCGGCTTTGCACTCCACGGAGCGGAACCGTATGAGCATTAATATCGTGACGTCATACGCAGAGTGCGCCCTGAACAAGTGACAGTTGATAACTAATTTCTCTGGTTCTCCATCCATCCCATGGAAGAGAGAGCGAACTCAGAGTACGTGCTCGATTGTAACCCGAACGTAATAAGAGAACACTCCGAGTGCTAAAACGAACAGGATCGTATCGTTGCGAGCGCGCTCAGAGCTAACAGAGTAGAGTGTCAAGCCGAACTCAGCCATAAAAACCACTGTTGCCGTACCTTCAATCAAAAAAGACATTCACGTTACACCGTTGCCAAATTTCGTCGTCGGGTTTGCAATGCAACGTTGCCAATATCTGTTATGTTGTGTGTGTTCATTTTGTTGCATTTAACATCAATAACTGATTTTATTAATAAAAATAAAAATAAAATAATGTTTTAATTATTGAAACACAGTTTTTATTGTGTGTGTGTAATAATAGTGTAAAATTTAAAAATGGTAAGAGATATTTTTGACAAAATGTGTTTGAGGTTATGTTATTTTGCTGGTCTTTTTGGCCTTTTTTTTCCTTCAAAAAAGTCAACAAGTTTCAGCTTTTCAGGGCTTAAAGAATAATAAATGTCTGGTAGTTCCGGCTTTGAAATTAAAAAAATTTGGTCGTTTTAGGACCCCAGTCTGCCGCCTCAAACTTTTGCACCACCTCCGGGAATAGGGACGCCGCCTCTGATGCCCCAGGTAAGAATTTACATCATTTCTACATTATTGGCACTAAAAAAGGAATCCGAGTTTTTTCTAATTATGGCCAATTCCATTCTCAAACTACAATATACTTACCTACATTAGTTGAATCATGCTGAGTGCCCATATGGGTGTTTTCAACCCAGACAAGATGAACCATAGAAGATGTATGCTCTATTGCTCACCAATTTGAGCATGGACATCTGCGTCCTACTGAACTCAGAATGGTTTTCCCAACTTGAATAATGTAATTCTCGATTTGGTTCTTGGCCATTACAAGATGCCCAGCCTGATCCAATGCTGACGAATTACTACTACTACTACTACTAGATAGCAATTACTCCCCTTCAATCTTTCGAATCAGTTTACAGCATAATCAAAGCAATGCAAACTTCCAAGGATATTAAGGCTACCATATTATTCTGATAAAAAAACGGGACATCTTTATGAAGCAAATGTTTCATGAATTCATAGGTTTGTTCCAGCACATCAAAAACCGCCCCATGAACGCGTTCGAAACCACTCCATATACGAATTTCGGCTTCTACGCACACATTTTTGGCTTTGCACAGAATCGTGACGGTACATGGGCACTAGTGCAAATTATCAGATAATTGCATACTAACTGGTGCGAAAACTGGTGTTTTGACATTTTTTGACAAAAAATTTAAATTTTTGATTTATGAAATTCTCCCATTAAATACAACTCGTGCAATGGAAATATATTTATAATTTTCCACAAATTTGCACTCATGCGTTTTTAACTGAAAAAACTAACAAACTTTAGCAAAAATAATTTTTTTTTTCGGGACCACGCCCATAGGTCGAGCCCACGGATAATACACACTACCACTACAGGACAGCCTATCCTCATAAGGCCTGTGTAGAACAAATCTGAAGCCCCCCTACTCATTGAGCCCCACCAAATCACCATTTGTATAATAATATGTGACGTAAACAGCATGTCGTTTCTCACTTGACGTAGGCTGTTTGCACCACAGGTTATGATTCCACGGGCTTTTGCTTTATGCATACTTGGTTTAAATACATTAATTAACATTTTAAAACAACTATTTTCAGATCTCGTTCGCATCTTCCTATTTGCCTATTATGTTAATCAAAATTAAATAATATTTTTCATCATAAATTTTAATTCTAAACTAAGACTGCTGGCGCAAACAGCTGATGACTTAGTTGATGACGTTGGCAATTGTGATACACCAATATGACGGGGATTATCTAAAACGAGGTCGATAAGCAATCCTTAGTGGTGTGTATGGTCCTTGGGCCGAACTCGCCAAATTCCAAACTGTCAATGTCAAATGCTGTCGAATAACCATCACGTTGCGATCTGCTGAGACGAGAGATGAGGCGCAAAAATCGATTTATTTATGCCACCGCAGAGACTGGTAATGAGACCAATAATGAGACGCAAAAATCGAATTATTTTACGCTTTTTAAAATATCAGAGAATACAGGACATTTACGCGTCCCGACAACAAATTTGGGGACGCGGGACATGAACCTTGAAATAAGGGACTGTCCCGTATAATACGGGACGTATGGCAGGCTTAAAGGATATGGGTTTTACTACTACTGGGTATAGAGTTATAAATGATTACTTTGGTTCAATCTCATAGGAGAACATGTTTTTCGATTTTGTATAAAACTTTGTACCAATCAGAAAAAAAAGTCAGTAGAAAGTTTCCCAAATGGTTCTCACAAGACCTAAACGCACTAACCATACAAAAAAATATCGCCTATCAAAAATACAAGCAAAGCAGGCTTCCTCTTGATTATCAAAACATCTCCAACTTATGTTCCTGAATCCTGGTGTAAGAATCTCTCTCCACATAGCCCTAAAGAATTCTGGTGTTACACGAGCTCAATCATCTAACTAAACAAAGCCTATGTTCTAGGTACTTCTTTCCTGCTGACAAAGCCACAAAGAAGTTCACATCAACATTTGGGTTGTAATCATGCAAATAATGTGGTACCTAAACCTGTACTTCTCGGTCCTTGTTTTTGAATGATAGTATTTTTCTCTACTGTTTGATCATCTTCCATGTCACTTTCTTCGTTTACTCTTTCTATAGGTATAAATTGATTGTCTAAAACCCTCTTATTTCCATTAAAAATCACATTTCTTCCAGTAACAATCTTCCGCTGATTTTCTTTCCACAACCTATACTCATTATCAGCATATCCTACCATTATTAATTTCTCTGATCTGGATTCTAATTTTGACGTTCTGCTACGCCATTCTGCTCTGAATTATAAGCCAGCATATATTGTATTATTATGCCCTTCTCTTGACAAAAATCTTTAAAAATGTGTGATGTGTATTTACCCCTATTCTTGCAGCTTAATTTCTGTATTCTTAATTTAAATTTAGCTTCCACGATAACAACATGATTTTTAAACTTTGATAAGGCCTTACTCTTACTACTCACCCAGAAAATTACAGAAAACTTGAGAAATTGCCAATAAAAGAAATAAAGTATGACTTAAACTGTCATATGTTGTTGATCATATTGGCCCACAAATATCAGTCGACACTGTTTCCAGATGTCCCATTCTTTCATGCAACAACATTTTGTCTTCACTGTAGATTTATATTGATTAATTTAAAAAAAATGTACATAATATATATCTCCTTCTAACATTCCTTCAAGTATTGTAACTCCATTTTTGATAATTGCCACCTTTTTATTAAAAAACATTACTTCAAAACCATTTTCTTACAGATACTAGATTATGGAGTAAATTGTCACATACCTAAACATCTTTCACAGTTATAAGTTTACCAGTTTCAGTTTTTAATTTTGAAAATTCCTGTGTTGTTGCTGTGATTGTTTGTCCTTGTTTAGCCACATTTATCTTATGAAATACATGATTACTTTCCAGAATGTATTTTCCAAATGTTTCTGTGATTAAATGATTTGTCGCTCCACTGTCAACAACGAAACACATATCACAGTGTTACAAGACAAGGCATTTTCCAAACTATCTTCTGATGATGAAAATGTGATGTCTTCTTCATGACTTGCTTATAACCTATTGTATTTGTTCCTCCCTTATCTTTTTTCCTCAATTGTCGAGCGGGCCTATGTCCTATGTATGTTCTAATTTTTTTTAACTCTGGAGTTCTCCTATAGGTACTAGTTACAAGAAAGAGTGCTCAGACATTGATATTGATACCTTATATAAAAAAAAACGCATTTATTAGCATTATTATTTTTATTTATAAGTAAAATCCTTGAAATTTCAAGGTTCCATTACCAGGTATGCCTGGTTTCCCCCCAATTATACCTCCACCCTTCAGCGTACCTCCGCCGGGATTCGGTGCTGCTATACCTCCCGTGGTCGTCCCACAAACCAGCGTTAGCAGCGAATGGACTGAACATAAGGCACCAGATGGCAGGACCTATTATTACAACAATACCACCAAACAAAGCTCATGGCAAAAGCCCGACTGTATGAAAACACCTGGAGAAGTAAAAATAAATAACTAATTTGAACATATTATTAGATATTGTGGTTTTTTAGCTGTTACTTTCTCAATGCCCTTGGAAAGAGTATACGGCTGATAATGGCAAAATTTATTACCACAATGTTAATACTAAAGAGTCTAGGTGGGTTATACCGCCAGAATTGGAGGAAATTAAGGAAAAAGTTGCAGAAGAAGAGTAAGTTAAAGGCACAGTTGCTACTAAATAATTATTATGTATTTATTTTAGAAGCAAACCAAAATCTTCACCGCTTGATTTAAAGGAAATTTCTAGTCCTTTGCCAGCAGCGACAATATCTGCTCCCATTTCGGAAGCTAATTCACCGAATATTTCAAATTCTAGTAAGTTGATGCATAAATAATAAATCTAATAATAACAACTATAAAAATTAATTGCGTGCTTTTCCAGTTATGTTTCTGAATCATATCGACTAAAGCAATCGCGTTATTATTATTATTAGATTGAGAAATGTGTAGCGATAATAAGTTTAAATGTACTTGTTCCAATAACGTTAGTGGTTTTTGATTATTTTTCAAGTTAGGGTACAGTGAGAAATTGTGCTAAGAATAAGTTTGTATTTACTCAAAAATATATTTGAGAATATAAATAATCTGTTATTGAACTAAGGGTGAAATGGATTTTGTGAATTTATTTGGCAGGATTGAGAAAACAAGTAAATAATTACATAGTTTTGTTTATTTAGTTGAAAATTTCTATTTCAACTTGGGTCTATCCCAGGCTCTTGATGAGTTTTCTTGAAATTTCTTGGAATGAACAAAATTCAAGAGCCTGGAATAGAAAAAATATGCCTATCCATGGCTTAATTTGCTTTTTATTCCAGGCTCGTTTCTCTAAAAATAGAAAATGTGTCTCTTTTACATTATAAGCATAAGTGACAAATTTCATTTGATAACTACTATCCTTATTAGCCTCCAGTCCTGGTCCGAAAAGTAATGCCTTGGAAGCGGCAATGGCGGCCACCTTAGCTGCCATTTCGATACCGACACCTCCTAATAAGCCTGGCGACGAAGATTCAATGTCCAATCATAGCGAGAAAAAAGAAGCAAAACCTCCCAGTGTCGAACCTAAAGTTTACAAAGACAAAAAAGAAGCAATGGAAGCTTTCAAGCAGCTACTCAAAGATAAAAACATTGCTTCCAATGCTTCATGGGAGCAGTGCGTTAAGATCGTTCAAAATGATCCTCGGTATGAATCTTTTAAGAAACTTAACGAAAAGAAACAAGTAAGTATAAGACAGAGATGATCACTATAAACACAGACAACTAATTTTGGTTCTATTTCAGGTATTCAATCAATACAAAACTCAAAAACAAAAAGACGAAAAAGAAGAACAACGAATAAAAGCGAAAAAATCCAAATCTCAACTAGAAGAATTCCTGATGAATTCCGATAAAATGTCTTCCACCACCAAGTATTACAAGTGCGAGGAACTGTTTGGCCATTTGGAAGTGTGGCAAACTGTTTCGGAAGGTGACAGGAGAGACATTTACGACGACGTAGTATTCGCGTTGGCGAAAAGGGAAAAAGAAAACGGCCAGATATTGAAGAAGAGAAACAAAAAGAAACTGGCCGAAGTGCTAGAGTGTATGACAAAAATTAGTTATGATACAACTTGGAATGAAGCACAGGTATTAATTATGATTATTAATATTAATGTTATTATTTGTTTTTGTCTATTAAGGTTTTGTTACTGCAAAACGGATCATTTCAAAAAGATTACCAATTATTGGCTATGGACAAGGAAGATGCACTGGTAGTTTTTGAGGAGCATATTCGGCTTTTGGAAAAAGAGTTTTTGGAAGATAAAGTAAGTAATAATTTGGTTGTGCTTGAATAGTGCTACACTTTTGTGAGAATGTACAACATTCTGCAAGTCTTTTTTCATTACCTTATTAGCCTGGTTTTTTGCATTTTCGTTTAGGAAAAGGTAAAACGTCGTCAAAAAAGACAATATAGAAAAAACAGAGATCAATTCTTGTCTTTGCTGGATCATCTTCACGAAGAAGGCAAACTGACTTCAATGTCTTTGTGGGTGGAATTGTATCCTCTTATATCGGCAGATATACGCTTTTCTGCTATGCTAGGTAAGGTAATAATTACGCTTATATTTTTACCACTTTTGAAGTATAGGAACATAGAATATATAGGAACCGGGCACAAATTGAAATCCACGTCCCCTAGTGGCAGTTTTCATAAGAATTTGTGTAATAAACAATTAATTGGACTTTTGACAAAATGTCAATATATTCTAACCTATGAACGAGACTATGCGTTAATTTTTCATTTTGTTAACTTGTCTTATATTTCAAAAAATACAATTGGAAATAAATGTTCGTTTCTTAATAGTTATTTATGTATCAAGGAAATTATGAGGGTGTTAATACCCCAGGGCAAAGTTTGTGTGTTTACGTATTCACCATATGACACCAATTGCCCGTGGGTATTAGCACCTGATAATTCCCGTGATACATAGATAATTTAATTTCCTACTGAATTTACTGCATTTTGTCCATTTTTATAAAAGAATAAACCATAAATCTAAATTTCTATTTTTTGTCAAAGTTTCACCTATTCAAGGTAAAAGCGGGAGTTATGGAAATCCTTAACTCCCTTGGGAGTTAAAACCCTGTTTATGATTATCGTAACCAAGGTATTCTATGGTTATAATAGTTCAGTAGGAAATAATAGTTTTTTATGTTTCAAGGGTACTAAGTAGATGATTATGCCCTGAGGGCGACAGCCTTACAAAGCCGAGGGCCTCTGGCCCGAGGGTTCGTTAGTCGCCCGAGGGTATACCTATATCTATTAGTACCCGTGGTGCATACAAACTTCTATGTCATACCAGGGGGACTTTGAAATCGATGCAACTTTGCGTACACGCAAACGACGTCATTTGCGGCGTAATTGTCAACCTGATGTTTAGAATGGTACATTAGGCCCGCGCGGGCCAGAATGTGTACTTTATGCCCGCACGGGCATAAAGTGATGAATGGGCTCTTTCACTAATTTTTGAAATTGGCATATTTGGATAAAGCAACTAAAAACAGAATTTTCTGTATTTTTACTTTTGAAAAATTCATAGTCCTTCTTGAGAAAACAGAAAAAAAAGAAATACCTCCAAATAAAAACCCAGAATTTATTTCTATGACGTCGCAGCTCGCTATTTGACCGTGTTGCCACTAATTGTTAACATTGAAAATTTGTAATAGATTTAATTCTGAAATGTTCCCAAAATATCATGAAAAGTAGTTAAATTAATTAGTTATGGATTCAAGATTTTATAACATTTTTTTTGAAATTATGCTTAAACACAATTTAATATAATTTTCTATGTTTAGTTTTATTTATTTATTTTACGTTGCACTACATTTAGTCACCACCGACAACAGCGCATTCGAACCTTTACCTGCATTTACTACAGGATAAATACAGCAGAGGCGGACAGCTCTTTCCAACAACAAGCGAAATGAAAAATATTTATGCGACGTCAGCAAATCGGCGCGTTTTTAAATAATTCAAATTTTGGTAGTTTAAAATGCCTGTAAAAAACTTATTTAACCTTGTAGAACATTTTTTTTTGGTATATGTGCCTAAAATAGTCCCTCCTTTGGGATTTTATACCTAAATTACGTATTTAAATTTTAGTGAAAGAGCCCATTATGTAGATGGTATCTAAGGTATAAAAAGACAATAATGTACTGGTATGACATAAAATATAAATTGTATCCACCACAAAGGTCAAGTCTGAATAAAAGGGGTTAAATAGGGAATCAGTCTTGGGGTTCATTTTGAGTTTGCGCAAGCAAGTTAATGAACATGACGGAACGTCTATCCCGGCCTTAAGACTTGTGTCAAAAGGCCAATTGTTTATTATACAAATTCTTTTGAAAACTGCCGCTAGGGGAATTTTTGACCGGCGCCTATAAATCTCAAACTTCTTGCCTTACAGCTATATTAATCAAGTACCAAGTGAAATTTCCATTTGTTACATCATTTTTCCAAGGGTGATCAAGAGCCGGTAATAATCAAAATATGAACTATTATAAGTAGTGACGCAATTTAAACAAAAATGCAATATGAATGTGACAATGTAATGTGACTCTTGCGAAGCAAAATTTGAAAAATTTCTACTTGGTAAATCTCAAACTTCTTCTTGCAACAGTCAAGTATCAAAGGGTAATCACGAGCCGGTAATAATCAAAATATGAACTATCATTAGTAGTGACACAATTTAAACGAAAAAGCAATATGAATGAGACAATTGCAAAGCAAAATTTGAACGAAAAGGCAATATGAATGTGACACTTGCAAAGCAAAATTTAAAACAATTTCTACTTGGTAAATCTTAAACTTCTTCTTGCCTTAGGGCCGGTATTATAAACATGTTTTAAAGTTAACTTTGATTGTAACACTCAACTTTAACTTTTAAAATGTCAGTTTTATAAAAATCCCATTTCTAAAATAAAAAGAAGAAATATAAGAAGAAGGAGAGGACAAAAAAGAGAAAGATATCCTCGAATTTTTGACTTGGATTCATGTTTTGATGGTTTCTGTTATTTGTTATTTTTGTTCGATGCCGTTTCTTTACTAAATGTTAAATTATTGACAGAAGAACTGTCGAAAACCACAATTTCTTACAAAATTAACTTTAACCGATACCCCATTCGCCCGATAAAGTTAACTCTGAAATTAACTATAACATGTGACGTCATTTCAGGAGTTAACTTTCAATTAATTGCCAAAAGTTTTGTAATACCCGACCTCCGCCCTTAATTAAGAAAATACCAAGTAACATTTTTATTTGTTACATCATTTTTCCGAGGATGATCAAGAGCCAGTAATAATCAAAATATGAACTATTATAAGTAGTGACACAATTTAAACAAAAATGCAATATGAATGTGACAATGTGATGTGACACTTACAAAGCAAAATTCGAACGAAAAGGCAATATGAATGTGACACTTGCGAAGCAAAATTTGAGCAATTTTTACTTGGTAAATCTCAAACTTCTTGCCTGAAAGTACCAAGTGAAATTTCCATTTGTTACATCATTTTTCCAAAGGTGATCAAGAGCCGGTAATAATCAAAATATGACCTATCATAAGTAGTGACACAATCTAAACAAAAATGCAATATGAATGTGACACTTGCAAAGCAAAATTCAAACGAAAAAGGAAAATGAATATAATATTTGCAAAGTAAAATTTGAACAATTTCTACTTGGAAAATCTCAAACTTGGTCTTGCCTTAATCAAGTACCAAGTAAAATTTCCATTTGTTGACATCAGTTTTCCAAGGTTGATCAAGAGCCGGTAATAATCAAAATATGAACTCTCATAAGTAGTGACAGAATTTAAACAAAAATGCAATATGAATGTGACAATTGCAAAGCAAAATTTGAACGAAAAGGCAAAATGAATATGACACTTGCAAAGTGAAATTTCCATTTGTTACATCATTTTCCCAAGGGTGATCCAAGAGCCGGTAATAATCAGAATATGAACTATGCAATATGAATATGTCAATGTGATGAAACACTTGCAAAGCAAAATTCGAACGAAAAAGCAATATGAATGTGACACTTTGAAAGCAAAATTTGAACAATTTCTACTTGATAAATCTCAAACTTCTTCTTGCCTTAATCAAGTACCAAGTAAAATTTCTAATTGTTACATCATTTTTCCAAGGGTAATCAAGAGCCGATAATAATCAAAATTTGAACTATCATAAGTAGTTACACAATTTAAACAAAAATTCGATATGAATGTGACACTTGCAAAGCAAAATTTGAACAATTTCTACTTGATAAATCTCAAACTTCTTCTTGCCTTACGGCTCAATCAAGTACCAAGTAAAATTTCCATCTGCTACATCATTTCTCCAAGGGTGATCAAGATCCGGTAATAATCAAAATATGAACTATGAATGAAAAATTCTACCGTTTTAAAAATAATGAATTTATGCGGGACTTTATGAACTCACTGTATATTAAAATCACAAGGGTTGGCAGAAATCCCGGTTTTTGAAAATTTCTATTGGGTTTTTGTGACTCACAGCTCCGTTAATTTTCATCCGATTTCATCTAATTAAAGCCAATTAAATTTTCTACAAACCCATCAATTTGGATTTTAATTTGATTCCAACAGCTTTGCCAACCTTGCATAAAATAATAATATATTGATTATGTTTATATTCCATATAGGTCAAACAGGTTCCACTCCATTAGACTTATTCAAATATTTCGTGGAAGATCTAAAATCGCGATTTCACGACGAAAAAAAAATAATTAAAGACATTTTAAAAGAAAAAGAATTTGACGTGAAAGCTTCCACTTCATTCGATCAATTTGCCACAATTATTTGCGAAGACAAACGAAGTGCCACATTGGACGCTGGTAATGTTAAGTTAACGTATAATTCATTATTGGAAAAAGTAAGTTTTTTCTTTAATTTTTCAAGTATTTTTATGTGTAATTTTTTAGGCTGAAATAAAAGAAAAAGAAAGATTAAAGGAGGAATCTAAACGAATAAAAAAATTGGAAAATGCCTTTAAAAACCTCCTAAAGGATTTAAATGTAGACTTTGAAAAACCTTGGGAAGACATCAAAAGTAAAGTCGAAAACCAAGAAGAGTATAAAGCATTCGCCAACGACTCCGAACGTCAAAAAGCCTATAAGGTATCCGCCTTTTTTCTAACACCCAACCTCAATTAGTAACATTTTTTTTCAAGGACTTCCAACACGAAATGGAAGAATCCTGTTCGCACCATCATTCGCGTTCGCGCAAATCGAAGAAAAACAAAAAGAACAAGGTCAAGTATCGTGGATCAAGCTCCAGCGACTCTGATGAGAAACACAAAAAGTCGAAACATAAATCTAGAAGCACCAGCCCCGAATCTGAGAGCGACTATGCGAATAGCAAGAAGAAGAAGTCGAAAAAGAAGCATAAAAGGAGAAGTCGATCTGTAAGTTATGTTTTGGGTATTAATTTGTTGGTGGTATTGTATAAAGTAATCGGGATTTGAGTAGTTGTAGAATTTGAGAAGATAGAGAATTATTTATTGAAAATAGAAGATTAACTTTTCATTTAGAATGATTGCTATACAGAAGATGCCTCAGAAACTTACCTTTAAAATGACTTATGAAAATATTTCATTCAACAATTAATTTGAATAGTTGATGTCCAAACAAGAAATGGATTTTTCTATCCCTAGACCTTATATTGTCCTAATAGTTTTATTCAATTTTTAGACCTGATTTTTCTAATGAAGCTAATTTGATGCCGTCTTGTACTTTATCAAGTGGAAAAGTCCTTTTTAAACTCGTATTTACGTGTCCTACTTAATTTTCCTATGCATGCAGTAGGTGTGTTTTAAGACATCGTTTTGTAATTTGTTTAATTGTAAAAATAAAATCCTAGGTTTTACAATGGGTAGTAACTATTAATTATTGAATTGTTTTTGCCAGAGTTCCCCTTCGGATAGAACGAGAAGTGGCGAAATGAGCGAGAGTGAGCTAGAGAAACAACGCGCCTTACTATTGGCCAAATTAAAAGATGAGAGTGACTAGCACAATAATTAAAAAACACCAGAATCGTTGTAAAATATATTCAGAGGGAATTTTGTATTATACATATTTTCTCAAAACTATCAATTTGTTTATTGTATGTATGAAGGTATACAAAGGTGTATTTTTTGCAGGGCTGGTAATAATCATAATTATTGGGAATGTTAATTCTCGGTTTACTCAGTAAAATAATACATATTTTTTAGGAAAATATTTTGTGTTTTATTCCAACTTGTTTTTGATCAGATGTATAAACTTCACTCTGGTAGAGTTGAAATCATTTGTTGAGGTCCTGAAGAAAGATGCTCTTATGGATTAGAGGTGCAAAATTATTTATTATTTTTTATTATTATTATTATTATTAATATTTTACAATAGAAGGCGGCAAAACCGATGAGTCTATTGATTGGTTTTTATATCAGTTCACAATTTTAAGTCCATAATTAATTTTCACATCCATTGTATCTCAGATATGGTATTGTTTTGTCACTAGTTTACTGGGGATAGTGGACAAACTGTCTCTGTCTACACGATTTTTGAAGGAGTTAACACTAGTGGCATTTACCGTGTCTTGATAAGTCTCAATCAAATCTCCACACTGTCTTCTTTGGTAGAAGGTTGTAAGATTAAGGCGCTGTAAACGTTCTTGATAAGAAAGACTGTTGAGCTCTAAAGGGATTTTAGTTACCATTTGCTGAACTTTTTTTAGAAGATCTATATCTTTGACATAATAAGGACTCCATATCCTTTGCATATATTCTAGTTTTGGTCTTATGTATGTCTTGTCAAGCTTAAATATCATATCACTAGATAGGTTTTTAAGCGACTTTCTTATAAAATAAATCAAGGTGTTCACTTTTCTGATAGTTGTTGAGATGTGACACTCCCATTTGAGGTCTTTTGTGCATATTAAGCCTAGATCTTTCTGTTTTTCGACTGGAGTCACATCAGTGTTTCTTATAGTGTACCTATGATTGGGATTAGTTTTTCCCAAGTGAAGAACAGTGTACTTAGATTCGTTTAATGGCATCTGCCATGTTATAGTCCATTATTTAATTTTATCAAGATTGCTCTGCATTTGTAGGTATTGGTCACTTGCTCTGCACGTAGAATTTGTTTTGTCTGCAAAGGATGAGATGACACACGCGAGATCTGCAGCGCTTATGTATAATATAAACAGTAAAGTTGCAATTACTGAGCCCTGTGGTATATTGCTATGCACCTCACGACTACTGAAAAGAACATTGCCTATTTTTACTGTAAAGGTCCTTCCTTGGATAAGTTCGCTGATAACTCTATGCACATTGCCCCGTATTCCTTTATGCTCCGATTTTAGCAGGAGTCTCCTGAAAGCTACCTTATGAAAAGCCTTTTCAAAATCTATGTAGACAATGTCAAATGGTGTATTACTGTCATCCCTTTGTTGAATCTTTCCAGCAGGTTGGTGAATGTTGATCTTCCTGGTAAGAACCCATGCTGTGAATCAGGTATTACTTGCTGTTCTAGTAAAAAAGATGTCAGTCCATTCACTAGGATTTTCTCTACGCATTTGCAGAGTACGCTGGTGAGACTTATTGGTCTGTAATTTGATGGTTCCAGTTTGTCCCCCTTTTTAAAGATTGGTACAACTATTGAATTTCCATATTTCTGGAATAGGAGTTCCTTTCATTATAGAGTTTAGAATAGTGGCTATAGGACTGGAGAGCATTTGAAGCAGTTTTTCAAAAAGAGGGATGGAAATTCATCAGGACCAGGACTAGACTCCGCCTTTAGAGAAGAAATGACCATTTGTACTTTTTTTGGGGTGAATTCTATATTACTTATCTCTGCAACGATGTGTAGTTCAGGTGAAAGAGTTGGTAGGTTGTTATCTTCTTGAGTGAAGACTCTCTGGAAGTCCAAAAAAAAAAACATCTTCCATATAACTTTTATTATAATAAGTATCTCTATTCATAAATATCACTTTACTTAAGGAAAAAAAAATATATATTTACAAAATTTGTGTGGCCACACTATTCGTAAAGTATATAAAAGCCCCGGTCAAATTTACAAAAGTGGCACCCAAAAACACACCCAACCATTTCCCATCGGACATCGTAACTAAACTAGCAGTCACGTGACCGCACAGTATTCCAGGAATTGTCGCTATAGTGTTGCTAACGGCAAAGGTGGTTCCCGCATGATTGGGTGCCACATCTACATGGTTACTCAAGTGCCCGGCAGAGTTGCAGGCGCTCAAACCCATCGAAATGCTTACTAAAATCAAGGCGAAAAAGAGATGTTCAACTACTCCAAACATTGCCAAAAATAAAGCCGGGCCTACTAGTCCGATACAAGTCATTAGTCTTCTGACATTCAAAACACTCCAGCTTTTGTTTAAAAGTAACCCATCTGCAATATGACCTGATATAATCCCGAATATCGAATTGACAATGTAAGGAACCGAAGTTAAACTCAAACTATGAGCGTTTGCTCCTAAAAACGTATGCATGTAAGTCGGCAACCAATTCATAATAATATACGAAGACCAGTTCATTGCAAAGTGTGCAGCATAAATCGCCCATAGCGGTTTACTCAAAATAAAATCCGCCCAACGGATGCTGTGACTGACAACTTTGGGCATATGCAATGGAATCGCTTCCTCTCCAGTAAACACATCTCTAGGGTAGAAACAATACCATAAAAAGAGCCAACAAAAGCCGAAAGAGCCGAACCAGAAGAAACAAGCTTCCCAGGCAAAATGGGGACACAGAATTGAGGCTACTGTTTGACCTACGGAGCCTGAAGCTAGGAGATAGGAGAAGGCGCGCGATCGTTCTTCTACTGGGATACTGTGGGCAAAGAGGTGGAATATTGTTGGTAGACCTGGAAAAATAATTATTCAATTGAGCAAAAACTACCCAGATTTTAAAAATAAGTGGACCAGATAGCTACTTACCTAAACCTTCTGCAAATCCTAAAAGTATTCTGCACGTAACCAAGGCTGTAACACTCCCAGCAAGAAATGGAGTAATAAAGGTGGCTATACTCCACAACAAAACACTGCATATCAATACGTTTTTGGCTCCCAATTTTGATGCCCAAAAACTTCCTGAAAAATTTGAGAAAAGAATGGTAACTGGAAAAAGCCAATCTAATAGTAAATTTCAATTTTGATGAACTGAACATTCTCACCAAATATTTTTGAAGTTTACAGAACTCAGAATCTAAACATCGTATGGTGTAGGTACATCCAACTCTTCTTATTCAATGAGTCATTTCGGAGGAGAGCCAGAAAACTGGCTAAGGGATGCCTGAATATTCACAATGGTCTTAAGAAGATTTAGGAAATTTCGAGGGAAATTTGCAAAAACTGGAAAATTATCAAGGTTTGTAGTATTCAAGATCTGTAGGCAACAGAACATTTGCAAAATAACGACTCAGGATCTAAAGGTCCTGAGAATTTGAAAAGTTCTACTAATTCCAAGGGTCTTTTCATAGAAGAACCAGGAAGTTTGCAAAGTCGATGACTTAAGATTTGAGATCTTCAGAGAAAATTAAAATAATGACTCAGAAAAGAAAAACAGAGAATTCTGGATCTAAGGGTCCTAAAACTTGAAAGGATCCTACCTTATAATCACAAAAGTTTGCCTGTACCCATCTTCTCAAAGAAGAATCAGAAAATTTGCAAAGTAATTTAATGTTTCAGCATCTGAAGGATTTTTCCGAGGGGTTTTTCACCTAACAAAATTTATACACCGATTAACAGTACTAATGGCCGTTTGCACGGCTATCACTTAAAGGATATTAAATCCAAGTGGGGCTTTGAATGTCACTTTTGTTTCCACAAAAGTCACATTCAAAGCTCCACTTGGATTTAATATCCCCTAAGTTAGAGCGGTGCAAAAGGCCGTAACTGAGATATTTCCATGTATTAACAGATATTTCTATATACCTAATAACAAGTTATTGCTAACTATTTCCATGTATTAACAAAATATTTCCACATATTGCCAGGTATTTCCCTAGTATTATCACATATTACCAGGTATTGCCATGCTATTGACAGACTAAAATCAAATATTTGCGTTGCCAGAATTCTAGACTAGGTATTGACATATCCACAGGTATTTACATGTTATTAATGGGTATCAACCAATGACATTAACATATATTGCCTAGATATGTACTAGTATTGACATATATTACCTACATAATTAAGAAGTAGGTATTGCAGTGACGGCCATTTGCACCACTATAACTTAAGGGATATTTAATCCAAGTGGAGCTTTGAATGTGACTCTTGTAGAAACAAAAGTCACATTCAAAGCTCCACTTAGATTAAATATCCCTTAAGTGATAGCCGTGCAAATGGCCATGATTTGTACACCGATTAACAAGGTGATAAACCCCTTAGATTTTTCTAAGAAATTTTTAAGGTTTGCAGAATTCAGGATCTAAACATCTCATCTCCTTTTATCCTATGAGTTCTTCCATAGGAGAAAATTGACTGAAGATTTAGGAGTTTTCATCATAGAACAACAGCACATTTGCAAAAAAATTACTCAGAGATCCTAAAGAGTTTTCCTTTAGAAGAATCAGAGTGTTTGCAAATCAATGACTGAGATTCAAGATCTTGAGAGTCTTTTTGAAGAAGAATCAGAAAATTATGACTCAGAACCCAAAGTTCCTAGGACTTGCCAACAATTTTTTTTTTAAACCTTCATCAGGGACTGTAACAAAAACATCAAATACCCATTGAAAAACTCTACTGCCTTAATGTTTAGATGGCTAAAGCAGAAAATAAGAAGTTAGGTATTTTTGTTACAGTCCCTGATGAAGGTTTTAAAAATGAAAACCGAAAGGGTGGCAAATCAAATATCAATTTGTATAGATACCTACAGATTTTAAGAAAGAGAAAGATATGGCAACATGGAGACAAACATTTAAGATCATTGTACTAGGTAACAGCAATGAACTAACAGGAGTCCACCAAATATACCTATCCATTATTTCTTCATAGCATAGTAAACACAACTGGAGTTTGTATCCATATGGGCTAGACAAAGATACATATATAAATTCACATTGGACAAGAGATAAAATTGAATTAAAAGATGTACTAAGATTCCAGCTTCATAGTACAATACTTCAATTCAACTCAGTCATGTTTGGGAATGATTTACTAATTAGACATTCGGCAGCATTGCATTTTTGGGACTCTGACGTCACAGTCCCAATCCGCGTTTTCCCAACAGTTTAAAAATTCGATTTCCAAACAAATACTTCTACTAAGGGCCAAATTATGGACCAACTGGTAAGTGCCTGGTTGTTACCTAGCAGGTACTTTCTATTATCTAGAGCATAGGAAGTACCTGCTAGGTAACAACCAGACGCTTACCAGTCAGTCCATAATTTGGCCGTAAATGGAATAAAAATAAACTTATTGATAATTCTTACCGATAATCTGACTAGTAAAATATCCGAGAGCGAAAGCCGACAAAATCCAGCCTTGTAAATGCAAATTCCATCCGAATACTTTGGTCATGGGCACTATGGCGATGGGCATGATCACCCTGTCGGCACTGTTTATAAAATTGGCGAAACTGCACAGGGCTACGATACGGGAAGTTCTTGTGAACCATCGTATTCGGGCCATTTTATTCAGTTTTCAATAAAGTTCAATTTATTTGAATTTGTTCGACAGTTTATTGATTAAAGCCTCATTGTTTTTAAATTAGGTAATCGGCAATTAGGAACGGAATTATTAGTATTTTTTCTAATAATAGGAGTTCAGTTTGTTCATGTTTTTTTTTCGTGAATAATTTGAAATGTTTACACACAGAAAATCGTGAATATTGAATGAACAGCTGGCACAAAACGTCAAATGTCAAGTCTCCTATCTCTTCCTCTTCTTTTCTTTAAGGCTTTTTTACATTCAAAATCGACGAAAAATAACTCAGGGCCGCGATCAGACGCTGCCTACATCATCACTGGTTCTTTGGCGTGATGGGAGGCTTGAGATTTGATCTACACAAGCCTTATGAGCTATCCTATAGTAGTAGTGTGTATTATCCTTGGGGTGTTTGTACCACATACTATACACTGCTTGTTCCGAACAGTTTTTAGAGTAGTTATAAAATATGACAACGCCGCATTTCCGAAATGAGTTCGGTTCGAGATTGCACTCCGAAATGAACTAGAGTAGAGTAAATTTTTGGTATTATCGTTCATTTCCACTTCGTTACTCTGGAGTATAAGCTTTATACCAGAACGCAATAATAATCTTGCTCCGTTCATTCTGAACTAATAGAGTATGAAAGATGGCACCAAAGTTCCTACTTTATTTTTTTTTTAAAAAAAGAAGAAATATTTTTACCATAACCTCAAAAACAAACGTTTTGTTTATAAAAAAAAATTAAAATTAATATAATACTATTATTTACAATTATTTATCTAACAAATTATGGCTGCAGGACTTGATAGCTTCGTAAACCGTATCCTTTTTCTAATAAATTTCCGATTAAATTTTCAGGTTTATTTTCCTTAATTATAGCTTTTAGATACTGTTTCGATTATTACTTCGGATGGAAGAAATTTCATTGTAAGTTCAATTATAGGATTGTTTTATAATGTATTTATATTCTTTTTGGTTTAGGGGACGCTTAAAGGCTACGACCAAACGATAAACCTAATTCTTGATGAATCCCACGAAAGAGTTTATTCAACGACAACAGGAGTCGAACAAGTTATGTTGGGGCTGCATATAATTCGAGGAGATAATGTGTAAGTTGATTAATTTTTTAAATTATTGGCCTGGAATACCCAAAAACTTTGATAGGATTTTTGCAATACAATTACCTACAAGGCTTTATTATTGTAATTTTGCTTTATATAATAAGTTTCGAGTCTAAGATATATATGGGCGATAATACTCATACATTACAAATTACTGGGAAAAAACACTCATGGGATTCGAAAGAATTTGTAATTTATCTACTCATACAAATCTACAGTACAAATTAGTTGTTTTCAGAGGTAAATTTGATTTTTTCTCTTTCCAGCGCCCTTGTAGGACAAGTTGACGAGGATATAGATAATAGGCTAAACTTAGCAAATATGAAAGCTGAACCATTAAATCCTGTTACACATTGATAGTAATAAATTATAAATTTGTCTTAAAAGTTTCTTCTATTTCCTACTGTAATTTGACTCAATAAAAATAAGCCACTGTATAAAGATACAGAGTGATCAATATTCTAATATTCCCGGTTCTTGTAGGAAATCTTTCATGAAAGCCAGTAATCGAAAATAGTTCTACCACTGTATAAAGATACAGGGTGATCAATTTTTTGTTATCCTATGGGCGAATTGAATAAAATTATGACCAAATAGGGATTTCAAAAAAATACACTCCCAAAATAAGTTTATTAATTGTACAAGACAACATTTAAAAAAAATCATAACAAACTAAAAACATTTCTCACACTTTACCAGTAAACATATAATATTTCTTGTAGTGATCATACATAATTTTAAACATTTCTGTTGAAGCGCTCGATAAGGCCCTCATCAGGTAGGAAATTGCGTGATGATCGCAAAGAGAAATCAGGCTGTAGACACAATTATTCAAATGTAACTGGAATAAAAATAATATTAGATAAATCCTTTATTAACTATTCGGACTCACCTTGACATTAGGATACAAATTTATTTGCTCATAGGTTTGAAGTATATCCGCTATCAAAAACACCGCTATGCGTCCCATATCCTTTTTACACCAGACTAAATTCTTAGTCAACTTCTCCAAAGTGTGCACGCAGTCTGAAGCTACTTTGGGGTCCAGTTTTTTTTCACTACTATCCGAGTTACTGTAATCCGTAATGGACTTTAGTAAAATCCTGTATTGTTGCAAAAAAGCAGGTAACCGATCCATTATTGTAGCATTTCGATATTTAAGCAGCATTTCCAGGGTGGATATAGACATTGAAAATACTTGTTCAAAATGTTGGTGTTCGTGTTTTATAAGAACTTGAGGTGTCATTATGAACATATCGATTAAAGGTGGCGATAATATGAACTGAAACAACTTTGTATGAGCACTATGAAATATATTTAGGTATATACTTACATGTTGAGTTTGAATAATACTTTGTTTCAATTGCACAATACCCTTAAACAATTGTTCGTCATATTCGTTAGTCTTTAAAATATGCAAAAGCTCATATACAAGGTTTTCCAAAACATCTTGCCAAATTTTCATTTTTACAGGATTCACATCCACAGTCAAAATCGATTTCCAATTCTTAAGTTGCCTGACTAGATGTTGTTTATTTTGAGATTTAATGCTTGCATCCTGTAAACAGTTTTCGATGAAATATTTTTCATGAAGAAATATATTAAACTTACTGTATTATCAAATAAGTCTTTGACTAATATTTCAAATTCCTCATTTGCTATTAAAGTTACAATTAATCTAACTAATTGACAATCTTCTTCGCCTATATCGACTTTTTTACACGCAGTCCAAATTCTCAGCACAATATTATCAGCACTGTTGATTTTTGTTTTGTTTTGTAAAATTGCGTTGAACAATAAAGCACATTCGTGTTTATTTTCATTAGAAATATTTTCTAAGGCATAGTTTAAATAGGAATCTAATTTTTCAAGCAATTGCTTTAATGTTTCAGAACTGTTTTCTAGAGTTAGGTAATGTTTCAAACAAGTTGCATAGGCTTCAACAGAATACTCAGACTTGCAAACGAATTTGGACATTTTTGTTAGAATTGTGTCTTTGTATTGGTTTAGTTTTTCCTTTGCTGATTGGTCAATTTTTGATTTTTTAATCTAAAAATAATACAATTTAATTTGAAGCAGGGCAAGTATATGGAAATTCTCACCTTGGTTATAGCTTGCAAAACAGAAATACTAGAATTCAGATGATTGATGTTTTGCAAATGTTTGGTCAAATATAAAACTAAAGGTTCAAATTGCATGATTGATTTTTCGCATTTGAAAACGTTATCGATTGAAAGGTTGAAGAGAAGTTCATGTTTATTGAAATTCTTGAGAATTTGAGCACAGAGAACTTTAATGTTGAATATTTCGGTTAATGGGAACTTGCAAGCTCTCAATGTGCCTAGAAAATTATATTAATTAAATCATATTATATTATTAAGAGAAATTACCTATTATCAAATCTTCTAGCAACGTCCTTGTATCCTCAGAACAATTTTGGATATCTACATTTAAAGACATAAAATATAAAAGAACCAATTTTTGAATGTTTACATTGCTATAAATGAAGGGAACCTTCTTTAAAATGTTCATATAATTTTGAAGTTTGTCTTCTTTGTTTATAATAGTTGATGAATTTTGCACATCGCAACCATTATAGAGGTTTGTTATGTCTTCTAAATTAGTTATTTTCAAAGAATCCTCACTGTCAAAGAAAATCTCTTCCGGGTAACTGGCAAATAATTTTGAGCTAAAAAAAGAATTAGGTAAATTTTTAAGTGAATTTGTTATTTAAAACATTTACCTCAAACTTATATTTTGCTCCCCATTGTGCTTTCTTTTGCCTTTACACAGCTTATTAATTTTTGTTAACAAAACATAAACTGTGGCCTTAGTCAAAGTTGAGGAATCCAAAATGTGATTGGTGTTTATCAAAGCATCTTCCTCAATCAAATGTTCTGCTAAGAATGTTAGAGAAGTTTTGTCCATTTTAGGAACAAGAAAATTTACAGTGAATTTGTCCGAAAGCAAATCACGCCAAGTATCATCTAGATGTGTCTGAAGAGTTTTGACAATGTTGATGGTGATTTCGTCGTTCATTTCCTTCTCGAATAGCAATATTGAACGTAGCTTTTGGATGTAGAGCTTTTGCTAGAAATACATAATTGGTTTTTTGAAAATGCCTCTAGTACTAATAACCAGTGTTGCCAACCGTACTATAATTATAGTATTTGTACTGTAATTGAATGGTTATATACTATGTACTATCAAAGGTACCATGTAATATCAAAGGTATTATAGTACGCCTAAAATACTATAATTAAGTATTATCAAATTATTTAGTTTTTTACTGGAAACTAATTTCTATTTTCCTAAACCTATTTTGTTGGCTGCAAGCCCTCAATCTATTCACTTCTTAATCATAATTTGTTGCCTAATCCTACTTTCTATTAACAACAAATCCTAATCCTAATGTGTTGGCGTGCAAGCCCTTATGTCTAGTCACCTTTTTTTTTGACATTTTAAATGTCAACTGTCAAAAGTGTTAGTTTAGTGTTTTTTTGGTTACTGGATTTATACTGTCAATTGTTAATTTTATTGATTTTCCTGAGCGGGTCCTTTTTTTATACCAAAAAAGATGTTATCGAACGCACCCCTATTTAATTTTTAAAATTATTTTTGATTTTTTTTTGTTTTTCGCGGGAATTTTAGTGTGATGCGCACCTGACTTTTCGTTTTTTCTCCAAAAAATGTCATAATTTTCCTTTGAATAGTTTTCCAGAAAAAAAATAAAATGTTAGATGATGCATTTATGCCTAATTTAGTTGATATTCATTAATATTCAATGAGGTTATTTTCCACTGGAAAAATTTGAAATTGTACTATGATATGCCCCTGATTTTCTTCTTTTTTTCAAGAAAATGTCATAATTTTTTCCTGGACAGTTTTCCAGGAAAAAAATAAAATGTTAAATGGTGCATTTATGCCTAATTTAGTTGATATTCATTAATTTCCAATGGGGTTATTTTCCACTGGAAAAATTTAAAATTTTACTATGATACGCCTCTGACTTTCCTCTTTTTTTCCAGAAAATTTCATAATTTTCCCTTGGATAGTTTACTAGAAAAAAAAATGTTAGATGGTGCATTTATGTCTAATTTAGTTGATTTTCATTAATTTCCAATGGGGTTATTTTTCACTGGAAAATTTTTAAATTTTAGTATGATACGCCCCTGACTTTTCTCGTTTTGTCCAGAAAATTTCATAATTTTTTTTTGGAAGTTTTCTAGAAAAAAAATAAAATGTTAGATGGTGCATTTATGCCTAATTTAGTTGATTTTCATTAATTTCCAATGGGATTATTTTTCACTGGAAAAATTTGAAATTTTATTATGATAAGCCCCTGACTTTTTTCTTTTTTTCCAGAAAATGTCATAATTTTCTCCTGAACAGTTTTCCAGAAAAAAAAATAAAATAGTAGATGGTGCATTTATATTTAATTTAATTGATTTTCATTAATTTCCAATGGGGTTATTTTTCACTCGAAAAATTTGAAATTTTAGTATGATAAGCCCCTGACTTTTTTTCTTTTTTTCCAAAAAATGTCATAATTTTCCCTTGAATAGTTTTCCAGAAAAAAAAAAAATATTAGATGGTGCATTTATGCCTAATTTAGTTGATTTTCATTAATTTCGAATGGGGTTATTTTCCATTTGAAAAGTTTGAAATTTTACTATGATACGCCCCTGACTTTCCTATTTTTTTTTCCAGAAAATGTCATAATTTTCTCCTGGACAGTTTTCCAGAAAAAAAATAAAATTTTAAATGGTGCATTTATGCCTAATTTAGTTGATTTTCATTAATTTCCAATGGGGTTATTTTTCACTGGAAAAATTTGAAATTTTAGTATGATACGACTTTTATCGTTTTGTCCAGAAAATTTCATAATAGTTCGATCTCTGTGTGTCCCACCAGGACAATTGTTGGCCATCTGTCTCCAGCAAGATACTATAATTTATACAAATGTACTATAATTTTATAGTGTTTCTATACTATAATGGTTGATCCACAATTGGCAACACTGCTAATAACAAACTCTTACCAGTAGTTTCTTGCAAGGATATTCTCCAAAGTTTGAAATCCTTTGGGCAATCAATTGCCACTGTTTGATGTCCATGTACGAGTGCAAATATTTCAAATTTGCAGCCGAATAAGTTTTGTCCATAACTGTAGCCATTTGTACTTCATTATTCATAGAATAATAGGCCAGTGTTATGTAAACTTCAGCCCATACATAGGATAGATTAAGAAACGTTCTCATTGCTATGTGATTCTATTGATATACATTATTATTTTCAATAATCCAAGGATATATTACAACACTTACATGTTCTGTTTTCAAAATTGCAGGTCCGAAATTCTTTAAAATCTCTCTCAATTCTTCAAGGCCCTTTACAAATTTCGCAACCACATTTAGTGGAATGCTGTGATCTGCAATTTTAATGCTTTGTAAGAAACAACCCATTAGAACTCCTAAGATCTCCAAGAAGATAAATTTGTTTGTATCTAAAACATAATAATTATTGTATCGGTATTTAGTTTAAAATTCTTTTTTGTCTTACCATTGCTAGTATAATCTTCAATGGCAGCTTTTAAATGATATGTTATTGTTGCAAATATGTTAATTGATTGCCAACTAGCTAAACTGTTAAGGCATTTGGTGAAACATGCAAGGATGTTTGTAGTGAAAATCTCGTTTATTCCTGGATTAACTTCCAATGAATCTACTATTCCTCCAAAATTATATGTCTGTTCATAAGACTCAGATTTTTGTTCTATAATAGCATTTTTCAAGGCTGGTATTATTTTGGCAATAAAATTTTCCACTCTATGAAGTTTTGCAAAAACTTCAAATATTGCTATCACTACTTTTTCGTAAATTTCCTTACTTTCTCTATTTGCAAGCATTACAAATGTTGTTAAACCACTAGCAAGTGGTTCAATAATTAGGGGATTAATTGCAATACAACTTAAAATAATTTCTAAAACTGTATTATTTTGTGGTTTCAATGTAACAAGAGTCTTCAAGATACTTCTTAAAAATTCTGTAAAACTAATATTTGAAAAAGTGCAATCAGTAAAACTATTATTAGACCCCAATGCACTCAACAATCCTAATAAAACATCCATAGATTTGCTTAGTGGTAAACTTAGTTTTTGTTTAAAGGGAATTTTCATTGAAAACCGATTAGAGACATCAAATTGCAAGCCCCCAAATAAGAATATAAAGCATTTGAATATTAGTTGGGGGTCTTTAAAACTTGCAGAAAATGCAGCAAAAAATAAACTTAAAGATGTTCTGGCAATAGCGTTATCCTCTTGTAAAAATGCAAATAGACGCTTAAATACTGGTTTTGCTATTGTAGATGTTCCATTTGCTTCATCGATAAATATATTATCAAAGAAATTTTGGAAATGTTTTATGTTTCCTTGTAGTAAGCACTAAAATATTTTTATGATTAATCCACATCATGTATTTAAATAATAATTACTTTTTGTATAATCTGCACGGTCTCATTAACAACTTGTGGATCATTGTTAAACATCAATGCCTTTTGCACCAATACAGAAAATATTGAATCCAAGAATTGCTTCAAAAAATTTTCTTGTACAATAAGGTGTTTTGGAAATAGAAAAGGCTTTGCGATAAAACCAATATAATCTCCAGGTAAAGCAATTGCTTGTAAAGCAACTGCTATTAAATTGCAATAAGATTCCAAATTATATTTGAAATACTGCTGAAAGATTTGGTTTTCACATAATGATAAAATCAAATTGGTTACTTTTTGCAAGTTATTGGTAGAAAGTTTTTGGTCAGCAAGTTTCTTTTGAATAAGCTAAAAGAATTCTCATTTATTATTATAAGCTAATAGTAATATATATCTTACTTCAATTATACTGGAAATATTCTCATTAGTTATATCATTCTGATTGAGTTCCCTAAACTCTTTGGACAATACCCATTGGTTTCCCAAAGACAACAATTCCTCATCCGGTATCGAAGCCGATTTATCTAAAATCCAATTTAAAAGGAGGGCTTCTTTGTGACGGGCGTGAATCTCCTGAGCCTTGAAAGCGTTATCGGCTATTTTCAGTCTCTTGTTAAGGGGCTCTGCCTCGTTGTCTAGGATTTTTAGTAGTCCTAAAAGTGGTTACAGGTTTGAGGTTATGTTTTAAAATGTTGTTATTTTTTTAATGTAAGTACATTATTATGGAAGGACATTTTAAGTAAGGGTTATAAATACATATATTATGAGCTACTTACCTCCTGGAAGGGACATTTTGTGTATTTATTTGAATATTATCTCAAAAAAACCACCTTGTTTAAACAGAAATAATATACCTAATAAGAGGAGATTTTTTTGATACAGACGTGTAAGTAAACACTTGAATATTAATTATTTTATGTAATTTAGGTATTTTGATTTGAAATTATTTGTTTTTATTCATGTTTTATTAGTTAATTATTAATTTTAAAAAAGAAAACAACAATACAATGTTGCTAGCACATGGAAACAAAAATTCAAATAAATGTCAAATTTGGTTGGCATATGGCAACACTGCGAAAATGCCTGTAGCGAATTATTTCCATAAAATTGGTGCTGCACCAAGTTTTATGTTGTCCACAGAACTGATTGGGAACGGTATAGCAGATGTCATCCAGGGATCACAAAAATCCGAATTTTTGGTTACAGTTCTTTGTTCTCAGTTCATTAAGAATCGGTTCAACCAGTTCTAGGATTTAACGAGAACCATAAGAGAAGATAAAATCGAAAAATTCGAAATTTTAGGACGCGAATAATTTTCGTGTTCCGTTCCAAAACAGTTGGCGGTACAATTAATCTTGAGCTGGTTCATAGTAAACATGGGCTCTACGGCAATCCTGAACCAGCTCCAAACTGCTTCCGACTCGTTTCTTGAATAGGAACGGTCCAGTAACTCCACTACCACTGGACCCCATTTTTCTAGTTGTCCGACGTTAGCTGGGTTCAGCTATTTAGCACGCAGTTGGAGTGGAGTGGAAACAGATTTTTGTCACGTGATCACAAGTGATAAGAGTGAAAAATAATACACGAACGACCGGAACGGTCGGAGCAAAAATGTCAAAGCTGATTTGTTTTGTTCCGAAACAACAGTCAACCGTAGCCGGTAGCCGCTTTCGGTCGATAATCGACGTTTAAAGTGACATTTTTACATGTGAAAATGTCACTTTAAACGTTGATTATCGTTACACCTCCCTTAAAATGGTCGGTGCAAACGGCCATTAATCGTTCGTAAAATGATCCGAAGTCGAGTACTCGGGTTCGGTAAGTGATCTTATTGACTCGGTTTTCTCGGTGATAGGTGAGTTCGGAATGGTAGAAATTACGTTTTCTATTAACACTAAGCGTTTTTTAATTGGTAGGAGTGTTTGACACTTTTTTTGCGTTTGGAAATAGTTTGGTGTCCGAAAAGTGTGAAGATGGTGAGACACCGTTTACTCGGTACAAAATGATGGTGTATTCGGTGTTACACCGCCGATTACACCTTCATGACCTGATATAACACTGCACTTCACGAACACCGCACTAGCACTGCACTAAATTCCCATTTCGAACTCAACTTATGTTTAATGTTTTTTTTCGTTTTGACAAGTTTTTTGTTCGAATTCCTGTCATTTGTTGTGCTTTGGGTGGTTTGCAGTCTACTTATTACTACAGGATGGTCTATACTCACTAAGGCCTGTGTGTATTAACAAATCCTCCCTTCCCCCCCAATGATAAAATACCATTGTGACGTAGGCAGCATGTTATTTCCCGCCTTGATTGCCTTGACGTAGGCTGTTTGAACAGCCGACGAATTGATTTAGTTATGACGTCGGAAATGGTGGCACACCAATATGGCGGCGATTATTACTAAAAACCAAGGTTGTTTGAGAGAGGTAGGTTGCCTGATAACTTTATGACATCATCTGGGGGGCCGCAACATAAGGCAAATCTCCATAAGGCACCCCAGACACGTCATCAGGTTAGCCATTACCAGGCAACCTATGAACTTTAGGAACCTTGACTAAAAACGAGGCCGATAAGCACTCCTTGAGGCCAAATTATGGACCAACTGGTGAGTGTCTGGTTGTTACCTACCAGGTACTTTCTATTCTCTAGTGCATATAGAAAGTACCTGCTAGGTAACAACCAGACGTTTACCAGTCAGTTCATAATTGGGCCCTTAGAGTGTGTATTCTCCTTGTAGCTGGTGAGCCCGTTTTACAATGGGAAAAATCGGGTGTTCCATTTTTAATGCTCACGACTGTACGTTCGGCCAGAGATTTCCACGTGTAGGTGGGTTCGGGATGACTGTTCTATAGACACCAAGTGCAATGAAAACTCCCGATGCGTTCGGCTATTGTCATTTTGAGCTAAAAGAGTAACTCCACATGCGTTTGGGAAGGACGTGCGGGAGTCAATTAGTTATTAGGAGGGTTAGGTTGAGTTACGAAACTCCAAATGCACCCTGGCCGTTCGGTTTCACTAATCCATTTCAAAAGCTTTTTGGTCACTTAAAAAACGGCACTCCAGTTCTACTTCAGCTCCGTTGCACCATCCCAAACACAGAGGGCTGGGATCACGACAAGTAGAATTCTACTTTCATGACGTCAGGTTGCCTAGCAACCATCATAATCGCCTGTTTTATATGCGATAAATAGGACGCGAATGACGTCATGAAAGTAGAATTTCTACCTGTCGTGATCCCAGCCCTGCTTTGATGCGCTTAAGAAATTAATTAGTTGTATTCCTTTTAGGAAGAGCTCCGGAACAGCTCTGGGGCGTTACGCGCTTATTCCTTTCGAAAAGTGTTGCATCACGCATCTGTTCCTTTCAAATCGGGGGCGACTAACACCGGAGTGAGTTGCTCGAGTGTTTTAAACTCTTGAAAGGAATACAACTATTAAGAAAATAACATTAAACTAGGAAATAAAAATCTTCCTCCATAAGAAACAATAAGATAGAAAAACTATAAATCGGCTACAAATTTCCTAATTATTTTAACTTTCCAGTAAAGCTGCACCTACTCTGTAAGTTGCTTTACACTGCACGTGTGCTCTCGTTATAACCTGCTCGGAGCATTTCCGCAGAGATCTGTGATGTCACCGCTCAGATGGGGAGCAGTTAAAGCTAAAAATGTTATAATTTTTTGTCAATAGTTTTATTCTACTAGTTCGGTTCAAACCGGATCGTATCAGTTCAAACCTACCTCAATGGTTCAAGCCGAACTGAACTTGGTTCCAATACAAATCGGATCTGAGTTCGTTCTACCCAAGGATATTACACACAGAATTGCTCATCGGCCTCGATTTTTAGAAACGAGGTCATATGGGGCCGTTGCCGACGTCATCAACGGTGTCGTTAGTTGTTTGCGCCAGCGGTGGTAGTTCAAAATATGAATTTATGATGAAAAATATTATTAAATTTTAATTAACATAATAAGCAAAGAGAAAGATGCAAACGAGATCTAAAAAAAAGAGTGGTTTTAAAATGTTAATTGACCTGTCTCGTAATAAAGGGGTTTGATCGTTAGAAGGAAAGATAGTTCGAGCGAAAGAGAGATAGGAATAGTGTAGTATACAGGGTGATTCGAAAGTAAACGGCATCCTTTCGGGGCGTATTCCTTGCATAAAAATAAGACAAAAAGTTCCTATTAACATGGGTCCGTAAATGATTCCTAAGGGAGCTACGCTCCTTCGAATAGGACACCTGAAAGACGTATTTTTCTCTATAACTTTGAAACCCTTCACAAATGGATTTTGAAAAGTGGTGTATTTTATAAACATTTGATGACAATAAAGATACTAAATTGAAATTTAAAAAAATCTTAATCAGTGGCGTCACATACTGGGGAGGGTGAGGGTTAAACCATCCCTATTTTTTTTACTCGTCAAGTTTTTGCGATTCTGATTGAAAATTCAGAAAGTTTATAGTTTTTTACACAGAAAAGCTACTCTTGGTTCAATTCGATACAGCGTACCGTTTACGAGAAAATTGACTTTGAAAATTTTCTGATTTGCGTATGTTTCGCAAAAACCTGACGAGTAAAAAAAAATAGGGATGTTTTCACCCTCCCCAGTATGTGACACTGATTAAGATTTTTGTATTTTCAATTTAGTATCTTAATTGCCATCAAATATTTATAAAATACACCAATTTTCAAAATCCATTTGTGAAGGGTTTCAAAGTTATACAGAAAAACATGTCTTCCAGGTGTCCTATTTGAAGGGGTGTAGCTCCCTTAGGAGGCATTTCCGAACTCATGCTAATAGGAACTTTTTGTCTTATTTTTATACAAGGAATACGCCTCCGAAAGGATGCCGCTTACTTTTGAATCATCCTGTATAATATGTATAAAATTATATAACAAAATAAAAATTTTATTTCTCTTTGAAACCTCATAAATAAAAAACAGATAAATCTCAAATAGTTTACAGAAATCAATTAAAAAAAAACCTTTTTAATAATATTGTAATTGCATCTCATTAATTTGCGGTTAAATGAGTCATTTCATATTCATACCGAAACATCCCTGGCCAATTTTGTGCGTCAATAAGGCGTTTACTAAAAGGAAATACAGTTTTAAATTTCTAGAGTCACATTCAATTATAATCAACATACTTTTGTTTATTTTCCTCATTTCCTCTTCAAGTTCATCAATTTTTCTCCTAGACATCAACAAATCCTTTTCTAATGCTCCAAACCTTTCCGCACTGAATTCTCGTTTGTATTCCTCAAAGGCAATTAAAACTTGATTATTTTGCAATTTTTGTTCATTGATTATTCGGTCTCTTGATACTATAGATTTTTGTAGTTCATTTAACTATAAAAATATATTTCTATTAACTTGTATTATTGTGTTTGAAAATTACCTGTTGAGCTTTTTCATCAAAACAACTATTAAATTGCACAAGCATATTGTTAGCTTGCACCACATCCTTAGAAAGTTCATTTATTTTGCTTTCTTTTTGAGTCACTATAATGCTTAGTTTGCCTAAATCTTTCTCCAATTCAATCTGTTTCCTCTCCATATTCCTATTAACACTCTGAAGTTCGTCCACTGTTTTTTTCATATCGGCAACATTTCTTTCCAAGCTACACCTTAAAATATTCAAAGCCCCATTTTCTTTTTTCAACTTCTCGTTGAGTCTATTAGATTCCATGTTTTCTACTCTAAGGTTTTCCATTGTTTTCATTAGTCGGTCACTTGAAACGGCTTTTAAGTTGTTTTCTTGTTTCAAAATTTCAATATTTGTTTGAAGAATGTTGATTTTTTTGCTGAGTGCTGTTATTTTTGTTAGAACTTGGTTTTGGATTTGGACTAGTTTCGATGTGCTCCATGATTCAATGTAGCGGAGATTCTAGAAGAAAAATCTATGAATTTTGCTTAAATAATGTGAAAAATAGGATTCTACCTTGCAAAATTGTTCCAACATTAGTTTTCTTGCTTTTTCAATGTCTTGTATTTCGAAATCTTTTTCTTCTACAAGTTTTTTGGTTTTGCCCAGTTGTTTCTCAAGTTTTCTTATCAATTCCTATAAAAACGTAGACTACATAAAAAATTTAATTTTTTTTTTAATTGAAAATTCTACCTGTGCTTCTTGTTTTTCCGCATGTATTTCAGCTATAATTTCAGTCTCATTTGTCTTTTGTAAATCCAAAGTTAAATACACCATGTTTTTTATTTTGGATTTCATGTAAAACACTAAAGTGCACTTGTTATCAGATATTTGACATTTCAAATACCTAAAAAAACATTTTTCTACTACCGTGCGTAAAGTACTCACTTTACGCACTATTCAGAAGACGTGAAATTACACTTCACGCACTAGTGCGTAAAGTAATTCACTTCACACACTAGTGCGTAAAGTAATGTCAATGACAGATGTCAACACTGTCAATGTAATATTTTTCTGGTAAATTACTTCACGCACTAGTGCGTGAAGTGAAAATACTTCACGCACTAGTGCGTAAAGTATTTGTCTAAATCTATTTTTTTCACACATATTTGATTGGTAGTAGAAAAAATTTTGTATGCAATACGTGCGTAAAGCACCTTTTTTCACTCATGTGATTGTCGTTCACTTTACACACTTTTTGCATAAATAACTATTTTAAAACTTAAGCTTTATTGTCCAAGCAACTTATTTATGTAGGTATATTATAGGGAAATGACATGTAACAAAAATATATACGATAATTAAGTGACTTGAATACATTATTTACCTAATAAATTTGATACAATGTAGGTATTTGAGGCAATCAGAAAACTAATAAAAATAATTAAATTATAAATTATGTATAAGGTGTCCAGAAATAACTTGAAGTATGTACATGTGGATTTTTTTATCAACTTCCAGAAATTTCCAGAGTAGCTATGCAACTCAACATCTAATATATATTATAAGCATTCTATAGTTGATGACAGATTATTTAGTTGATTGCGAAACTTTTTCCCCAGTTGGTCCACCCTGTATCTTATATGGTTTCCAAAATCCTCATGTAGTTACTTCAAGTTATTCCGGACACCCTGTATATAGATTTAATTAACAAGATATTGTATCTGACTGAAAAAAAACCGGACAAGTAAATACGTGCTTACATTTCCTTTTTCTGATATTGGTGTAGCATATCGATAATATTCGCTTTGAACTCTGAAAAGTTAATATCCAGTGATTGGGCGCATCGTATCAATTCGAAATCAGCAAGACCGACAGTGTCGCTATAGTTGAAGGAATAATCGGTCAAATCCCTTATTTTAATTTGCTAAAAAACAATGATAATTGAAATTGCAAGTACAAGTACCAATGTTTGGATTAGTACTTATTAGTCAAATACTTAAGTATCTTTGTGTACTTAAGGGGATTGAATGCGCTACAACAATCCCTGAAAATTTCAGCTACCTTGAGATTTAGATTTTCGAAAACTTTGGAAGGGCATAACTTTTTTTCTATTATAGAGAGAAAGCTGAAACTTTCACTGAGTTTTATCCCAATCAAGGGACTACAATACCTGAAAATTTCAGCTCATTTGCGCTTCTAGTTCCTGAGATAAAATCATGTTAAGCAAAGACTGCGTTAGGTGCTTAGCCCAGCAAAAAATATTTTGGCACTGAGGCGCATTCAATCCCCTTAAGTAAGTATATAAATACTTCAAGTATTTAAAATACTCAGTACAACAGCTCTACTTAGGTATCATTTTTACTTTTGAACCTCGTTTGGAACTGAAAATTAGGTATAATTGAAACAAGTGGTAGGTATAGTTATTGTAAGAAGTACCTAGGCTAAAATCATCAAAAGATCCTAAGTGTAGAAAAAGAAAATGAGATGTCCCTTCAGCGCTTCAGTATACAGGGCGTACCATTTAAAACGAAACAGGCTTAATATCTGATGGCACGTTTATTTTTAAAAAAATCGCTCGTACACGTAATTTGATTTTCAAAGGGGGAAGTTTTATGCAACTATTTTAAGCACTTCAACTTTAACTCTCTAGGCGGGGTAGGACCAACCATTACTATTTCAAATGGAACAAGGGGTCGAGTGATGCCTCATTTAAAAGAGCATGCAATTCTCTTTCATTTGAAAGAAAATTGAGCACTCTTTCAAAACAGGTATCACTCGACCCCCTGTTCTATTTGGAATGGTAAGGCTTGGTCCAACCCCCCCTAGAGGGTTAAGGTGCTGAAAATTTCGTCAAACACTCACACATCAAATTACGTGTACGAGCGATTTTTTAAAAAATAAAAGTGGCATCAGATATTTAGCCTGTTTCGTTTTAAATGGAATACACTGTATAATAAGTATTTGTAAAGTTTCCAGTTTTAAATTAAAACATTATTTGAATATTAATATCTTACCAATTTATCAGCAACTTCCAAAATACTTATATTCAGGTGCCTATCTTCTGTGTGATCGTTTCTTTGAACTATCGGTATTATAATTTTGTCATTGTATAGGAAATGCTCTTTATACGGCATTATTAATAATTAGGCGAAAAACACTCTAAAATTAATACAAATTATAATGGAAAATGTAAACAAAAACAAATACAAGAAGCGGCCAAAAAGAAATTAGGTTAGGTTGGTTAAATTTAAATTTAGGGCGGCAAAAAAGTAAGTACCGCAGTAAAATAATGGTTCTAGAAGATTTATCTATGCCTATGCAGCAAAAGTAATGTTAATTCTTTTACCTACAACAGTACACAATGAAAATCGCACTATCTCTTGTGTTGTAAGTTGAGTTTTACACACAAACGTGTGTTATGGTAAAGTAAATGCAGGGAACAAATACATCTAGAAAAAAGGGTAACAAAAAAGGACACCATTATGATTATATAAATGTTTTATTAAATTTGAAGAAGCATGTAGATTTAGTTTGAGATTTTCACATTGAAATATGCATAAGAATTTGTCCTCATCAATAATTTTTTACTGACCCAAGCAACAACTGAACCACAGAAATATGTCTCTAATATGCATCAAACAGATGAAACCCCAATCATTTCAAAACTTGAACAACTCTCCTATTATTAATTGTAATGATACGGTTGTTATCAGTTTCAGTCTTCATATGACAATTTTCACTAATATTAATATTGTTATCATAGACTGTATTTGAACATTCAATTGTATTATTTTCTGTACAATCAAATGTTTCAGTATCTACATGATCATTTTCATTAATACTGTTATCAAAGACAGTATCAGCAGTACAAAAATCTGTACAATTATTAGCCATAATGGTATCATTGTCATCTTGTTCAAATGGTACTGTTTCAATACTAGCAACATTAATATTGCTACAAACATAGGTATTGTCGCTAGTGTCATCATTTGGAATGTTGTATTCAATAAGATCATCTTCAGCAATATCTGAGACAGCATATGAGAACTCAAATTCGTAGGTTTTGTTTTGGAGCATTTTTATAATATCATCGAAAAGAGAAGAGACCTTATCGAAATTGTCACCATAAGCTTCCGCACCTAGAGATGCAGCCTTTTTTAATTTAGTGGATAATAAGTTATACTTTGTTTGTTGATTCAAATTTCTTTTTCGAAATTTGTCTTCATTGTGGATGTTTGCCAAGTCTTTCATAGTTATTTGCTTATTATATTTTTGCTCTATTTCCTCTTTGATTGAATGTCTGTTAACATGCATATTTAATAATGACTTGGTTTCTTTTTTTATTTCAGGTGGTAATTTTCTCCGGTGGGGCAACATATTGAATAAACTCTGCAAAAAATTTCTGTGTATTGGTATGATAAACAATTTGGAAATATTGCTCACCTCAGAAACTATATGATTATGATTATTATTTACATTTGCAATGACAAAATCTTCCCCTTCTGGTGAAACTTTCATTCTTATATGTGCTGGACAAGGATATTCATGTCTCAAAGTTCTAAAAGATTTCAATTCATAATACATATATCTAAGTTTGAAGAGTATTTTTACTTAGAACTACGAAATCCATTGCTTCTGCATTTGTAATTTCTTCCTCCGTGGACACAAGCCCATTCCACTTGATAAAATTTCAAGTCAGGATTTAAATATCTTTTTGTCTTTTTAGCTCCTCCGGAAATAGTTCTCGATTCGCGTTTATAAAATTGCACGAACTTCCTTTGGGCACTTTCTGTAATTTTCTGTTTGGCTTCTTCGAAGCACTTGAATTTGTCCCCTTTTGCAATGTCCAAGACTACTTCCATGTCTTTTGACATTATTCATAAACTCTTGTTGATTGGGACAAGATCCTTTATATTTTTGAGTTCTACAAAAACCGATATTATTCACTCTTTGAATACAAATCAAAAGGGTCCTTTGGTCTTTGGTTTGACTTGACTAGGACATCAGTCTGGATGAACCGATGAACCTAACCTAATTTTAAATACAATAATAAACATTAGGCGAGTTTCAGCGCTGCTAACCGGTTAGTTACCGTTGCTCTACCGTTGTCCACTGGTTCCGAACAATTAGAGTAGAGTACATTTTTGTGCCCGATGCGTCAGTTTTATTCGACTTGCTCGCTCTAGAAGTTCCACCTCGGAACTTTGGAGTACTCTCCCACCCACCCGAACGCAAAGTTGTATCTGTCAAGAGTTTGAAACACTAGAGTTATTCGCTCCGGTGCTAGTCGACCCTAATTTAATGGAACAGATGCCGCTGGCTTTCGTGCATTTAAATCAAGGTTGTTTGAAAGAGGAAAGAGGTAGGTTGCGGCCCAGATCCGGAAACCAAAATTCGATAGTATCGTCGCTCTAAGGTATCGTCTATCTATTATAAATGGACGATACTATCGATGGGTTCGGAATCCGGACCCTGATAACTTTTAAGGCGGTTACACACGGACGTGGATTGCTTAATTCATACAATAACGTGTAAACAACAACGTGTATGGTGCATGTCGTCTTTGTTGTTCAGTCCTGCTGCAGTATTCGTGCAGTGTTCCAAGTGTGCATATAATAGAGAGTTCTTATGCCATTTGAAATACCATAACGCTATTTGACAAGTATGACAGTTCTCACAGGAATTGACAATCGTTTTGCAGTGTTGCCAATCGGCGGATTTTAATCCAATTTGCGGATTTTTTTTGAACGATCGGATTTTTTTCGGATTCTTTAATTCAGCAGAGGATTTTTTGCGGATTTTTTAAGATAAAACGAATAAGGGCATGAAATCGCTTTAAAGCAGAAAAAGCCAACATGGCTGCTACGGCAGTATGAAACAAAAGCGTTTGGTGTAGTTTTGAGGTTAGGACAGTGCGTTTTTATTGAAAACAACTTCCAAAAACGCATTTATTAGGCAACTTTTCGCGAGGATAATCAAGCATAATCTGTTTAGCTGAGTTATCTGATGTGTCAATTGTTTCATACTTCCCTAACTCCCTCTCCATCAAATGCCTGCGAGTGACGTCACTATCAACAGGTTATAGTGATGACGTCATCCGCAGATTTCGATAGAATGCTTGTGATTCAGGCTGTGCTAGTGAGTTAATTTTTTTGACGAATTATCCCAGAATTTAAGGGTGGGGGAGCTAGGGGTTGTTCTCAATTTCACCAATAGATGTTGCACTGTTAGTGCATATATAATGGTTTATTTTTCATTCGCTGTTCACCGCTATGCGCGTTCTCAATTAATTTTTCGCGAATAGTGATGACCTTTTTTCCTTTTTGTTTTTCGGTAAAAGCACCTCGTAGGAAAATCGGATATTTTCGGATTTTTTCACAGCTGACAACGGATTTTTTGGTTATATGGCGTTGGCAACACTCAAGGATAATACACACTACTACTACAGGATGGACTATCCTCACAAGGCCTGTGTGTAACAATCCCCCCCCTTCCCCCCTTTTCCAAACAACCAGTTGTGACGTAAGCAGCATGGCGTTTCTCGCCTTGACTTAGGGCGGGTATTATAAAACTACTTTGACTGGAACACAAACACTCCACTCTAACTTTTTTAGAACAAAATAACACAAAAACTTGTACAAAAGCTGTGAAAACCGCATAAAACATAACAGGCCTAATCTACACGAATGTAAATAAATGATTTGTTTTACCTCAGGGCCACTGTCAAACTCATTTGTGACGTCACATGGACATGCCCTATAAGGGTTAGGGGATTTATGTGTTTCTGTGTCCGAGAACTATAAAAATAGCATGTGAAATACAGTATTGTTAGCGGTACCGTATTAGCGTAACGTCTGAGGCACGAGAACTTTCTATTTCTAGCGATTCTAGAAGTCACTTGAGCGATGAGCGTCATTCTGAGGTTTGCACATTCAAAAACGTGATGGTATTTTGCATACACCTTAACCCTTTTCACGTGGCTCCGGTTTAACAAACCGCAACATACCGCTCAAATTCGAGTGGTAGGTATCCATCACGTCACTTTGTAACCGGGTTAGAAAACGGTGAGTCATTTTTCTAACCGTTTTGTAACCCGGTCAGTTAAACCGGAGCCACGTGAAAAGAACTATTGATGTTTTTCCTTGCGTTCGTTATTTTGCTCAAAGTGTAGAGCGAGCTGAGCGGAGCCGTAATCACGTGACCAGCGAGCGAACGGAGCAGTTGAACGCCGTATAAAAGTACCGGAAATTTTAATAAACGAACGCGAATGAGGCTGCACCGAGTACACTTTTTAAATAAACGAACGGTAAAGTCAAGCTCGGAGAACTCAGACCAAAATAACGAACGCACGGTTTGTTTGCGCGTTCATGTTCATGTTTTATGTGCGAACATGTATTCAGTCATCCACGCCGGTGTATAACCGCCTTTATGAAACATGCAAATCTTCATATCTTCTTGATGACGTCATCTGCTTACCATTACCAGACAACCTTTGTCAGGAACTTTGCATTAAATGGAGTTCGGGCTTATTGAGCACTCAGGTGCAACAAACACTTTTCGAAAAGAATAGCTATAATCCTTTTAAGAGCTTAGAACACTGGAGCTACTCGCTACGGTGTTAGTCGACCCCGATTTGAAAGGAACAGATGCGCTTGCTTTCGTGCATTTAAATGGTTTGATTCGGGCTTGAACACTTCAGATGCAACAAACACTTTTCTAAAGGAATAAGCACATGACGCCCCGGAGCTGTTCCGGAGCTCTTCCTAGGTGTGAAAGGAATACAACTTATAGGCGCGTAACGCGCCGGAACTGTTCCGGAGCTCCTCCCAGGTGTGAAAGGAATACAATAGCTGGGTTCGGCTATACAGCGCGGAGTTGGAGTGGAGTGAACAGAGCTAATGGAGTCACCCCTAATACGGTAAAAAGCAATACCCGAATCTTAACCTGAACGGCTGGAGTGCGAATAGAGTCACTCGGAGTGCACGGAGTGAGCAAGCCGAACCCACCTAATGAAGACTATAATCCGTTCATTCCGAAAAAGTTGAGTATGGCTGAGTTCGGCTTTGCACTCAGCATGGATATCGTGACGTCATACGTGGTCATAAGCCCAACGCAAAATAGAACACTCTGAGAGCTAAAACGAACATCTTATCGTTTCGAGCGCGCGAGTTTACAGAAGGTGGGTTCGGCTTTCTCACTCTGTACACTCCGAGTGACTTCATTCGCACTCCAGCCGAACGGGTATTGCGTGGTATTGCTTTTTAGCGTATCAGGGGTGCCTCCATTACAGAGCTGGGCAAAGCCCTCAGTAAAAGGGCTTGAAGCCCTAAGTCCTAAGCCCTCTATCAAAGTGCTTCAATTTCAAGCACAAATTCCTTTTTATTTTCAAAAGTGCTTCACAAGCACAAAGCCCTCAAAGTGCTTTGGGCTTGACAAGCACAAAGCTCCCAAAGTGATTTGAAAAGTGCTTGAAGCACATCAAAAGTGCTTGGGGTGCTTTGAAAAGGGCTTCAAGCTCTTTAAATGTGCTTCAAGCTCTTTAAATGTGCTTGAAGTTCTTTATATGTGCCTAAAGCACTTTGAATTTGTAATAAAATTCTCAAAGTGGCATAAGCTACCGCGTACACTCATCACACAGAATTGGTATAGTAGAGACGAACTTTACATTTCACAGAGTAGCAGTAGTATGTTTTTTTTGAGATGTAATTCTGGGGTACTTGGGGTAGTTGGGGTACTACATGGTAATTCAATTTTAAGGTTTTCAAAATGTTCAATGGGGAAAAGTGAAAAAAATCCAGTGAAAAAGTTAAATAGGATACCAATATAAATTAATTATTTATTTATTTGAATAAGTTCATTCATTTTTTTTTAATTCCATTCTAAGCTTAAACCCAAAACCTCCATTGTTAAGAGAGAAAAGACATAAGACGGTTCAAGTTCAAATAATAGAAAAAAAAATTAAAGGACAAAATATGATCAAAAATTTTTAAGTGGGGGATAGGTTGAATGATGGTCAATTCAAATTCCTTTCAAAGTGCTTCAAGCCCTTTCAAAGTGCTTCAAGCTCCCAAAAGTGCTTCAAGCCCTCTTAAAGTGCTTCAAGCCCTTTCAAAAGGCTTCAAGCTCCCAAAAGTGCTTCAAGCCCTCTAAAAGTAATTGAAGCTCATTGAAAGGGCTTGAATTACTTTTTTCAATTACAAATTACCAAGCACTTTTCTAAAGTAATTGACTTTGCAAGCCCCAATTACAAATCTATAAAAGGGCTTGAAGCACAGGGCTTTCAAGTCCTCAAAGTGCTTCAAGCACTTTCGCAAGCACAAAGCACTCAAGCCCTGCCCAGCTCTGCTCCATTAGCTCCACTCCAACCCAGCTAAGAGTAGAGTGTAAAGCCGAACTCAGCCTATGATGGCACGTTGCCAAATTTCTAGATCTGTCAGAGGACGTCAACCTGTCCTGTCATAACTTTTTTTTTTATTTTTGACTAGTCTCCCACTAGTCTCTTCCACCTTTTTCTGGGTGACGGCAGTGAGCGGCCATATTTTACGGTAAGTTAAATTTTTAATTCACTTTGCAAGGCATTTTGTGCTGATTTTAAACAAAAATATGACTTGATTTGTTCCAATTCGTGTGCGGAAACTGAAACTACGTATAAATAAGTGCAGTTTTGCCCTTCAAAGGTCCTTCTGGGTCAGTTGTAATTGGGACAAAGCTTTAGCTTATGTAACACCCTTAGTTTAATTTTTTTTTGTTGGCAAAGGCCAAAATATCAACATCTAAGTTGAATATTGCTCTGAAATGATTAAAATATTTCAAATAATTAAATTATTGTAAAAATTGTACCAAAATTGAAGCCCTTGGATAGAATAATTCACCTGCCACGTTTTACATATTGCCTCCTTTTATTCACCCTGTAGATTTAAGCCTTTTAAGTTATTTTACAAAGAGGGGCTTCGCCCTTTTTTAAATTGCATAATTTTTCCTCTATCACGTGCGTTTGACGTTTCAAGGTTATGTATAGGTTTGTTCCAACATACCACAGGAAACCGTTCCATGTACTGTCACGATTCTGTGCAAGGCCTACTAGAATTGGAAATTCGTATACAGCGTGGATTGGTAACTGTTCATGAGACTTGTTGGAACAAACTTAGATACAATTTTAAAAAATGCATTATTTTCCATGGTTTTTATAAATTTTAATTGATTTATAACTGATAAGGCTTCACAGTTGTCCAATTAGTTACATCATCAACCTCTAAAGAAGGGTTTAGCAGTGGATGTTTATTTAGTTTAGCTGTCGGTTAACCAATGATAATTTTTAGTTAACCAACAGTTAAACTAAATATCCGTCCACTGATAAACCAGTCCTAAGTATGCTAAAGGAGACTTCTCACGACTTGTCACTGTTTCTCAATTTTTTTCACATTGTTAATTTTTTTTTTTTTAAATTTCACTTTGATTATGAGCTCCTCTTTCTCTCCTAAAAATTTCATAATTTTGCCTTGCATAGTTTTCCAGAAAAAAAAAATTAAATATAAGACAATGCATTTTTGCTTAATTTAAATTTTGCAAGTTAATTTTCATCAATTTCCCATTTCGTTATTTTTTATTTGAAATTTTAGTATGATGAGCTCCTAACTCTCCTCTTCCTCTCCTAAAAATTTCATAATTTTCCTTTCGATAGTTTTCCAGAAAAAAAAAAAAATGTAAAAGAATGCATTTTTGCTTCATTCAAATTTTGTAAGTTAATTTTCATTAATTTCCCCCTACTTAACTCTCCTCTTTCTCTACTGAAAATTTCATAATTTTCTCTTGGATAGTTTCCAGGAAAAAAAATAAAATATAAGAGAATGCATTTTTGCTTAATTTAACTTTTGCAAGTTAATTTTCATTAATTTCCCATTTCGCTATTTTTTACTGGAAAAATTTGAAGTTTTAGTATGATGAGCTCCTAACTTTCCTCTTTCTCTCCTGAAAATTTCATAATTTTCCCTTGAATTGTTTTCCATAAAAAAAATTAAATGTAAGAGAAAAAGAATGCAATTTTTGCTTAATTTAAATTTTGCAAGTTAATTCTCATTAATTTCCCATTTTGGTATTTCTCACTTGGAAAATTTGAAATTTAAGTATGATGAGCTCCTATCTCTCCTCTTTCTCTCCTAAAAATTTCCTAACTTTCCATTAGATAGTTTTCTAGGAAAAAAATAAAATGCATTTTTCATTTTGTTGCCACTGACAAGTTGATAATGATAATGTAATCAACTTCAACTTGACCTTTAATTATAAAATGTTACTGATGATTACTGCTGTGGATATGTCCTGGCATAATGTTGAAAAATTTATAGGTTTTCATTTTACTTTCGTTTTCTTTTTTGAGAATATATGTAACATATTAACATTATTTTCTGTTACAGACCCAAGCAACAACTGAACCACAACAAATATGTCAATGTTCTCGTCCCTACTACCCAAGGCCTGGTGCCAGCAAGCAGAAGAAACCCCAATCACTCCAAAAGTAGAACAACTGGGTGGGTTTCCCTATACTCACTTGCCATTCAATGCATTTAAAACCACACTTCATTTGAAACCAACATTTAGAGTGTTAAAAATAGATGCAAAATTATGTTATGTGTATGTTCCAATGTAGATGCTGTTATATAAGTGTCTTACTATTTCACCTTACACACAATTGTTTTTTTGAGCCAATATGTTGTTTGACTAACTTGGTCTTACAGGTCTGGTTCAGTCCTTGGTCGCTCCAAGAAAAATCGCCGCCGCCGCCATAGCCGAAGGTGACAGCTGCGAATTTGCTTCATTACACTATTTCGCTCTTTGCGGTCTAGGAGGTATTTTGTCTTGTGGTATCACTCACACAGCGGTAGTACCCCTGGATCTTGTCAAATGCCGTATCCAAGTAGACCCTGCCAAATATAAATCTGTATTCAATGGTAAGAAGTTTTGGATTATGTTTTTTTTTTTGAAATTGAATGATAATGTGTATCTGAATGATGAGACGATGACGAGACTGAGCAAATGATCCCCACAAAAATTAACTGGTTTAACAAGGAGTTTTTCTTTGTTTTTCTATGAACAATTTTTATTGGGGAAAGTTTGTCGTAGATGATTTTGGCAATCTGACAGATATTTTTAATACAGAGTGCTGTTTCAATTAGGGTTCTTTCAACTAATAACAAAGTTTTTTTTATTGTACTTTAGGCTTTAGAGTAACTTTACAAGAAGATGGAGCTAGAGGATTGGCCAAGGGTTGGGCACCAACCTTCTTTGGGTACTCCGCACAAGGTTTGTGCAAGTTTGGTCTCTATGAAGTTTTCAAAGTAAGTCGATTTTTTTTTTCAGTTTACTTGCATTTAAAAACCACACTCTAGGTGATTTTTCATTTAGCCTAAGGTGTTAAACATAGATGCTAGATTATAATGGTAAATTCCAATAGGGATATTGAAATTCGATTTTTATCCCTTATTTCACCTTACCAACAATAATACCTAATAATACAGTTTTATTTTTTTTATATAAAAATTCTTATTATAGGTAATTTATGGTGACATGATTGGTGAAGAAAACTCTTTCTTGTACCGTACCTGGTTGTACCTAGGAGCATCAGCTTCAGCTGAATTCTTCGCCGATATCGCCTTGTCTCCCATGGAGGCTGCAAAAGTCAAAATTCAAACCACTCCCGGTTTCGCCAACACTTTGAGAGAGGCCTGGCCCAAAATCTACGCCGAAGAAGGTGTCAACGGTTTCTACAAATCTCTAGTTCCCCTATGGATGAGACAAATCCCTTACACTATGATGAAGTTTGCCTGCTTTGAACGTACAGTTGAATTGTTGTACAAATATGTTGTACCCAAACCTAGGGCTGATTGTACTAAACCTGAACAGTTGGTAGTCACATTTGCTGCTGGTTACATTGCCGGTATATTCTGTGCTATTGTTTCGCATCCTGCTGATACTGTTGTCAGTAAATTGAATCAAGAAAAGGTAATTAAGGATTTAATTGTTAATATTGTATAAAAATATGTATCTGAATGATGAAACGATGACGAGACTGAGCAAATAATCCTCACAAAAATTAACTGGTTTAACAAGGAGTTTTTCTTTGTTTTTCTATGAATAATTTTTATTAGGGAAAGTTTGTCGTAGATGATTTTGGCAGTCTGACAGATACTTTTTAAGTTCTTAATTGTAATAATTGATATTATTTGTAAAATATTCAAGTATGTTTTTTTTTTTGTTTAGGGTACAACTGCATTGGGTGCAGCTAAAAAACTAGGTATGGCCGGTTTATGGAAAGGTCTCATGCCGAGAATAGTGATGATCGGTACTCTCACCGCTCTCCAATGGTTCATCTACGACGCTTTCAAGGTAGCCATGCGCATGCCCAGACCGCCACCACCAGAAATGCCCGAATCGCTCAAGAAGAAGTTAGCAGCCGAAGGCAAAACAGCTTAAGTTGGCGATAATTTAATTCTAGTTAAACAATTATTTAACTTATTGATTTACACAAGAAGCTAAACTATTCCATTCTTTTAAGCGTGGATTGGGTATTTTAATTTATGCCTTAAAATCGAGCAGTATTTTAAGTTATTAATTACCAAGTAGATGAAACAAAAAAACCATGTGAAGAGATACTCAAAAGGATTTTATTTTTAAATTGTTGTCTTTTTTTTTCTGTTTTTAGATTGTACATAGGAACAAATAATATATTAGGCGGATCTAATCCATCCTGAAAATTTGTATGTGTTTTATTTTGTACGTATTTAAGAGTTTGTGTGCTGTCTTGGGGGAGGTCCTCTTTTTTCAAAGATTTTGGCTTCGAATCTCAGAATGATTTAGTGTATGTATGGAGTTTCCTATTTGTAGACTTCTATTACAAATCCAATTTCATAAATGTTTCGGCGTTTAGATTAGGTGAGAAAACAAAAATCCAAAACCCTGGAATAGAAGAAAGTTGAAAAGAGGAAAATGAGAAAGGAAAGAGGAAAGCTAATTTTTGCTCTAGAAAGAAAAGAAAAACGCATTCTTATCTGGAAAATCAATTATGTATAGCAAACAGCGTGCGAAAAGTACTGGTATTTCTACGAATATATGGGTGAAACCCCACTCTTCCGCATGCATTTTGCGGTAATGGAAGTACCACTTTTCTGCACTAGTGCCGAAATATTCTTTTTTTTAAATTCTAGCTTTGATTTCTAGTATGCATTCTAAACTGGAATCTCTAATCTCTTGATTTTCTCATTGCAGTGAATCAAGAAAAACCGAAAAACCAACCCATGTCTGGTTATTAAAGAAAAATTCTTTAAGCTGGCAACAGTGTAAAACCTAATATCAATTATTTGTCAAAATCAGCTGGATTCCCCCATATCCTTAAAATCCAATATGTCAAATTAATTAAAGATCCTTGAAAATCAACAATAAACAGAGGAAAAGTTACAGAAAAATGAGGAAAAGTTTCCTTATCTTTACAAAACGATAAAGTTACAGTGAAAACAAAAATTACTGTATTAATTAGCGAATTCTCAATTAGTAAATATGTGAATTTTGTTGTACGTATTATATTAAAATCGATTTTGTGTTCAGTTTCTATAAGAGACCCTTTATATAATTAGAAAATGACCCTTTTGGAGTAACATTGAACTGTGGTAAGTGTCTGAAAAGCTTTGTCTAATCCTGGTTTTAGTTGATAAGATATTACAAGGAAAAATCATTAATTCCAAATATTTATAATTGAAATAATTCAAAAGTTTGAGGCCAAAGTAAACAGAGAATCAATATCAATGTATAATAGCCCTTCCTTAAAGTTTTCTGGACTTTGATTTAGAGGGTCATAACAAAATTGATCATCATGTCTCAAAGTTCATACCTATTAACCTACATAAGAAAATTCAACAGGAACTTCCTGACTGAAAATCTCCCAAAAAATCCAAAAATACACCTTAAATCCCAATTTATAAATATTTATTTAGGTTCTGTAAATCTTTATTTACAATTCTCAATCTAGCTTTTGGTACCTTAGATTCAATATGATTTACAATAAAGCAATCCTTGTACTTGATGTTATTAATAATACAGTATATAAACAATATTGCTTGTTCCTCTGTTATTATCACATATATAATATGGTATATAGTATACAGGGTGTCCCAAAAAGATACCGACAAACTTCAAGGGGTAGTAGGGGACATCAAAACAAGCATTTTTGTTTATATAAACATATGTCCGCAAATGAGCCATTTGGGCTGTAGAGCAAAAAAACTGTTTGGTATCTAGTTTTATTCTTCGTAATAATTAAATCAATGTTTACTTATTAATTTTGCTGTAATAGCAAAAAAATTATGGTATACGATAATTGTTCAACTCGCAAACTCTTTGGAATATTCCGGGAATAGCTTCTACATGGGTACAACTCGCCAGTATCCTTGCTATCAGATCTTCCTCATTACGAACAGGTGTTTCGTAGACTAAAATTTTCAGTAAATGACCCGAGGGTGTAATCTTTGCATTGAAGTAAATGGTCAACATTTTGAACAATTATTGTAAACCATAATTTATTTGATAATAAAGCAAAATTAATAAGTAAACAGTGATTTAATTATTGCGAAGAATAAAAGTATCAAACAGTTTTTTTGCTCTACAGCCCAAATAGCTCATTTGCGGACATATGTTTATATAAACAAAAATGCTTGTTTTGATGTCCCCTACTACCCCTTAAAGTTTGTCGGTATCTTTTTGGGGCACCCTGTATACTCATGGGTGCTTATATGGATTGTAGATGAAAACTTGTAAAAAGACATCATACCTATACCCATATTATAAATATGAGAATTATTTAACAGAAAACAGTTAAGTAATGTATAATGCATTTTTTATGTTGCAATTTCTCTAAAGTGTAATTAATTTAAAATGAGTGGTAAAGTCCATTATATCAAAGCAATTTAATTTTAATTATTTAGAAGTTTGAATCAGGCAATGAAATTCATTTAACTTAACTTGAATTTCTCATAATTGAGTTCTGTGTTTCCCTTATTCGAAATTATAAATTTTTGAAAATACCTTTACCCAATAACAGTTATACATTATGCCTAAATGAAAATCAAATTTAGTGTATGGAGTTTGGGGGATGTTCATTGACCATTAGGATACAAAATCTCGACAAAAAAAAATTTGAAATTTCATCGTTTTAGTAAGAAGGTACCTACCTTATGATTTAGATTTTGGAAAACTTTGAGAGGTCATAACTTTTTTTCTATTATAGATAGAAAGCTGAAACTTTCACTGAAAATTATCCTTTTCAAAGGACTACAATCCCTGAAAATTTCAGCTCATTGACACTTATAGTTCCTGAGATAAAATCGTGCTAAGCAATTGTGGTGATTTATCAATTTTTCAATTTTTCTGAGTGCGTTTTTTCATAGTTTTTGGCTTCAAATCTGAGAATAATTTAGTTTATGGAGTTCAGGGTATCCCGAGGGACCATTAGGACACAAAATCTCGACAAGAAAAAATTTGAAATTTCATCGTTTTAGTAAGAAGGTACCCCCCTTATGATTTTTTTGGAAAATTTTGAAAAGTCATAACTTTTTTTCTATTATAGATAGAAAGCTGAATCTTTCACTGAACATTATCCTTTTCAAAGGACTACAATCCCTGAAAATTTCAGCTCATTGACACTTATAGTTCCTGAGATAAAATCGTGCTAAGCAATTGTGGTGATTTATCAATTTTTCAATTTTTCTGAGTGCGTTTTTTCATAGTTTTTGGCTTCAAATCTGAGAATAATTTAGTTTATGGAGTTCAGGGTATCACGAGGGACCATTAGGGCACAAAATCTCGACAAAAAAAAATTTGAAATTTCATCGTTTTAGTAAGAAGGTACCCCCCTTATGATTTTTTTGGAAAATTTTGAAAAGTCATAACTTTTTTTCTATTATAGATAGAAAGCTGAATCTTTCACTGAACATTATCCTTTTCAAAGGACTACAATCCCTGAAAATTTCAGCTCATTGACACTTATAGTTCCTGAGATAAAATCGTGCTAAGCAATTGTGGTGATTTATCAATTTTTCAATTTTTCTGAGTGCGTTTTTTCATAGATTTTGGCTTCAAATCTGAGAATAATTTAGTTTATGGAGTTCAGGGTATCACGAGGGACCATTAGGACACAAAATCTCGACAAGAAAAAATTTGAAATTTCATCGTTTTAGTAAGAAGGTACCCCCCTTATGATTTTTTTGGAAAATTTTGAAAAGTCATAACTTTTTTTCTATTATAGATAGAAAGCTGAATCTTTCACTGAACATTATCCTTTTCAAAGGACTACAATCCCTGAAAATTTCAGCTCATTGACACTTATAGTTCCTGAAATAAAATCGTGCTAAGCAATTGTGGTGATTTATCAATTTTTCAATTTTTCTGAGTGCGTTTTTTCATAGTTTTTGGCTTCAAATCTGAGAATAATTTAGTTTATGGAGTTCAGGGTATCACGAGGGACCATTAGGGCACAAAATCTCGACAAAAAAAAATTTGAAATTTCATCGTTTTAGTAAGAAGGTACCCCCCTTATGATTTTTTTGGAAAATTTTGAAAAGTCATAACTTTTTTTCTATTATAGATAGAAAGCTGAATCTTTCACTGAACATTATCCTTTTCAAAGGACTACAATCCCTGAAAATTTCAGCTCATTGACACTTATAGTTCCTGAGATAAAATCGTGCTAAGCAATTGTGGTGATTTATCAATTTTTCAATTTTTCTGAGTGCGTTTTTTCATAGATTTTGGCTTCAAATCTGAGAATAATTTAGTTTATGGAGTTCAGGGTATCACGAGGGACCATTAGGACACAAAATCTCGACAAAAAAAAATTTGAAATTTCATCGTTTTAGTAAGAAGGTACCCCCCTTATGATTTTTTTGGAAAATTTTGAAAAGTCATAACTTTTTTTCTATTATAGATAGAAAGCTGAATCTTTCACTGAACATTATCCTTTTCAAAGGACTACAATCCCTGAAAATTTCAGCTCATTGACACTTATAGTTCCTGAGATAAAATCGTGCTAAGCAATTGTGGTGATTTATCAATTTTTCAATTTTTCTGAGTGCGTTTTTTCATAGTTTTTGGCTTCAAATCTGAGAATAATTTAGTTTATGGAGTTCAGGGTATCACGAGGGACCATTAGGGCACAAAATCTCGACAAAAAAAAATTTGAAATTTCATCGTTTTAGTAAGAAGGTACCCCCCTTATGATTTTTTTGGAAAATTTTGAAAAGTCATAACTTTTTTTCTATTATAGATAGAAAGCTGAATCTTTCACTGAACATTATCCTTTTCAAAGGACTACAATCCCTGAAAATTTCAGCTCATTGACACTTATAGTTCCTGAGATAAAATCGTGCTAAGCAATTGTGGTGATTTATCAATTTTTCAATTTTTCTGAGTGCGTTTTTTCATAGATTTTGGCTTCAAATCTGAGAATAATTTAGTTTATGGAGTTCAGGGTATCACGAGGGACCATTAGGACACAAAATCTCGACAAAAAAAAATTTGAAATTTCATCGTTTTAGTAAGAAGGTACCCCCCTTATGATTTTTTTGGAAAATTTTGAAAAGTCATAACTTTTTTTCTATTATAGATAGAAAGCTGAATCTTTCACTGAACATTATCCTTTTCAAAGGACTACAATCCCTGAAAATTTCAGCTCATTGACACTTATAGTTCCTGAGATAAAATCGTGCTAAG